TTGTTCCTGTAGCACTTTCCTGACTTCTTCCTTATTTTTTTCAATGCCATTGTAAAGTGTTTTGAAACATTTTATAAATCATTTTTCTGAATTCCTTCTCAGGCATTTCCAAGGCCTGCCCTCCTTCCAGAATGGAGTCCAGGTCTATCTCTAAGTCATTTGTCTCAGACATTTTATCTTGCTTCTGGACATGTGCTGATATGGTCATCTGCTTTTGCTTCTTGGACATGTTTAGTGTTTATCTGTGGCCTTAATTTAATACTTAATTGAGTATATATTTTGGTATTTTTTTTATGCTTTCTGATTGCTTCCAGGTAGATGTGATCAGGATGTGGGCTTCCTTTTTCACTCTTCTTATTACTTAACTCAGAGTAACTTTCACAGGTGTTGTCTGCCTCCCTGGTACATGGCACTTGGTATTGTTTTTTTTCCTGGGTTTTGGTGTTTTATAGAGTGTGATTGTAGTTTTGACTATATGGCAGCAGTTGTTGACTCTTCTTGAGTAATATAGGGAGAGAAAGAGACCCCCAAAGTTAAAAGGGGGAGCATAGAACAGCAAAATAGTAACAGCAAAAAAAAAAAAACAAAAAACCCACCACCAACAAAAAATCTAGAATGGATATTGTAGTCTATAATTGCAGAAAAGGGAGAGGAGGGAGGGTGGGGGGAAATCTGTAGCCTAATGTAAGTATGATTTTAATGTGTTCTTTCAGTTTCTTGCCGTCAAGGATGCCTGAAAAATTTCAAGATGCCACTGCTTGTTGTTATGTTGTACCTCAGGGTTAATGGAATTTTTGGCCTGTTTGGTTTTCTCTTTCCTACTCCACACCCCTTGTTTGGCCTTTTCCCTATTGAAAAAACAGTTCAGGGCTGGCTTTGGGCTGTGTGCATGCATGGCAGAAAAACCCACCAGTGGGTGGGGGTGGGGTGTGTCCACTTGCTCAGGCATCCCTTCTAGTCACCAGAATAGAGGTGCGCAAATAGTGGGGGACGGCAATGAACAGATACCAAAAAAAAAAAATCAGAACAAAGCAAAACTGACCAAGTGTATTGTCCACCTTTGCTCAGAGCTTCCCACGGTGTTATTCTGTGGGGGGTGTGCTACCCCACTTGGTCTTGCTGTTTGATCTTGCCTGAGTTGTTGGCCCCGGCCCACTGAGCCTGGCAGATTCCAAAGTACGTGATTTCTTACTTCACTACAAGTTCCACTAGCTATAAGCCTTCAATTTTTTAAAAATATTCCTACTTATGTGGTTCAGAGTTTTGGAGCTCTACCCTGAAACTTCTTCACCTGGTATTCTGTGGTATTGCTGATGGTGAACTTGACTGCACCTCTACCCTATCCCCTATCAATGTACTTTTGCAGCCATTTTTAAATTATCTTTAGCAAACTTTCACTTGCATGTGATTTACCCGAATATTTCCACATTCCATTGGGTCACTTTTGTTTGGAATGGACACAAATATGGATCTTTTCAATTACTTGACCAGGTAACTAACTGTCTTCTAGATTTCTTAGTATAGATGAGTGAGTGCCTCCAGTGCTGGATCAGTTTGTTGAAAGATTTTAATTTGTATTCCATCAATTCTGGAGCCTTGTCAGTGCCTTCAGTGCACCTTAGACTTCTTCCTTCAGTACCACCGAGTCTTGAAATGGTTAAACATTAACCAATTTTTATTTTTTTTTTTTGGTACAGTGACTCTCTGTATTCCTTCTGTCTTCTTTTGATGCTTTCTGCATCATTCAGTGTTTTGCCCATAGAACCCTTCACTACTGCAGGTCAAGTCTTAACCTTTTTCCTCAGTTCTTTCAGCTTGAGAAATGCTGAGCTTGTTTTTTCTCTTTCAGTTTTCAACTCCTGGTCTTTGTATATTTCATTATAATACTTTGTCTTCTTTAGCTGGCCTTTGAAATTTTCTGTTCAGTTCTTTTACCTCCTCGTTTCTTCTTTTGCTTTAGCATCACTACACCAGAAATCACGTTTCAAAGGCTCTTCTGACATCCATTTTGTCCTTTTCTTTTCTTCTTTCTTTCTTTCTGTCTTTCTTTCTGCCTTTTCTTTTCTTTTTAGTGACCATTTTGCTTTCTTCCTGTATGATGTTCTTGATGCTATCCCACAACTCCTCTGGTCTTCAGTCACGAGTGTCTAATTATCAAATATCTTATTGAGATGATCTCTAGTTCAGGTAGGGTCTGTTCAAGGTCTTATTTGGTTCTTGTGGATTTGTTTAATTCAGCTTCAGCCTGAACTTTCATCTGAGCAATTGATGGTCTGCTTCACAATCTGCCCTTGTTTTGACTTTTCTACCATCTCTTTTGACAGAGGTAGTCAGTTTGATTTGTGTGTACTCCTTCTGGTGAGGCCCATGTGTATGTTGTTGTTGTTGTTAGGTGCCATCGAGTTGGTGCTCATTCATAGTGGCCTTATTCACAGCAGAATGAAACACTGCCTGATCCTGGACCGACCTCACTATTGTTATCATGCTTGAGCCCATTGATGCTGCCGCTTGGCCAATCCGTCTCGCTGGGGGGGTTTTCCTCTTTCTCTGACCCTCCACCCTACCAAGCATCTTTTATATTGTTTAAACAAGGTATTTGCAATGAGTAAGTCATTGGTCTTGCAAACTACTGTCACAATCTCCAGCATCATTTCTATCACCAAGGCCATGTTTTCCAACTACTGATCCTTCGTTTCCAGCCTTAGCATTCCAATCACCAGTAACTATCAATACATCTTGATTGCATGTTTGATCAATTTCAGACTGAGGCAGTTGATTGATCATCACTGGCTCTAGTTGTGTGCATAATTTGAATAATAGTTGTATTAAGTGGTCTTTCTTGTGTTGTTAAGTATCATCGAGTCGGTCCCCACCCATAGCAACGACCCTGCACAGGGTTTCCAAGGCTGTAAATCTTTATGGGAGCAGAAAGCCTCATCTTTCTCCCGTGGAACTGCTGGTAGTTTTGAATTACTGACCTTGAAAAAAGCAGCCCGATTTGTAACCACTACGCTACCAGAGCTCCTTGGTCTTCCTTGTAGATGTATAGATATATTCTGTTACAGACAGCTGGCATTTCAGCTCACTAATGCCTCTGATATCAGTCTATGTGTTCCATTTCATTTTTTTTTTTTCCTTTTTAAGTTTTTATTGTGAATTATGTGATAGTTTACATGGGGGGGGGAGAACATTAGCTTTGCATTCATCTTACCTTATTTCATTTTATTGGCAATGATAACAATACCCTGAATGCATCATCAAACAGCCAAAGGGTACACCTCACCCCACAAGCCTGCCCCCCTGGCCATCAACACACAGAACCTCTCCCTCCCAGAGTCTAGAGTCCCCAGCTGCTCCATCTCTCCATGTTATCGTCTCTACTTCCATCTCTGGCGTCACTGTTTCTTTGGGTAGGGTCTCATGCTCCAGTCTTCTCCTTTGATGGTCCCAGAGTCACTCCCCTCCATTTGTTAACAAAACATCTACATTATGTTTGTAACATTCACAATCAGTCCTGATAGCAATTATTTCTTGCTCTTTTTCACTGACCCTACACTTTACCAACCATGATGTCCTTCTCCAGGGACTGGTCCCTCCTGATAATATATATGAAGTATGAGAGACGAAGTCTGGCCATCCTGGCTTCTAAGAAGCATTCTGGCTGTACTTCTCCCAATATAGATTTGTTTGTCCTTTTGGCAGTCCTTGGTATTTTTAAAATTCCCCTCCAACATTATAACTCAAATGCATCATTTTTTTCTTTATACATTGTCCAACTTTCACATGCATATAAGGCTATGGAAAATATCATGGTGTGTCAGGCACACCTTAGTCTTTGCCCAATACAATACATTGTTTAATTTCTTGATTGCTGTTTCCATGAGTGTTGATAGTTGATTCATCCATGGAATTGAAAAATAATAAACTGCTAAGAAGTATGCAGTGTATGTACTGACATAAACCCATAATCATTATAAAGTGCGGTTTACCTTGTTGAATTGATCTACTCAGCTAATGCATTTTTTGCAAATCGAAGGTTCGTGGTGACCAGGCACTGAGACGTCTGTCGATGCCATTTTCCCCACAGCCTATGCTCACTTTGTATGTGTGTCACATTTTGATCATTCTCAGAATCTTTCAAACTTTTCCCTAATGCTGTTGCACTCTAAATAGGTGTTATTGCTCTATATGGTTTCCAAGAAGCGGCTGGTGGGTTTGAACCACAACCTTGTGGCTAGCAATCCAGTGCTTATCCTGCAGCACCACACCAGAACTCCAAGTAGGCTATAGTATGATATAAACAATTTTTATATGTACTGGGGAACCAAGACCTTTGTGCAGCTTGGCAATATGTGTTTTATTGTGGTGATATGGAAGCAAACCCAGTTTCTCCAGTATTGCTTTTACTTAAAAAGCAATTTGCAGAGGTGCATATGTTGTTGTCAGGTACCATCGAGTTGGTTCTGACTCATAGCAATACTGTATAGGGTTTCTGAGGAGCAGCTGGTGAGCTTGAATCACCGATCTTGCGGTTCAAACTGACCTTGCAGTCCAGCGCATTAATCAGTGGCACTGCACCAGGTCTCCTAGAGGTGCATATGTTGTTATTGTTAAGTGCCATTGAGTCCATTCTGACCCATAGCGGCCCTGTATAGGGTTTCCGAGAAGCAGCTGGTGAGCTTGAATCACTGGCCTTGCAATTTCAAACTGGCTTTGCAGTCCAGTGCATTAACCCACAGCGTCACACCAGGACTCCAAGGTTAAAATATGGAAAGATGATCATATGTACAACTTAAAAATGGAGTCCTCTGGGAAGGGGCTGGAAGGCTTTCTCCTTTTTATAGCATTTTTTTGTACTTTTAGAAGTTTTCTGTTTATAATAAATCCTGAAGAAAATAGGCTGGTATTTCATTTTTCTGGATGAACTACATTGCAGAAATCCTAGCATATTATTAACGTTGGACATCTGTTTTTGGTTTGTGTCCTAGACAGTAGACCCTACATTAGCTGTAATGGGGAAGAACCTGAAGGAGGCCATGAAGATGCTGGAGGAAGGACAGAGGTGAGTGTGTGCCCACAGATGGACTCTGGAGAACGAGTTCAACCTGTTGTGAAACCGGGTTCCTCTGCGCAAGACGCCTCCTGCTTTCAGAATGTCACACTTTGCTTCTAGCCCACTGTAAAATTGGTGTTTGCCTTAGAAGGTGCTTTATAATGAAGGGATTTTGAAGCTGAGGGGAAGCACTTATAACTTCAAACTGTCTATTAAGAGTATCATTTACTTAATCTGTTGAATCTGTAAATGCTTCTCACTGTTTATTCAGGTCATGTGGGGCATTAGCTTATTAAGAAATGGGCTGAAATATTAATATTCTTTATAATGTTTTCTTTTCCTGAAATTCAGACTATCCCACGGACTGGGCACTGATGGGATGGGGAGTGTGTTGCATGTTTTTTATATCCTCTGTCAGTCACTAAAAGACTCTAGGCAACAATCTCGCTTGCATGTTACAATGTTAACAACAACAACAGCAATGTGTTTTATCATAGCAAATTTCTGTTTCCTTTAAAGTAGGAGAACAGAGGAGGAAAATGAAAGGAAGCCCCCATCAGGCGATATTCCGGGGCCTCTCCAGGGCAGGTAGGTGGTAGTGATGATAGTTTGCTTGTCAGTCTTCTTGAAACCAAGCTTTTACCATCATAGATTTATCATTTTAATTTTAATGAGCCCAAATCCCATTTAGGTAGAGTGATGTGTTGTGCAGCTTTTGAAAACTGGAATGCTACGGGCTGTCTAGTGGTAGTGCTTAGCCCCTCCTGAATGGAATTGAATGCAACCTTGGGGCTCAAAAGCAATGTCTGACTTTTTGTTATCCCTAGAATGTCATATTTGGTACATACTTGAAACCTGACATCTACTCTGTAGACCGAGCTTTAATGTGAAATACTTGATAAAGTTGATAAAACTTTTTGTAGTAGATGAAAGGGAAATGTCAACCTTAATCATTTTGTTGGCAGAGTGGGTTTTTTTTTTTTGACTATTCTGTCACATCTTTGTGGTATAAGCTAGCAGGGAGGAAAGCTCAGAAATATCTGGCTAAAATGTTCACAGGATCTTAGTAGTCAGTTTGTAATTAAAGTCCCAGCCCAACTTCCCTCATAATAGCTTTTTAAATAACCAGGAAGCTATACTTACGTAAACAGTACAACTCCCTGAAATTGTCCTCTGACCACAATATAAATATGTACAAGGTGGCAAAGGAAAAGTATGGAGGAAGGATCACTGTGTGTCAACAAATACCAAATCTAACACACCCAGTTACTAATATCTTCAAGTTTTGCAACATGAATGGTGTTGACCTGAAGTCTCATAAGTTGATTTGAGGACAACAGGTTTTGGTGTGAATTGCTTTCTACAATCCAGAACCAAATCCTTAGTTTTCTCATCCTAGACCTACTGTAGAATCAAAAGGCTCGAGGTTTGGTCTCCTGATTCCACAGACATTTCTCAAGAAAAGAGACTAACTACTAAGGCCATCTGTCTGTAATTCTCAGAATGATAGTGCATTCAGGCCACTGGCCAGGAGTGCTCAGTAATAACCAGCATTTATTGAGATTAATAATGTGCCTGGCGTAGGTAAAGGGTTTGTAGCCACTGTCTGGCTGCATTCTTACAATAATTTGCGTAACGTCAACTAGCAAGACTTCCATTTCCCCCACTTGTCCTAATTTCTACAGTGAGCTCCGAGAACCAGAACCCTGCTCACTTGTAGGCCAGAACCGTGGGGGAAGCAGATTTTTAGAGATTGTTTGAACATTCATGGGAGAGCTATGCTTACCTTAAATGAATTAAAGGTTGCCTTGCCACTGCCTACTACTTTAGCTATGCACATTTTTCTCATCAACTCTTTCTTTTGCAGTGGACAGGATATGGTGAGCATCCTCCAGTTAGTTCAGAATCTGATGCACGGAGATGAAGATGAGGAGCCCCAGAGTTGCCGGTAATGGAGAGTGTTTGCACCTCCTCTGGAAGTATATGTGCTCTCGATTCCAATAGTGCTTACAGTCTAAGAAGTTGCTCAGAGAATCCATGTTTCATTAAGAGTTCCCTGTTGTATTCGAATTAGGTTCTTTTTGTTGGTGCTGTTTTCAAGGAGACCTTGGCACTTAGGTATTTTTAGGTAATCCACTTTGTACATTGTATCTACTTTTAATTTTAATATATACAAGCGAGCTTCAGAAAGTCCTATAGAAAAATAGAACTAAAAGATTATGGAATTTCCCCATGAACTTTTTGAAGTCCCCTCACATTCTATATGTATATATATTTAAATATATATATATATATTTTTTTTTTGAGTCCTGGTGTGTTGCTGTAGGATAAGCACTAGATTGCTAACCACAAGGTCAGCAGTTGAAACAAACCCACCATCACTCCTTGGAAGTGTCACTAAGAGTCAAAACTGACCAGTGGCACTTAACAATACTTTTTTTTTTAACGTTTCACAAAAACAAGATTCTGTCCTTTTTTACGGTAGTGTGTCTTTGTTGTTGCTATTAAGTGCTAACTCACAGCGACCTTGTATAGGGTTTTTAAGACTAAATTTTCCTGGGAACAGAAACTGATCTTTCTCCCAAGGAGTGGCTGATAGGCTCGAACTGCAGACTTTGTCGTTTACATGCTTATCATGGAACCACCGCGCTTGTGTCTTAAGGGCCAACAAAAGGACCAGAAACTTAAGTGCTATGGGCTTTTCTATTTTCTTTATGATTACTAAGAATTCTTGCACCTGGATTAGGGTGGCTGTACACATTCTCTGTGAGTCATGTATTTGTTTAATTTCATTTTCCCTTATTTTTTTAACGTTTAATGTGTAAAAAAAATTTTGAGTAAGCAATACAGTCTATTGGTCCAACATTTTAAAAAGATTTTTTTTTTTAAAAAAGTGAGTATAGACAGGATTTTCCTCCTCCCTTTAGTTGACTTTCTCAGGGTAGACAGTGTTGCCAGCTTCTCAAGTACCCTTGCAGAGACTGTTTGTGTGCAGGTTGTCTGCCCCCACCGCTGTGCATCCTCTGTATGTCTTGGAGTTCATTGCTTATCAAAACACAAGGAGCTTTCTTCTCTTTTACAGCTATTAAATTTTACCTTGACTAAGTGAAACATATTGTATTTAACTAGTTTCCTATTAACTAGTTTCACTATCGTAGACATTGCTGCAGCCAAGAACTTTGAATGTGTCCTTTTTCATCGGAGCAAGTGTGACTCTAGGGTGAAGTCCTAGAAGTGGGGTTGCTGGGTTACATAAAATGTGCATTTGTCAGTTTGTTTACAGTCTCATCAGCAATGTCAGAGTGTATTTCCTCCCTATACCTTGCCTACAGTGCTGTTACCAGACATAAGGATCTTTGCATTGTCTGAGAGATGAGAACTAATTCAGCATAGTTCTAATGTGCATATTATTATGAGCAAGATTAAGCATCTTTTTGCGATTTTTAGAATCTAAGTAGATTTCCTTTTTTTTTAAGGCTTTTATTATGAATTGAGTGATAATGTACATGGGAGAACATTGGTTTTGCACTCAATCAATCGTATTTTGTTTCAATGCAATGATTACAATCCCTTCCATGTACCACCAGTTAACATTATTTGCCTCTGTCCACTACCCCTAGGTTTTTTTAAACTGTTTTATTATGAATTATGTGATAGTCTACATGGGAGAATGTTAGCTTTACATTCATCCTATCGTATATCATTACATTGCCGTGGTTACAATCCCCTCCATACATCATCAAGCAACCAAAGGGTATATCCTGCAAACCTTTCCCCTGGTTGTCAGCACACAGCCCCTCTCCCTCTCTGGGTCTAGAGGTCCCAGCCACTCCATCTCTCCACGTCATCATCTCTGCCTCCATCTCTGGCATCACTGTTTCTCTGGGTAGGGTCCTGCACTCTGTTCTTCTCCCTTGATGGTCCCAGGGGCCTCTGCTCCTGGCCTGCAAAGTCAACTACTTCCTTTTGCTACAAAACGTCTGTCTTTACATTTCCAACCCTCACAGTCCTGATATTAATTATTCACTATTGTACCATAGGAGTGCTATTCCCATCTCCTTTCATCAGTCCCACCCAGCCAGATTGGATACTACTTAGGTGGAGATTCTGCCTTCCTCTGCATCCTCTGGATCTAGGCATTCTCTTGAAAGCTTGTAAGCCAGTCACTTCTTGTCTTTGTAGCCCCTCATTTTGGGTAGCCAATGTCCAAGTTTCCCATCGCTGTCTACCCTGTATATGGAGGGGGTGGGAATGATTTTTGCTGTAAAGATTTGTTCCCTCTTTTGAGCTACTGCATCCATAGATGTCGGTCAAGTTCATCAAATTGTATTTCTTTTTTTCCTCCTCTTTCTTCTCTAGTTAAGCTCTGATCATCTAGCCATTGAAGCCAGGTCAAGTGGATATTATCTGCAAGTGTGGGTGACCTTGTGCATATGCCCTTTCTTCTTATCAGTTGAATGCTTCACTCTCCACTCCAGTCCTCTGTGGCTATGTCACTGACTCTGGGCCCAAGAGTCCCCAGGTCTTGCCACACTGCTGGGCAGCCAGATTTCTACCTGGCTTCTCAGGAGTCTATTAAGCGTGGTTGGACTTAGTTCGCAGCCTCATTGCTGTTTTTCCCTCACTTCCTCTTATCAGTGACCAATGTGGTCACCAGTCAGAGCACGTGTCTGCTCATGTATTCCCATTGAGTCTTAGACTTGGAAGGGTGTTTGCCCTGAGGGGACCTACCACTTGCCTTGATGTCTCATGAGCGAGCTACTTGCTTGTTCTTGTAGTAATCAGTCGGACTGCTGTTATTGTTTTGTATTTTTCCTGTCGGTCTTTCTTTCAAGAAGTATCTTTTGTTCTTCTAGCTGTTCCAGGCTGGTCTGCTTGTCCTTTCAAGTGGAAATTTCCCACCTCAGAAGATTCTGGATGGGACTCAGGATTGCACTTACGGTCTTATGTAATGCAGAGGCTCCACAGGAAGCTTCCTTCACCGGCACGTTGTAGCTCCATTTTAGATATTCCAATCAGTTTTAGGCAGAAGACGGACTTAGAAGCTTTCTTTATGGTGATATTTCTGCTATTCCTGTCTCTCCCCCTCAAGTGTCTATTTTGTAATGATATGCCAGGGAAACCAAGATTCAAAAGACAGCCAAGTATCTTAACATTATTTGAACCCTTTTACCCATTCCAACATGTTTCAATCCTTCTATGCCAGAGCCCTGTTGTTCCAAGGTTGTGCATACATCAATTATTTACCTCTGTCCCACTTAGCCCATGCAAACCTGTCTAATTGTTTTCCCATCTGCTTTGTGCTTCCATTCTCCTCCCCATTCTTGTGTACTGCCCCACTCCCCAGAACCCAAATTATCCTGTATTTATTCCCTACCCTGTAGTCCACCTTCCCCTTAGATTTCCTTTTCTATGAACTGTCTTTTGTTATCAGTCTGATTCAGTTCTTTGTCTTTTTCTTAATGATTGCAGTTGTTCTTTAGAAGGGAAATCATATATCCTTTTAATCATATAAAACTATTTCATTCTGTATGAAATTCATGTATATTACTACAAATAGGTATTTAATGCAGGGAATTAATCTTTCTCCACTGATTCTTTTTTTAAAAAAAAAATGTTTCTTGCACATTTTAGCTTATCTTTATCTTTTTTAAAAAAATGTTTCTTGCACATTTTAGCTCATCTTTATTCTACATAGTTTTAGGGCTGATCTTTAATATATTAAAAAAAAAAGAAAATTATTCAGAAACAGCTTGTGTATCTGTTATGTACTCAACAAAAATGGAGATATTTACCCTCTAGGACTTGAATTCTTACATTATTTTTCTCCCCAAACAACCAATAATCTTACATGCCTGGAATTTTCTACATGTGTCTTAATTTCTTCTTCTGGGCCATAAAGTGGATTTTAAGTCTAACATAAGTTTCTGTGGTCTTGAGGTTCCCAGTTTTCCTAGTAAATATGCTTTGACTCTAATAGACTTTTTAAATTGAATGAATTTTAACAGAATCCAGAGTGTTGGAGAGCAAGGTCACATGGCTTTGTTGGGACATAGTCTGGGTGCTTATATTTCTACTCTGGACAAAGAGAAGCTGAGAAAACTTACAACGAGGATACTTTCGGATACTACCTTGTGGCTCTGCCGGATTTTCAGGTATGTATGGATCATGTGTATACTGTGAGAGATCTCTTCTCTGGAGCTGTGTTACCTGGGCTCAAACTGGGCATTCTCTCTCTGACCTGTCGGTACCTCCAGTGGGGATTGCATTAGTATCAATCGCATGGAATTGTTGTGAAGATTAAATGGATTAATACATGAAGAGAGCTGAGAACATACGTACATAAATGCTTAGTAATGTCAACAGGTACTTAGTTTTAGGGTTACTCATTGGCACATCATGCTTGGTAAAGTAGAAAACCCATCCCACTGCCATCAAGTCAATTTCAATTCATAGTGACCCTGTAGGGCAGGGTGGGCCCCGAGGGTGTCCGAGGCTTTCATTTACAAAAGTAGATGTCACACATTTCTTCCACAGGGCAGCTGGGGGGTTGGAACTTCTGACCTTTTGGGTGTCTCTTGATTGCTTTAAGTACTGCACCACCAGCGCTCCGTGGTAAAGTCGAGGGTCAGTGAAGAAGAGGGAGCCCCTCAGTGAGATGGACTGACACAGTGGCCGCAACAATGGGCCCCGACTTACTAATCCTTGTGAAGATGGCACAGGACCAGACCATGGTTTGTTCTGTTATGCATAAGGTCCACCATGAGTTGGGACTGACTGACTCTGTGACACCTAACAATAATAACTGACATGTGTTCACAGAAGAGAGTAATGATCTGAATTCTGATCTCTTCAGTCACAGTATTAAGTTGTGCAGCTGTAGAAAGGAAATGCCCTCATAAGGAAGCTGAGATGTCATGAATTGATAACTTGCTTTAGACTGCTGTGATGTTGGCATTATCAAGGAATTTCAGCAGATTAAGGATTTAGTAGTAGACACAAGACCAATGGTATCATTGGGGGAATGGAATAGTTAACTCAGAAGCTCTTACTTTCAACTATTGGGAAAGAGTTTGCCCTGGCAAGACTGTAAGTAAAAATCTAACGGTTGCCATTGAAAGTCTTCCTTCTCTAGGAGATTGGGAAGAATAAATGTATCAGTGCAGTAGTAGTGGACGCTGACTAGCCTGATCAGCATTTCAGCAGCTTTATTTACTTGGGTGCTTTAGGGCTAAAACTGCTAACAAGTGTGTCGGTGTTGTCAGAGCTGGCCACCTGGTAGGCCAGAACAGTGGTTTTTAGGCTTTTGCAGCCTTCACTGAAAGGACTTCTGTTTGCTACTTGTTTTCATTACTTTTCTTGGGCATGGATGAAGGGTCATTGCCTGTCTCCTTTCCCATCTCTAGCTGTAATGAGTTGTGTCTCATGTTTCTATCCCCCCTTTGCTGATGGAGGTGACAATTTCTAGTTTGAGAAAAGAAGTACTTTTGTGATTATAAGATTTGGATCTAAAATCTGAATTAAGAAGAAATAATGTTGCTATGGGGATGTCTCTCACAGGTATGAAAATGGCTGTGCTTATTTCCACGAAGAAGAGAGAGAAGGCCTTGCTAAGATCTGCCGGCTTGCCATTCACTCTCGATACGAAGACTTTGTCGTGGATGGATTCAATGTGTTATATAACAAGAAGCCGGTCATCTATCTTAGCGCTGCTGCTAGACCTGGCCTGGGCCAGTATCTTGGTAATCAGGTAATGTGGTGTAAGGGGGATCTTGGAAAGAAACAATGTTTTAAAAGGGCAGAGCCCATTTCTCTGCTGTTCTTTTTTTTTGTGGAAGAGAAAGAAAAAAGATGACTTATATACTTGTTTTGTCATTACAAAATATATAAATGTATGCTCATTGAGTTTAGAAGTAAAGAATATGAAAGACATGAGGGAACTTCCAAAACTTCCTGGAAAAATAGAATGACAAGATAATGGTATTTTTTCTATGAACTTTTTAAAGCCTCCTCCTATTATATATACATAATAGCTCAAAGGTAAACAGAGTCAACATTTTTGTTTCCAGACTTTAATCGAAGGGTATATATGTCTTTTTACATGATTATCCCTGACTTTTTTCAATTACTGTTCCTAGCAGGAGGTCATTGTGCTATAGAAGTTCTTCAGATTCAACTTCCTTTCTACTGTCTATACTCTCTATATGAGTCTCTTTCAAGTGATTGAAACTGTTTCCCCATTGGACAGTTAGAGTGTGAACCTTTTTTTTTTCCTTTCTGTGGCCACTTTTAGGCAGCATTGTTGGTGTTTATATTTAGGCTTTATATTCTTAGGGTAGATTTTCAGAGTAATCTAGGATCACTAGATCAAAGAGCACTAACAATTTTGGTGCATGTAGACCAGTTGAGGAGCTACCTTGAGGCAAGAGGTTGTTAAGCTTCTTACTTGGCCAAGAATATTTTAAGGCAAAACTCCTATAGGGTGAAGGGTATGGTTCATATTTGGTAACGGTGGAGGGGCCTGGGAGGTTGTATGATTCCAAACTCTGGTCATAGGTGGTAAGAAATTATATCCTGTTCTTGAGGGCGTACAAAAGTGGGGAGTTTTACAATATTCCTGTAGAAACATGAAACAAACCGCTGAGTATCTACTGCACACCAGGCTTTTAGGACTAAGGCTGCCCTGGGGGACAGCAGTCCAGTTTAGTGTGGGAGAGCCTGCTGCACAGTATATGTAACATGGTCATACTTAGGTTTTTAAAATGCTTATATACATGTGTGTTTTTATACCTAGAAAATTATATGCATCTGTAAAGTCACATTTATACCTAGAACATGTCTGGAAGGTTGTCTCCTAAACTGTTATCACTGACAGACTGGTGGTCGATGGTAGGAGAAGCATTTTAACTGAATTTCTGTTTTATTTAATGTTTTCTTTTTTTCAGTGGAGTATCATTTTGCTAATTAAAAAAGAATCCTTTAAACGTGAAAATTGGGAAAGGTGTGCGACAGGGTTCTGTTCTTTCACCATACTTGTTCAATATGTATGCTGAGCAAATAATATAAGAAGCTGAGTTGCATGAAGGAAAACGTGGCATCAGGATTGGAGGAAGACTTATTAACAACTTGAGATATGCAGATGATACAACCTTGCTTGCTGAAAGTGAAGAGGACTTAAAATATTTACTGATGAAGATCAAAGAGCACAGCCTACATATGGATTACAATCCTAACCAGTGGACCAGTAAACAGCATTCTTATCAATGGAGAAGAGATTGAAGTTGTCAAGGACTTCATTCTTCTTGGATCAACTGTCAACACTCGCAGAAGCAGCAGTCAAGAGACCAGACGACGTGTATCGCATTGGGCAAATCTGCTGCACAGGAACGTTTTAAAGTTTTGAAGAGCAGAGATGTCAGTTTGAGGACTAAGGTGCGCCTGACCCAAGCCATGGTATTTTCAGTAACCGCATATGGATGTGAAAGCTGGACAGTGAATAAGGAAGGTCGTAGAAGAATTGATGCCTTTGAGTTGTGGTGTTGGAGGAGAATACTGAAAGTGCCATGGACTGCCAAAAGAACGAATAGATCTGTTTTGGAAGAAGTGCAACCAGAGTGCTCCTTGGAGGCCAAGATGGCTAGGCTTCGTCTCTCATACTTTGGACACATTGTCCGGAGAGAACAGTCGCTGGAGAAGGATGTCATGCTGGGTAAGGTGGAGGGTCAGAGAAAAAGAGGAAGACCCCCAATGAGATGGATCAGCCAGGTGGCATCATTGATGGCGTCAAGAGTGGCGGCGGTAGTGAGGTTGTACAGGGGTTGCTATGAGTCGTTTCCAACTCGATGGCACCTGACAACAACAACAACAACAACAAATGTGAATAAAGTGCTCATTAAATTTTTGGTAATTAAATGCTCCTGGTGTGGTGCTATAGGATAAGCACTGGACTGCTAACTGCAAGGTCAGCGATTCAAAGTCACCAACTACTCCTTGGAAAAGTTACTGTAGGGTCGCTGTGAGTTGGCACTGACCCAACAACACTTAACAAAAAATGCTACTGTTAGTTATATAGAACAATATGCTGCAACTTTAAAATGATTGAAATTATAAACTACTTAAACGTTTGGAAGCTAAAAATGAAGATTTTAAAGTTTATTTACCAATAATCCTCCCTAGTATCACACTGCAGGATAATGTGCTGGAGCGTAAGTTCAGTTTGAGCCACGAGCTGCTCCTTGGAGACGCTATACAGGGTTACTATGAGTCGGAACCAGCTACATGGCATTTCACAACAAATCTCCATTTGTAACATTAACATGATTTCATTTCTTTGCTAGGCCATAACACTGCTTTTTAGGAATGCACTGGGAGTGTGCTGGCTCCATACAATAAGTACTGAACTACAAACCACATGTGGTTAGAGCCCACCAGCCCCTCTATGGGAGAAAGATGAAGCTTTCTGCTCCCTTGAAGAACTAAAGTCTCAGAAATCCTATATGGGCTCACCGTGAATCAGAACCGAATCAACAACACTTAACAACAACAGACCCATAAATAAAATATAGTTTTTAAAGTGCCTTTAGCTGGTATTATTTACTAGTGATGATTGCAAGAATTGTAAACTATCTCAATAAATGCTCAGGGAGGGCTGTGGTTTCTCTGATGGGCAAGGTGTTTATGTTCTAAAATATACCAAAGATAATCACTTTGACTAATTTAGAAAGTTTTACATCTCACCTTTTAAGAATTCACTCCCCCCACCTTTTTTTCGTTAAAAAGAAAAAAGCTTCTTCAATATACTTTAACATCTATTAATAATATTAGGAGAGAGAGGTTTTGTTTTAAGAACATTTAGGGCTTGTCTCAGGGAGCCTACGTCAGTGGTGACACAGATCTTCTTGGTTCTTGCAGCTTGGCTTGCCTTTCCCCTGCTTGTGCCGTGTCCCCTGTAACACTATGTTTGGATCCCAGCATCAGATGGTGAGTTAACCCTTTGACTGGTAAAATAGTATGCAGTTGTGTCTTAAACTTTGTCTTCTTTTAACTGATGGTTCTATTGGCTAATCCCCACAGACGCATTCCTTATTCTTTTATTGCCTAGGATTTTCCATTGAGAATACATGCTTCTGGGTTTGAAAAGTCCATGAAGGTCACTTGGCATATAGGTCAGGAATACCTGACTTTCAGGGACTCTTTCGTGTCTTTTATTTTATGTAGACATATGGCAGTCAAGTCAACCACACCACATTTCCCCTGTTAAGCTCAGGCTTTTCAGTGGGTGTCACTGATGCCTGGGCTTGCAGATGAGCAGGTGTTGGGATGAGGGCTTCCTGCAAACCTTGAGATTGGAGTGTGCTTTCAGCCATGGACGTGATCGGTTTCTCCAGACCTTAACCTAGATACAAAAGGGATCGATTTCATTTTTCTGCGTTTCATTTCCAAACCCATTTCACTGTCTGATCCAGGTGCATCAGTGAGTAATAAATATTAAGGATGCATGGCTTTCTGGGGGGTGGGAGTGCTATAACATTTTCTTTAAATGTTTACGGCTTGAGAACTTTTGGTCTTCTATGTGCTGTGTTATTGTTTGCGTTTTGTACATGCAGTTTTAAATTTTAGTGTGACCAACTTTTTTAGTTTTCATGGAAAACTATCTGATTTTCTCATGTATGATTTGCGACAACGAACAATTGCCAAGCATAAGCATTGATGTTGTTGTTGTTGTTATGTGCCGTGGAGTCGGTTCCAACATAAGCATTGATATGAGGGGTTAATTTTAAGAGTTGTCTGGAAGTCCCAGTTCTCCATTGTATTCACTTTGATGCTGGTTGCCTCGTGTTTTTATATTTTCTCTTTCGGTTCCAGGATGTTGCCTTCTTGGAGAAACTGATTAAAGATGATAAAGAACAAGGAAGGTTGCCCCTGGTGCTTGTTGCAAATGCTGGTAGGTGTGATGATCTTTCATTTAGGATATTAGGGGTTGAATCATGTCTCACAAAAATTTGTGTTGTAGATCCTAACTTCTTTGCCTGTGGTTTGGGTATCTTTGTTAAATGAATAAGATAGGATTAGTTTAGGGTGTTTATCAAAGCAATCTCTTTGTAATATAAGGGATTAAACATGCAATCCAAAGAAGGAGAGATGGGGGAAGATTGGAAGGAACCAGGAAAGACGCTGAAGAGATCCGGATCTTCTCCCATGGCCTTCCCCCATGGCCGGCAGAAGTCCTTCCTAGAACCAGGGCTCTGAATCCGGACTTCGAGCTTTCTAAACTGTGAGAAAATAAATGTGCCTTAAAGTCATCTGCTTGTGGCATTTCTGCTCTCGTACCAGTGGAGAACTAAAACATATCTGTAAGAGCCAAGTCAGGTGCTTACCCTTAAAAAAGATTTAACTTTTCAGGAATATATGTATGCCACATCTGTAAGGTAGTCTCTTGTCAACCTTACGGTTGTTGTTGTGAAGGTGCCATCTAGTCATTTCCGACCCATGGCAACCCTGCATAGGGTTTCCGAGGAGCGGCTGGTGAGCTTGAACCACCAACTTTGCAGTTCAGACGGCTTTGCAGTCTGGGCATTAGCCACAGCGCCACATTATTATTGTTGGTTTATTCCCTTTAGCTGTTGATCTGTTCTGGAAGGTAACTGTATGTATTTGTGTATCTGATTTTTAATTTAGGCTGTAAATGCTTCTATCTTCTTCAGCTTTATAGTCTTCCTTTTTGCTTTCCAAATTGAATTTTAAAATGAGACACTGAAATGTGACACTGAAATGGCCACTTTGTGGATAGTAGGTCAGCTACTTACTGACTGCTCAATTTACTGTATTCATTACTGTATTCAGCATTATACTTGTAGCCGTCAACATTGTAATACAGCCACCCAAAAAATAATTCCCCAGTATACAGGTTGAAAAGGTGTTTAGAAATAGACTCATGTCATTTGACTTGTTTTTGACAAAGATGTCAAGGTAACCCAATAGAGAAAGAATAGTCTTGTAACAATTGAATATCAATATAGCAAAAATGGAACTTAAACCCTTAACCTTACTCTATATTCTAAAATTAATTCAATAAAAAATTATCTTAGACCTAAGTATAATGAAAAACTTTTTGAAAAAATATAGAAGATCTTTGCAATTTAGAACACAAAAGGTATAAACAATCGACTGAATTGCATCAAAAATGAGAGGCTTTTAAAAAGACTGGCGGGGGTGGTCATTGCAAATATGTATCTGACCAAGGATTTGCTTACAGCATAGATAATAAATTCTACAACTCAGTAATATGGAGACACAATACATAATATTTAGAAGAACGTTTTTGAACAGTTTACCCAGAAGACTCATGTATTGAGAAGCTGCTTGACATCTTTACTCATTGTTACAACTGTGAAGCGCTGTCTAGTCGGCTCTGACCTGTGTACAGTGTCCAAGGCGTTACGGTTTTTGCGGGAGCAGAAAGCCTCATCTTGTCTCTTGGAGCACCTGATGGCCTTTGTGGTTCTCAATCCAGTGCTTATCATATGGAGCCACTGCACTCCCTATCATTAGTCATTAGAGAAATGCAAATTAAAACCAAGATGTTGTTGCTGTTAGCTGCCGTTCAGTCAGTTCCAATTCATTGTGACCGTATGCACAACAGAATGAAACACTGCCTAGTCCTCCACCGTCCTGACAGTTGTGGCGCTTGAGCCCATTACTGCTACCACTATGCCACTCCATCTTGTTGGGGGTGTTCCACTTTTTCACTGACAAACCAGGATGAGATACATCAATAAAAATGAAGGAAATGAAACAGTACAATTCTAAGTGCTGACAAGGTTACAGGGCAGCTGGAGCCCTTACCCGTGGTTTGGGGAATGAAAAATGTTATAACCACTCCAAAAAAGAGTCTGGCAGTTTCTAAGTACACTTAACATGACCCATCAGTTTTACTTCTAGTTATTTACCAAAGAGAAGTGAAAACATAGGTCTACACAAAGCCTTGTGTGTAGATGTTGTAACTGGAAACAACGGAGGTGCTCTTCATCTGGTAAATGGGTAAGCACACTGTGCTGCACCCAGATGGGAATGGTAAGAATTATTGTTGTACACCCAGCATGGTGAATGTCAAAAGCATTAGTGATTTCATATACATGAGATCTTAGAAAAAACATAACTCCAGTGACAGACCAGATCCGCATCACCAGTGGGGAGGGAAGTGACTGCAGTGAGTCTCAGGGGTGTTGGAAATCTTCACATAACTGCATACATGCATTGATCAAACCATACACTTAATGAGTGGGTTTTATTGTATGTAAACCATGCCTCCTTAAAGCTGATTGTTTAAAACAAAACAGAAGCAGGGAAACCACCCCTTCCTGCCTGCTAACATAACACATCATAAGTTTAAAAAGAAGCGTACTTCATCCGTATGTGATCGAGTGAGATGGGTGAGGCTATCATTTGCACATGACTAGTGGACGCAGGCACAGTGTGATGGTGGCATAGTCACTGGACTCTCCCCACTCGGATTCAGTGGGCGTGATGTCCCAGCAAACATCTCCCACTGAGCAGTCACTGGAGCCTGGGAATGTATACTCTCTCTAGTGGTGGTTGTGAGGTGCCGTTGAGTAATTCCGACTCATATTAACCCTGTATAGTGTTTCCGAGGACGTGGAGCAGCTAGTGAGCTTGAACTGCTTCAAACTGACCTTGGGGGCTTGTGCTTACCCCACAGCGCCACTCCAGGACCCCTGTAGTTGGGGTGGTTTTTGCCCACCTCTGGAATGGGGCTGGCCAACAGACATTGCCGTAAACCGGGAAAGGGGTGCCAAGTTCTGTACTCACTCAGACACAAACTGTGCTTTATGTTCTGACAGATGGATCATGTGACTCAACCACACATTGTCATATGGTCTTGCTTCAACTAACCAGAATGTGTCTGTTAAGATTTTAAACATTTTTTAAATTTGAAGTGGGCTTTTGTGTGAGGGACAAAGAGTTTCCTGTTCTTCCTGGCATGAACCCTCCCATCAGAACCACTTCTAGTTGTGTTTGTTGAGGCGCTTGGTGGGAGTATGAAATCTCATTAGTTAGGATTCTATTAACCAGAAATTTAGGGCACTTAGACCTGATGGTTCTGTAGGATAAAGCACTGGACTAGTAACCCCACTGTTAGCCCTTCAAACCCACCAGCTGCGCCACAGGAGAAAAAAGAGGTTTTCTGTTCCCATACAGATCTACAGCCTCGGAAACCCTGCACAGAGTCATTGAGGCAGAACCGACTCACTGGTGGTGGGTTAGGAAGTGGATGTAGCTCCACGTTAGGCCTGGTTTCCATCTTTGAAGAAAAGATGATCTGCCCAGCAACATCTGTAGTGTGAATCAATTAGCAAGGAAATGGCTTGGAGTGCTCTGTGTTTTAAAACTGGCTTCAGAATGCTTAATATACCAAAGGGCTTAGAAAAGTTTGTGAAAAATGGGATTAAAAGAGAAGGGAATTTGAACATTTTGAGCCCCCTTGTATACATAAAGGAGTGCGGTGACTCTGTAGGATAAGCAGTGGACTGCTGAGCACTAGCTGCTCTGCGGAAGAAAGGTGAGGCTTTCTGTTGTTGCAGAGATGCACATAAACACAGAGTTAATGTAAGGCAAAATGAACTTAATGGCACTTAATAACAAATACTAAAATAACCTCTAGTTTGAGTAAAACAAACCAACCAGAAAACAGATAGTCATCTTGTTGTTGTTGTTATGTGCCGTGGAATTGGTTCTGACTCATAGTGACCCTGTACAGGGTTTCTGAGGCTGTAAATCTTTACGGGAGCAGAAAGCCTCATCTTTATCCAGCAGAACAGCTTGTAGTTTCGAACCGCTGACCCTGAGGTTAGCAACCCGATTCATAACCACTACACTCAAGTATTCTTTATAAGGGAAGTACCTAAATCAAAATAACCCAGAAAATGACAGGAAAACCAAAAAGATGGAAAAAGATATCTTATGTAAATGCTAACAAAATGACGTTATAGCAATATTGTTAAGTGTTGTTGGGTCAATAACGACCTGTACAGATTTCCAAAGGAGCTCTGGTAGCGTAGTGATTACGAATTGGGCTGCGAACCCGAAGGTCAGCAGTTTGAAGCTACTAGCTGCTCCGCGGGAGAAAGATGAGACTTTCTACTCCTGTAAAGATTTACAGCGTCGGAAACCCCAACAACAATAGATTTTCAAGAAGCAGCTAGTAGGTTTGAACCACCAACCATGTAGTTAGCAGTCCAGTGCTTATCCTACAGCATCACACTAGCACTCTATAGCAATATTAGTGTGAGATACAATAGACTTCATGTTAATATAATCTGTGAAACAGCAGTTACGAATGTATGTGAAAGTACCTTTAAAATATATGAAGGAAACAATCAAAAATGGATACAATACAAATATAAATTGACAGATCCACAATCTTAATGGGAGACTTGACTGTATCTCAGTTAAAATATCAAGTAGATATTTTACAGTGGCTACACACTTGCATAATTGACTTGCAACAGTTGATTTTAAACTAATCCAAAAAGAAAAAGGGATGAATTTAGTTATTTGCTTCCTAGGGGAAGGATGACTGTAGAACCTTTTATCCTGACGGATGTTTGCTGTCTCCTAGGAACTGCCGCAGTAGGACACACAGATAAGATTGGGCGTTTGAAAGAACTCTGTGAGCAGCATAGCATGTGGCTTCATGTGGAAGGGTGAGTAGATGGTAGGATTGGCTCCCTGTGGGGTATGCACATGGTCCCTGTGGAGGGAGCGTATCCAGCCTCTCCACTAAGGACTACAAATAACAAAGTAACCCCAATGGGCTTAGGAAAAAGGAGATTTTATTGACTCACCTAATTAAAAAAAAACAAAAACGACGAGTGTTGGAATTGGCTGGGGGCAAACAGGATTCAGTTTCAGTCTCTGTCTGCTCTCCTTCCCCATCACTTGCTACAGTTTGGCGCCATTGATAGACTTTTCTGTGATGGTGCAAAGTAGCTGAAGCAGCTCAACTCTTCTTCAGAGTCGCGTTCAGTGGACCAGAAGGCTCAACAAGTCTCCCACTGAACAAGCACGCTGGCCAGGGAGTTGTAGTACTCTGGTAGTCTAGGTCATCCTGAAACAGCTGGTCTTATGATCTGATAGAGGAGATGGGGGTGGCTTCCCAGTAGGCAGTTGGTACTGTGAGGAGAAGTGGGGAGAGAGGGATGCAGGTAGCCTGTTGTAGCCCATAGCTACTACATCATACAAGGTTGGTCTCTTATTTTATCGCTCTGGAAAATAATATATATGACTTAAAAAAAAAAAAAATCGTGGTGACAGATATAAAATGGTATGTCCGTTATACAAAAGAAGTAGGAGACATCCTCTGAAGCCTGTTTTCATTACTATGCATTTTCAAGGTTTTCCTGAAATTTGTGTTAACCACATTTTTTTTTGCTGCTACAAAAATTAGTAACACAAGTGAAAGACATTTAAATGTCAGCTTGTCACAGCACCTTCTTTATTTTCCTGAAGATAAAAGACTTGGTGAACTATTAATTCTTAGACTGGTGTTTGGTGTTTTTTTCTTACAGTGTGAACCTGGCAACGCTGGCTCTAGGTTATGTCTCCTCGTCAGTGCTGGTACGTGGTGGCCTTTGTAAGAAAGTCTTTGGACGCAGCAGACTGTGCCTTGTTTTTATGAAGGGAAGCGAGGGTTGAGTGGACCATATTCTCTCTCAGGATCTCTCATTCACGTCATTCTTCTCCTCTTGGTAGGCAGCAACCAAGTGTGACAGCATGACTTTGACTCCGGGCCCTTGGCTGGGTTTGCCAGCTGTGCCTGCGGTTACGCTGTACAAACACGATGACCCTGCCTTGGTAAGCCTGCTCTCACCGGAGGTGACACACGGGGCTGGCTCCTCATCAGTATTGGATGTAGGGAAGTAGGGAGATGCGCAAGGGAACACGTGAAGATTTCCTCTTTATTATATGTATTTTTTTTTTGTGATTCTCATCTCTTTCAAAACTTTTTAAACATAACTGTATACTGTTTCTGTTTTTTTCCTACTTCTCATATGTATGAAGACTTTTTTTTATATAGTTGAGTTTTGGTTCAATACAGTTTATACGTTACATTTGACAAGTCAGTTACGCTTAACAGTTGCCACACAAGTTGTTCCTTCCATGGCATGAGCTACATTTTTCAGTGTGTCAACATTCTCTCTTGCTTTCTGGCTGTTCCATTTCCTGTACACTTGTTTCCCTGACTCCCTATCTTCTCATCTTTGCTTTAGAGTAAAAGTTGCCCTTTAGGTCTCACACAGATGACACAGTTTTTCAGTGCAGCACCATTCTTAATGGGTCAGACCCTTTATTTTGTGTGGCACTCTGTTGTTTGGCTAAAATGTGTCTTTGGCAGAGAGTTTCAGTTCAGAGTTTAAAGACTGTCTCAGGACAGTAGTCTCAGTGAGTACTTGGTCTCAGCTGATTCAGTGAGTCAAGCCTTTCCCCCCATTTTTCTGCTGTGACCCTGTCAGGGTGGTCAGTGGTTGTAGCCGCACACCTGCGCATTCTTCTGATCACAGAACAGCTGAGACCAAGGGCTTGCGTAGGCTATCAACTTTCTATGATGAATTGTTAATGACATTTTCTGGCTGCGTAATAGCTCATCACTTAAATACCATAATGAAGTTAATTATTCCTCATTTGTGAACTTGGAGCATGTTTTCAATTGTTTGTCTTTTTTTCCCCCCTCCAATTTTTTGTAAATGAAATGAGACAATAAACCCTTCTACATTTCAGATTCTGTCCTTCAAATGTTGTTGTTGTTGCATGCCATTGAGTCGGTGCCAACTTATAGTGACCCTGTATAGGGTTTCTGAGGAGCAGCTGGTCGGTTTGAACTGCTGACCGTGAGGTTCACAGTCCCGTGCTGATCCCACAGAGTCACACCAGGAGTCCTTCCTTTGAATAGGCTTTTAGAAGTGGGACTGCTGAGTCAGAATAATTTTAAGGCTCCTGTTCTGTTGGCTAAAAGGTTGTAAAATGACGTTTTTTAAAGTCATAGTGTTCTTGATAGGGGATTGGTTAGTGCAAGGTAGCAGGCCCAAAATAAACTTGACGAGAAAACTGCAAAACAGTTGTTGTCTTGTTGAGTTGGTGATGACCAGGTGTCTGAGGACACGCATAGCAGCCTTGGAAAGGCCTGCCTCTTGAGTGACTAAGAGCTTTGGCTTTGAGAGTTGACCAGTCTGGATTCTTATCCTGGCTTCCCCACTTCTCAGCCATACTCCTTCAGACAAAGCTAGGTCTCTGGGTTAAGTTATCTAGAATCCTTACCTGATAGAGTTGTTGGGTGATTAAATGAATAATGCCAACAAAGTGACTGTCTTAGGATCTAAGTATGCAGTAAATGTAACTGGTTAGTTCAGTTGTGTGGTTTCTGTGCTTTGAATAATAAACCATATTGTCTTTTTCAGACTTTAGTTGCTGGTCTCACATCCAACAAGCCAGCAGACAAACTCCGTGCCTTGCCACTGTGGTTATCTTTACAATACTTGGGTCTTGATGGGATTGTGGAAAGAATAAAACATGCTTGTCAACTGGTGAGTAGAAACCTGATGTTTCAGTGAGCCACGCATACTCTGTAGCAAAAACAGGACCAGAAAAGTCCATCCAGTAATCCCAGTGCCTGGATTCACCACACCCTAAACAAACAGGTGGATTGCCCTGCACCTAGATGTTTCTTATTGGGAGTTCTGGGGGACTGCTGGACTTGTCCAAGGATTTGTGTCCTGATGAAATCAGACTGGAATGAATGCTAGTGTCAGCACGGGGTCAGAAAAGCCGTCACATGATGACAGTCAAGAAGTGGAGAAAGATGGAAACAGGGAGTCCCATATGACCGACTGATTGACTCTTGAGGGTGAGGGGATGGGAGGGGTAGGGGTTGATGATGGATTACATGTGTATTTTTAACAGCTGGCTTGGGTTCCCAAATTGAAAGGTTTGAGGACAGTGTGTGGGTTGGTTGGTAGGTAGGGACAGTTATAATCATCTGTCCATTCATTTTAGGTGTTTTAGTTGCATAACATATAATTATAATCGATTGCTACAAGTCGGAACCAACTCAGTGACAATAACAACATAATTAAAAAAATAAACGTATTTGTGCAGCTTGAGAGCTAAACGCCTTAAACTTAAGAGCATGATGTCACCTGTTTCCATCTGTGTTTTCTCATCTGTAAACGGGATGATAATATAACAGGAGATTGTTATGAGGATTTAATGAGTTAGTACATGCAAAATTTACAGTAGTGCTTGGTCATATAGTCAGTTATACAACTAGGTTTGATCTTTGTTTTAATATAATCTTGGGGAATTGGCCTTTTCTCAGGTGTCATTCTTACATTTAAGCAAAATCAGTATTTTTACATTTTGTTTCAGCAGCTTTAGTGTAAAAATACCTTTGGTTCACATTATTTTTACACTAAAGCTACATTGAACATTTATGCTCATAAGTTTAATTGGGCTGCTTGCTCGCATCTTGAGGTTTGGTTCTGCAGAAGCCCTATTGCCCTAGTAACTTAGTCAATTTGGAAAAGGTTCAGGCTCTCAAGGGAGAGATTTTCAATTCCCTTTGGCCTGTGGAGTGCAAGAAAATAACACTGACATGATCTACCAAGGCTTGCTCCACGACTTCGGCATCCCCTTCCCACAAACACTGGGGCGGGCGGGTCTCAAATACTCCAAGACTTGACTGATGGCTCTAATGCTGACACACCACTGCTGCAAACAGGCCCATGAAGACCGCATGTAAGGTTTGCAAATGGGGTTAGCTGTCTGTGTACATTCATGCCTTATAGTTCACACTGGAATTCCTGAGGGTATATATCAATGTTTTCCTTTTCTTTGCTCTCCTCCTCACCACCATGCCATCCTCATGGGGGCAGGGATCGAGCATTGCCTGAAGCACTTTGTGTGCATCAACTCCTGTGATCCCCACAACTTTGCTGTGAGGTCCACTGATAGCAACACATGACGAAGTCGTTCCCAGGAGATTCCATCCCATGTGCGGCGCTCAGTAAATACCTGCTGAATGAATGACTCCCTGTCCCCTGACATAGATGCTGTTATCCTCTCCCCCATAACAAGGATTTAATGACCTAATTGAGATGGGAGATGATGTTGATGTTAATGCTTAGAATGTTCTAAGTTCTGTTTCTAAGCATTTAATGTATAGTAGCTCTTTAAATCTCCACAGCATCCTTGTGAGGTAGACCTATTTTTTGTTGAGGGCCCTGAAGCCCAGGAAAATGAACTAACTTGTCCCAAATTGCAGCTAGTAAGTGGTGGATTAAGTCATTCACTCCTGAGCCTGCCAGGCAGGTAAATGGCAGAGCCAGGTTCTGAATCCAGGTGTGATGGACTCGGGCCACCCGTGCCCTTACCCTGACTCCTGTGCTGTCTCAGTTAGCTCTGAGCCTCCTCATTCTGTCCCTATTACTTGGTCTTACACACATTTGCTCTCAGTAGTTTTTGAATGAACAACTTAGGCTTTACTTAATGCTAATATGACATGCATATATGTCTTACTAGAAAAAGCTTTTCTTGATAAGATTGGCATTTATCTGCCTGAGATTCTTATTTGCAGACCTGAAAAGATGTTTATGAAAATTATTTTGTATTTTCTTGTGTCCATCTAATGAAGTGGTTTCTTATCATTTGCAGAGTCAACGGTTGCAGGAAAATTTGAAGAAAGTGGACCACATCAAAATCTTGGTATAGTATCTAATGTCATGTGATCTCGAAATAACTTTTTTAGTTAGGTGTGGTTCACAGCGATCCTGTATAAGATTTCTGAGGAGAAACTGATAGGTTTGAACTGCTGGTCTTGTGGTTAGCAATTCAGTGCCTGTCCTGCAGCGCCACACCAGGACTCCCAAAACTTTTAGCTGTAGAATGACGTTCTCCAGATTTGAGGCATTTAAGGGGAGATGTGGCAACTCCAGTCAAACCACATTCCAGGGAGGAGGATCATTCCTGAATTGATGACCTCAGAGAAGCATAGAAATCTGTACCGCCCAGTGTTTAATGAGCCTGCAGTACTTTTCTTCCTCGCCATTTGGAGTTCTCTTCTGCAAACCGTGTAGAATTGCTTAAAGGGCTTACCAACACCATCTTCTTGAAATGAAAAAAATCACTGTATCTCTCAAAATGCTTAGGGCAACTCTTTCTGGAATGCTTTGACATCAGTATTTCCTTTCTTGTGCATGAGCAGGAAAAGGAAAAGTCTGCATCTCTGCTCTTGTCTTCCCCTGGTATCTTCTCAAGTCCCTATCAGAGGTATTTCCTAGGGATAGTAAATAGGCAAGGACGCCTGTGGACCTGCCAGGGCTAGTGACAAAGAAGAGATATAAGTTAAGCAGTTAATCTCTCCGTGGTATTCACTAATAAGTTTTAGTTTTCATATACTGTCTTATTGAAGTGAATTGGTGTTAAATGCCATCAAGTTGGTTCCGATTCATGGTGACCCTGTGTAGGGTTTCTGAGGAGCAGCTGGTGACCTTGAACCACCGACCTTGAGGTAGAGTGCTTATCCTAGGTCACCACACCAGGCCTCATATATAAGTGAGATCATGTTTTCTAGGTTCATGTATGTTGTGGTGTGCATCAGGACTTCATTCCTCTTTATATCTGAATAATATTCCATTGTATGTATATGCAAGGGGACTGAATTAATTTCTCCATGTAGCCAGGAGTCCTGGGGGTACCGCTGCTAACGAAAAGGTCAGTGGTGTGAACCTCCCAGCTCCTCCACAAGAGAAAGACCTGATGGTCTGCTTTCGTAAAGATGACAGCCAAGACAACCCTGTGGCTCGCTTCTTCTCTGTCATGTGGGAGCACCGTGAATCCGAACCAACTCCATGGCACACACACAGTAACAACCTGTCGGTGTGTCTGTTCATCAGCTATTGGATAGTTTGGTGGTTCTCACCTTTTGGCTCCTGCAGCTAGTGCTATAAATGAAGCCGTGGACATTGTACACTTATGCTTGCTCCTGTTATGGCTTTTCAGTGTTTGGGGTGTACAGATTCTGATGTCAATAGGTTCTCTGGGTATGTCTATAACAATTCTGCAGGTACAGTTAAGTTTACAGGTGTTTGAGTAGGTTGGCAGTTTAGATTCACTCATTTTATTTCCACATTAGTACACAGTTAGGTGAAAGTCTAATACAGTCATTATTATACTGGAAAATCTCAAAATGCCTCTTTGAGACAGTTTGTATAGTTGATGTCTCTGCTGGCTATTAAGACTGTCTTTGGGTTTGTGCCATGGCCCCATGACCTATCTAAATGAGATTTTTTTAAAACAACAATAAGAAAAAAACCCTGCTGGAGACATTTTTAACCTGAAGATTCGTTATTTTTAAACCAACTATGCAAAATTTTAAAAAGCCTTTCCCTCATTTTCTTAGGTCTAAACCTTCTGGAATCACAGTTAGCTGTCTGAGCCCTGTCACGCCATAGTCCATCTCTCTCTCTCTGATGGTTTCCATCTCTTTATCTCTGTTGCCTTCTGGTTAGTTTTTTCCAGATCTGTCTTTGAGTTTCATAACTTCCTCTTCCCTCTAATCTGTTGTCTAGCCATTATTGCATTTTTAATTTCATAAGACTTTTTATTTCAAGATGTTTTCTTTAGTTCTTTTTAAGTTATTCTCTGTGTGTGTGCATGTGTTGTGTGAGAGTTTACACATCAAGTTAGATACTCACCTTGTTGTTGTTGTTATATGCCCTGGAGTCAGTTCTGACTCATAGCGACTCTGTACAGGGTTTCCGAGGCTGTAAATCTTTATGGGAACAGAAAGCCTCATCTTTCTCCCGCGGAACAGCTGGTAGTTTCAAACTGCTGATGCTAAGGTTCGCAGCCCGATTCGTAACCACTACGCTACCAGATACTCATCTTGTTGTTGTTGTTGTTAAGTGCCTTTGAGTCGGAGCCGACCCATAGCGACCCTGTACAGGGTTTCCGAGGGTGTAAATCCTTACGGGAGTAGAAAGCCTCATCTTTCTCCCACGGAGCGGCTGGTAGTTTTGAATCACTGACCTTAAGGTTCGCAGCCCGATTCATAACCACTACGCTACCAGAGCTACTCATCTAGCCGTTTTTATTTGTTCCGAGCCAGTGGTTACAGTTTCACAAAGTCTTAGCATTCCTATTATTTCTATTCTGGTCTGTTCCAGTCACCTGGCTTCCTTTTCCCTCCTTGCCTTCTCACCTTTGCTTTTGGCTAAATGTTGACCATTTGGTCTCATATAGTTAATAGTCTAAGGAAGCAAAGTACTTACAAGTGATGGTTTGTTTTATAAGCCAACCTGTTGTTTTAAACTGCTGACCTTGAGGTTAGCAGCCCCATTCGTAACCACTATACTATCAGAGCTCCATATATATATATATACATACATGCAAAGTCATTTGAACTGCAAGGTCCGTGTGCTTCACTCTCACCAGCTGCTCCTTGGAAACCCTGGGTCACTGTGGGTCTGAATTGACTCAATGGCACTTAACAACAATACATGATACATATGGTTATACACAGATAATCACATACATTTTTTGATTGTCTTTACTACTATTATAAATTGTTTATGTTCTGGCATTTACTAAAATGGTCCCTTTTTCTTGTGTACTTCGTAGTATCTTTGTTTACATTGGACTAGTTGTACTGACTTGACCCATATTTGGTATTGTCTTTCCCATCACTTAAAGTGTCTACTGTCAGAAGCTGATTCCTCTTACCCCCCCTCCTTCAGACCAACTTTGCAGTCCAGTGCATTAACTTACAGTGCTACACTGTACAAAATTTGCCTTGTTGTGATTGATTTATTTCAGTCAACATAATCTCTACATTCATGTTAAAAAACGTTTTGTAGATTCCTCACTGTTGCTTATAATTATGTAGTATTCCATTGTGTGCAGTTTCCAAAGTGCATTTTGTCATTTACCCATTGATGGACACTTGGTCTGTAGTCTGTTGGAGATGCTGCTGCAGTGAGCATAGGTATGCATTTGGCTGTCTGTGTCATTGAACTTAGCTCTCTAGAGTACTTACCTCGCAGAGTGGGGTTGCGGGATTTCTGGCTTTTTGAGCACGTGCCACACTGTTGTCTATAGTGGTTATACAACGCTACTACTCAAGTGTAAGACTTCCAATCCCCTTACAACCTTGCCAGCATTTGTTTTCTGCTCGTTTGTTTTTGTCATTGCCATTTTTGTAGGGATGAGATGATACTGCTTATTAGTTTTTATTTGCATCTCTCTGATGGTTAATGATCATTTTTTGTAAATGTCCTTTTAGTGAAGTGTCCATAACTTTTGTCCATTTTTCAAAATTTAATTGTCTTTTTGTTGTTGAAGTTTTCTGTATATTTTAGAGATTAGACCCTTACCAGTTATCAAGGATCAGCCACCTATAGACCCATGGATTTACTTCTGGGTTCCAATTCTCTTCCATTGGTCTATGCCAGCATTGAAGCAGTACCAGGCTGTTTTTATTACTGAGGGTGCATAGTAAGTTTGGAGATCAGGAAATGTAAGACCTCCTACTTTTTTGTTTTTAATATTACTTTAGCTGTTGCGGCCTCCTTCCTTTCCATATAAAGTTAAAGACTAGTTTTTCCGATTCATTAAAGAATGTTGTTGGGATTTTTATCACAGTTGCATTATATCCGTAAATTTTTGGGGGCAGTATTAACAATGAGAATGGACTGTTTTTCTATTTATATAGATCTTTTTTACAAAATTTGGAACATAGCTACCATAGAACACATATATGAAGAAGACTATAAAATATTACTGTAATATTTTATAGTCTTCTTCATATACGTGTCATATAAGGGTTTTTATGGTAGCTGGCTTCCAAATTTCTTGGTCTAAGCTGGTGAGTGCTCCCAGTGTTAATGGTAATTTGTTGAAACATATAAATCCTCGCCATGCCTGGATTCTTGTTTATGCAACGCTTCAATGTAGCTCAGACTTCTCCCTTCAGTATCAGTGGTTCTGGATCCTATGCTGCCTTGGGAACTGGTAAAATGTTCATTCTTTTTTGTACAGTAACGATATTTTTTCCATCATCTTTTGATATTTCCTGTGACATTCAATATTTTGCCCATAGAATCCTTCAGTATATTCAACTCGAGGCGTGAATTTTCCTTCAGTTTCATTCAGCATGAAAAGTATCGAGTGTGTTCTTCACTTTTGGTTTTCAAACTCTAGGTCTTTGCACATTTCACTGTAGTATTTTAGTTTGTCTTCTCATGCCATTCTTTCAAATTTTCAGTTCATCTCTTTTACTTTATTATTTTTTCCATTCACTTTAGCCACCCTACGTTCAAAATGAAGTTTAAAAGTCTCTTATGTCTCTATAGTTCAGGTGTGGCGCTGTGGGTTAATGATGGGCTAGACTACAAAGTTAGTTTGAACCGCACGATCAATGGCAGTTTAAAGTTCACCATCTGCTCCTCAGAAACCCTATACGGGGTCGCTATGGATTGGAACTCACTCAACAGCACTTACAACAACAACAACGTATCTATTTTGGTCTTTTATTACCACCACCACCCCCCCTTTTTTTTTTTTTTTTTTAAATAGCCTTTTACTTTTACTTTCTTCATGAGTGATGTCCCTTATGTCTTGCCATGACTGGTCTTTGAACGTAATGTTAGTGTTCAGTATGCCAAATCTGTTTTGACATAATCTATCTCTAAATTCAGGTGGAATATACTTAAGGTTGTATTCTCACTCTTAATGAGCGTGTTTTCATTTTTCTCAGCTTCCTGTTGAACTTGCATATGAGCAGTTACTAGTCTGTTCTGCAGTTGGCCTGTGGCCTTGTTCCCACTGATGATGTTGAACTTCTCCATCAATTTGATTCCTATGTTGTTATTAGGTGCCTTCGAGTTGGTTTTGACTGATAGCGACCCTGTGCACAACAGAATGAAACTCTGCCCGCTTGGGTGCCATCCTCCCATCTTCTGTCAGTTCATCGTACTTTTAATGTTTGTCACCAGCGTCATAACTCAAATTCTTCTATGGTCTTCCTTATTTATTGTCCAACTTTCACATACATTCCATGTTCTGATTATTAATGGATGATTGCAGCTGTTTCCATGTGTGTATTGTTTTTGTTGTTGGTTGTGACTCACACTGACCCTGTGCACAACAGAACCAAACCCTGCCTGGTCCTGCACCATCCTCACAGGCGTTAGAGCCCACTGCTGCTGCCACTGTGTTCATTCATCTCCCTAGGGGTCTTCCTCTTTTTTGCTGACCCTCCACTTTACCAAGCATGATTTCCTCCTCTAGGGACTGGTTCCTCCTGAGAACATGTCCAAAAAATGAGAGACGAAATCCTGCCCTCTTGCTTCTAAGGAAGAGAAGATTTGTTTGTTCTTTTGGCAGTCCGTGGTGGTGGTGGCTGTGTGCCACCGAGTCCATTCCAACTCATAGTGACCCTTTATAGGGCTTTCGAGGCTGTAAACCTGTACAGGACCATTTTGATTGCATGTTTGATCAATGTCCGACTTCGTAAGTTGGTAATAGTCTTGAGTTTTTTTGGTTTTGGTATGTGTTGAGTACATCAATTTGAATAATAATCGTTAACTGGTCTTCCTTCTTCTTCTTGTTAAGTGCTATCCAGTTGGTTCAGACTAATAGTGACCCTGTGTAGGGTTTCCGTGGAGCAGTTGATGGGTTTGAACCATCAACCTTGTGGTTAACAGTCCAGTTCTGATCCTACAGCGCCACAGCAGGACTCCAGTGGCTATTATCCTATCACTGACAGCATTGTACTTCAGGAATAGATTTTAAATGTTTGACAGTAAGTGAATGCAGCCATGTTCCTTGTCAGTTTAGCAGTCCTGTCTTAGTAAGACCATACGACTGTCCAGTTCCAAATCGCCAGGATTAGTCTATTTCAGGTCACCAGTGCCTTAGATATTGATCTTTATGTGTTCTATTTCATTTCTGATGACTCCGACTTTTCCCACATTCATATTTCCTACAGTCCACATTCAAATTATTAATGGATGTTTGCTGTGATTTCTTCTTTTTGAGTCAAGCTACATCAGAAAAAGAAAGTCCCAAAGGCTGTTTGACTCTGTCCACCTCATTAGGGTCTACTCCACGGGGGAGACAGTATTGAAGTGCCTGCCAACCTGATGGACTCATCTGGCACTGTGTCAGACAGACAGTGTTCTGCTGCTAGATACAGGATTTTGACTGACTTGTTGTTTTTATTTGAATTAATTTTACAGCTTTGGGAGTCTTTTACCACATAGGGCATCAAACCAAGTATTGAAGGAATTTGAATTGAATATTAGCTAGACCCAGAAATCGATGTATTCTGCTAGAACCAGAAATTTGCATAAGACACTCTGAACAGTATTTCTTTTGGAGCCCCACTGACACCGCAGTTAAGCACTTGACTGCTAAGTGAAAGCTTGGTAGTTTGAATCCACCAGTTGTTCCTCCAGAGGAAGACCTGGTGACCTGCTACCATAAAGATTGCTGCCTACAAACCCTCTGGGGCAGGTATACTCATCACATAGGGTTGTGTGAGTTGAAAACTCAACTCACTGATACCTAACAACAACACAGTATTTCTTATGCGCACTGACATTTGAGACCACTGATCTTAAAGAAACAAAAAACATGAAGACAATATTCGAAGGAGCTTCAGGAAGTTCATAGAAAATTTTAATTTCTTTTCATTCCATTTTTCCATGAACTCTTTGAAGCTCCCTCTTACTTAGAGAAATCATGGCACTCCAGATTCTGCTAATTTAACCAAGGAAAAGGGAATGGGTAGAGATTTTTGTTGTCTTTTTTTGTTCCTACTTGTTTGTGGGTTTATTTCATTCTATTCTGTTGTGTAACCTGTAACTTTAAACGTATTACTAGATTTGTTTATGGGAAACTAACATATCCTAACAAAGGAGATAAGAGATATGGGAAAGCACTTAGTACAGAGCTGGCTCAGTAAGTAATTGGCAGGTTTATATAAAAATCTTTCATGATACCTCACACACACAAACACACATATCTACATATACACACTGTAGTATAAACACAGGACTGAGAAACACAAGGTTGGTGGTTTGAACCCACCTGCCCCTCCACTGGGGACAGATGAGGCTTTTGCAGAGATTTAAAAGCTTCGGAAACCCACCCTGTAAGCTAGGGTTGCTAAGATTCAGAACCTACTCAGTGGTACTTTACTGCAACAACAACAAAGAAGGAAGTTGGCTTTCTTATGGTGGCCTTACTAATGATTCAGTCACAGTCTGCCTTGAAACAGCCTTGGTTTTGTAAATGGGATTGTTGACATTGTGACAGTAAAATTGTTGACTGCTTAGAGATCTACTTCCTAAAGGCACTCCCTGCAGCCCACCCCTCAGAGAAATTCCCCAGTCTTTCAGGAGTGTTGCTGCTCCCTTTGTGTCCTGACCCCAGGATGAAGCCAGTGACAGGCTTAGTGCAGAGTGATCTGAAGCAGTTAATGTTTCCATCTCTTTGAAACCCATTAATGATGGATTTGTCATTAAGTTATCAGATGCCTATCCTGAATACAAGTACTTCGTCCAAGATTTAGAAAATGCATGAATTCCATTGTAGACTGGGGTTGTTTACATTGCCAGCTGGACCCACATACTGAGAGCTTTAAAAGATGTTCCTTTTTTTTTTGCTCTGAGAAGACAAAAGTCCAGCCAGTCCTTGGGTCAGCATCATTTCTGGGATTCTTGAAAGCGTTGGTTCTCTTTGGCACCAATTCTATATTCCGTTTTGATTACCTTCTCTGATCCTTCTACATTGTTAATGTTGTTTTTGGTAAGTGCCATTGAGTTGGTTCCGAACCATAGTGATCCTGTATAGGGTTTCCAAGGAGCAGCTGGTGAGCTTGAACCACTGACCTTGCAATTCAAACAGCTTTGCAGTCTGGCGCATTAACCCACAGTGCCACACCACGATTGTTGATGTTGAATGCCGTCAAATTGATTTTCAACTCCGCAGTCCCTGTGACAAAGTGCGACTGCCCCACAGTGTTCTCTAGACTGTGCTCCTTAACTGGGGCACGTTGTCAGGGCTTTCTTCTGAGGTGGGGTCAAACACCAACCTTTCCGTTAGCATTATTCAATTTTCTTCCTGTTTTGTTGTTGTTGTTGTTGTTGTTAAGTGCCGTTGAGTCGGTTTCGACCCATAGCGACCCTGTACTTCCTGTTTTAGTGTCAGTGAATCTCGATAAAATTTTTAGTTTATGTTTAAAATCCAACAATGGACTCTTAGAACTGTTTCATAGTTACTTCTAAGACTTTTATTAAACCCTTGATTTTTGTTTCTCTAGCAACTAAAATTATCCTCTGGATGTTTTTATGTGTTTCTCACAAACAAAACTATAGTGTCTGTTTATCCAAATCACTGTGTGGGGAATTTCTCATGCTACTTGGTAATGTCAGATATCCATTTTTCAGGTGGAAGATGAACTCAGTTCCCCGGTAGTGGTGTTCCGATTTTTCCAGGAATCACCAGCCTTAGGTAGGTAATTTCAAAGAGATGCTTCTTTGTGTATTTTGTTTATAAGCTTGAAATGATTAACATACCTCAAGTTAGATAGTCCAAAATAGTTTTATTCTTCCTCAACTCTTCAGTCATCACTTGAGAAAAATGGAACAATTTTCGTAAGAACTTTAGTCTTTAACGTAACGTGTTGTTAGTCTTTTATTGGTCCTTTCTTTTGATTAGGCCTGTGGTTTCCAAGTGCCAGCTCTGGACTGGTGCTGGGATGACTGAAACAGAACCACTTGAAACACACTCTGCAAAGCCAATACTTCTCTTTCCTTTGCGTCAAACATGTCTCCCTGGCGCTCCTCGTGGCTCAACTATACACCCACCTTCTGTCAGGTCTAAAATGACTGTCTTTTGAAGGGGTTCACAGTGTTCATGGAAAAATTCCGTTTGCTTTTAATTCCATTTCCCCATGAATATTTTGAAGCCCCCTGTGCTATACTGGAGCCCCTGCCTTCTTTCATGACATTGGCAGTAATATAGAGTGATTTTATTTCTTCTTTATGGTCTGTTTCTTCTATTAAGATGTACATGGCTTCAAAAAGTTCATGGAAAAATTCCATTGTCCATGCATTTTCATTTTTCCCTGTAGTTTTTGAAGCCTTTTCATATACTCCAAGATGACGAAACCCTTGTCTGCCTTCTTTACAGTTTATCCCAAGGGCTTAGCACAGGCGTGAGGAAAGGGAGGAACGTCGTGAAGCCCTGTTTGGTGCTGGGTACTGAGTTACGTGGCACAGTGTTTAGTAGACTAGTTAACTGAAAACTTTGTGTTTTTTCTCTTTAGATTCCTTGAATGAAAACTTTAAGTTTTTAAATGACATTAAGAATTCTATTTGTGTGAATATGTTCAAGTATTATATTCTTCATGAGGAAAAAATGTGGAGATTTTGCACCCTCTGCTATACATTTGATTTCAGTAATATTTGAGAATGTTTCTCATGGGTTAATACTGGAATCTAAGGGAAATGGAATCGGAGGGTGTGTTGTTTGGGTGAGCTGTATTTCTTTGAGTGAATCCTTTTTCTGTGTTTTCTGGGGTCAGATCCAGGCCTGAAAGCTGTACCAATGCCCAACCTAACACCTTCAGCAGTCAGCCAGGAGAGGCTGTCCTGTGATGCCCTGAATCGCTGGGTAAGGGGATGGTCATGGGGTTTTCTCTGACATCCAGAGCATCCATCGTCATGTGACCATCAGAAAGCACCATGGTCTGGAGAGAACATTGTGTATGGGAAGTCAGGAAATGGTCATGAAGGCGGTGGGTCTTAGTCACATCTCTGCCTCATACCCTGCATGATCTCTGATAAGTCTTTTCAATTTAGTTGTCTCGGTTTGCCTGTCCTTACGATACAAGGCTGTAAAACGACACAGGAATTTATCACAGTGCAGCTGCTTGGGCATCCTGGTGAGCATTTGTTCTGTGGCTGTGTCAAAGGGCACACAGGCCACAGTGACCAGAACACCCATCAGCCTGCAGTGAGAATCAGAGGCTTCAAGTATCCACAGGCTTCTGACACCAGAGTCATACTTGTTGGATTTTAGCCTAAAGAGCTCATCATTAGTGTTCTAAACATTACTTCAGCAGTATTAATCTTAACAAAACTTTGCATGTGCCCAATCCAGAGATTTGGTGAATAAGTCACAGTATGTCTGTACAGTGGAGTTCAAAGCAGTCATTAAAAACGTACAGCTGAATATCTAGGGCACAGAAGTACAGGTAACTCAGCAGTGGGTAGACTTTCCCATTTTGTAATAATAAAACATATCCACCTCCCCCAACTCCCACTCGCCCCACTCCCACATAGAGAAGGCTTGGGAGGCAGTGTACCCACATGCCAACAGTAGGGTTCTCTGAGTGCTGCAATATGGGTAGTTTTATTTTGGTATTAATGTTTTAACTGTCCTTCCTAGAACTCGGATTTTTGTGTTTTGACTTTTTTTTTTTTTTAAGTAAGGAAAACTGCCAGAATTTTATTGTTTTTACTAAGAAACTTCCATGAATATTCAGAGAAAATCTAATGATGAAAGGAAAGCCCTCTCTTTCTGAGGGTGTCTGGGGCAGGACTGGAGGCCACAGGCCTCTGTTGGGGTGGGAGCTGCTCACCTGCCTATCCCCCCCACAGCTGGGAGAAGAGTTGAAGCAGTTGGTGCCGGCAAGCGGCCTTACCATTATGGAGCTGGAGACGGAGGGCGTGTGCATACGCTTCAGTCCACTGATGACGGCCGCAGGTGACTTGGGCTCCCTGCCTGGTGGGGCGTGTGCATGTGCATGCGTGCATGCAGCTGTGGGCATGCAGCTGTGGCTCTGCTACAGCCCAGCTGTTGGAGTGGATAAACATCCCCTTCTGGTATTTTGTTCATCAGGGAAACACAGGCTGACTGGTGCTTACTTAGTAATCTGGAATGAATAGTTTTCAGGTTTCTCACTATGTGCTCATCTAAGAGGTGGTGAAACCCATGTGAAACGAGTCACTATAGGTTGGCAGGCACGCCTCAGTAAGCCCGTGCTTACCTATGCTTATTGGGTGGTGGTATTGGAGAGTTGGAGGGCAGGGTTTCTCAGTACCCCACCTCAGCAGGCTCACTGGATCAGGTAACCGAAAGCACCCTTGTGGTGCAGTGGGGAGATGGTCATACCTTTAGTCCGCAAAACAGCCCTCAGCGCAGGGAGAAGTCTCTTGTCCTTCTCTTTGTCTCTGTAGCTCTTAGAGATCTCTCGTGCTTTCTCTCATCTCTTTCCTCTCCCTCCGTGTCTGTCTGCTCTCCCTAGCCCTAACCTGCGGGGTGGGGGAGGTCCTTATGTACTACTACAGAACAAAGGCGGCATCTTGCCAAACACACTCAAAAGCTATCTAGCAGTGCGACATCATTTTAATACGGCAGTAGCATAGCAATGGCTTAGCATTCCTTGGTTGGTTTCTGTTGGAACTACTAAGTCACCCCCTGGCTGGAAGGAGAGGTTCCCTGATCGGCTATAGGCACTCCCTGCTAGGGCCACCATCTGACCCAACCGTAGCCTACTCTATCCCTTTATAGACAGGCTCTTTATTTTGGTGCAGGATGTCGGTGGATTTGCCGTGTAGCACAGCTGCTTGGGAGTGGTACCAGGCTGGGTTCCTCTCTGTTTGCTCTTCCAGTGGGTCTCAGTCCTGACTGCACATCACAGTCACATGGAGGCTTAGCCATGCCCTCTGGATAGACTCCATTCATAGATCCTGGTGTCATTCATCTGGGGTGAAGCCAGTGCAACTGTAGCTTTCAAAGCCTCCTCGCTGATTCTTATTGTCACCAGAGGTCAGGGAACCACTGTTTGACCTTGCAGTGTAGCTATACCTGGGTTTTCATGACTGAAAATCCCCAGTCACTTCGTAACCATGGGACCTTGAGCATGGGTCTTGGTCTCCAAGCTTTCCCACGCTTTAAGAAATGGAGATTATTAATACTTCATTACTATTGTTGTTAAGTGCTGTCAAGTTGGTTCCGACTCATACCCACCCTCTATAGGGTTTCCAGGAGCGGCTGGTGGGTTTGAACAGCCAACCTTGTGGTTAGCAGTCCAGTACTTTTCCAACAGCACGTGTAGGCAGTACCTTATGTAGTGTCTGACACAGCACTGCAGTAGTGTAGACAGAAAAAGGATGAAGTCCAAATCAGTTGTGCTTTGTGAGATGAGGTAAATGTTGGGTACTTTCCACATAGTTGGAAAGCTTCTCAGTGACCTCAGTGTTAGAAAACATAGGTGGTGCTCATTTGTGCCGTGAAGGAAACATCACCATAAAGATGTTTGCTGGTCTCAGAGGGTCTTGTAGCACCTGTCCCTGCTGTGCAGTGTGACTCCCTGCCTGCCTTCCTGGAGGCCTCTTCTTGGAAAGGGGGCTGAGGACACTGTGTGGCAGTGAGCATTGACGCTTAAGACAGTGTGTGGTTGTGAAGTGCCACTGAGTCAGTTCCAACTCATAGCGACCCTGTATAGGGTTTTGAGGAACAGCTGGTGAGTTTGAAGTTCAAAGTGACTGTGTAGTCCAGTGCATTCTCCTGCAGCACCACACCAGGTCTCTTGTGTTTGAATTGAAGGGAGCAGCCATGCTGCCAAGCAGCCCTGAGACTTCCCAATCTCACCCCTTTTCCCCTGCCGATCCCCCACGCCCCCATGCCTCCCTTTCTTTCATTCATATTAATGTGAAGGCAGAGCCATGTGGGAGTCAGCTTCTGGTTAGCCTGTGACAGGATGTTTGTAATTTGGGGTTGTGCATTATATTAAATCGGAGGGGCAAATTCTACGATTTATCAAACATACGATTGTTTGGTATCTGAATTTAGCTGTTTTTTGTTTTCGGCTTCTCACCTCCAACTACTTGGATGTATGAGGGGTCTTCAAAACATTTGTGGAAAAATTCCATTATCTATTCCATTTTTTCACAGACTTTTTGAAGCTGTCACCTGAGACTTAGAGATTTTGCCCTTTCTGAGCGGAAGTGGGAACCCTGCTCTCTCATTTTTTATTTGTTCCTTCAGCATTTCTCATAGCATTCTGTGAACGCTGTCAGTTTTAGGAACTCAGAACGAGGATGTAGATCAGCTTGTAGCCTGCATAAAAAGCAAGCTGCCGGTCCTGACGTGTACACTACAGCTGAGAGAAGAGTTCAGGCAGGAAGTGGAAGGAACGGCTGGCCTCTTGTACGTGGATGACCCTAACTGGCCTGGAATCGGTGTTGTCAGGTAAAGTCTCAGCTCGAGAATCTCTTCCTATGTACAGAACAGGGCTGCGCCATTGTGTTAGCAAGCTGAGAACTGCAAAATGGACATGTGGAGCCATAGAATCACATGTCCAATGAAGTCTTTCTGGGCGTTCCAGAAAGCTCAGTACAGCAAGCACAGTGAGCCTGTGGCCCCTGATGGAAGGAATCACTGTCTGGAATGTCTCTCTGTCGGTCTCTGAGATAGTATCTGAGATAGTTACTGACAGAGCAGCAAGAAGTCTGTGAGTCTGTCCTTGGCTGCTTCCATCTTCTTCAGGAGGGGGCAGGTCTCCTGTATCTGTAGTGTTGCAAATGTGACTGCCAGACCTCAGCTCTTCCTGAATTTTAGGGACTAGAGACTTTGTCTTCCGTTGTTACATTCTTAGACTGGTCTTGTCTCCAGACACTGTTAGTGGCTCCATTGCTCTTTTGTCTCATTTTCCTGTTTTTCTATTCCGCCTAAATCTTATGCTTGAAGAAACATTTAATCTTTGTAGATGGACATACTATAGCTTGATAATTATTTATAGGTATGAACACGCTAATGATGATAAGAACAGTTTGAAATCCGATCCTGAAGGGGAAAAAATCCATGCTGGACTCCTGAAAAAATTAAATGAACTGGAATCTGACCTTACATTTAAAATGGGTAACTACTACTTTTATAAGTCAAGGGTGTTTTTTTGGAATAACATTGTCTAACTAGTTTAAAGGGAAATGGATTTTATCTCTTTAGAAAATAGTTTGCTGTCATTCTGGGTGGCGATGGACTGCTCTGTAGGGTCGGATATCTGCCTTCCCCATATACAGCCTTTTCCCAGCTTCCCCTTCCTTTATGAGAACGGGCTTGTCCTCTACCAACTCTCTGTGAAAACTTATTTCTCCCCTTCCTCTCTGAGGACACGCCTCCCCCCGCCCCCAAACACACCTCTTCATTCTCTTTGACACACGTCCCTTCCCTCCCTGCCCCCCTCTGAGGGCACGCCCCTTCCTGTCTCCTGGAAAGAGCCTCCTTTGTCCACAGTCAGACTTGTGTAAGAACAGAGGCCTGTGTTTGACTCAAGGGAACCAAGCCTCTCATTTCTTCCTTCAGGCCCTGAGTATAGAAGTATGAAGATCTGTGTTTACATTGGCATGGCGAGTGACGACGTCGATGTGTCCGAACTAGTGGAGACCATTTCAGTCACAGCCCGAGAAATTGAGGAAAACTCAAGGGTCTGTAAAACTCACCAGTGTTTCCTTCCACTTCTGAGTATTTCCAGCCAACCTGCTTCTCTAGGAAACGTCTGTCCTTCCTTTCCCTACAGATTGCACATGCTTCCTGGGAGCTAGGCACTATGCCAGCTGCAGGATTTAAGCTAGTCTAGTCCCTGCCCTCAGTGAGCTCACAAGCCAGTGAAGGAAAGAGACACACGTTACCAAGCAATGGTAACGTGGAAGAGAAGCTAGGGGTAACTGAGCTTTAAAGCTCATTCATCTCACCTAATAAAGGTCAAGAATATTGGAGCTGAATCCAGGAGGATGGGTGAGAAGTTCCAGGTAATGTCTGCTTACCAGCAGTAACAAACTTGCTTTTGTCAGCCACTTGGCATGGAGGATCAGACCACAAGGACATTCTTAACATTAGATGTCTGGCTCACTAGCCATCACTCAGACAGAAAAAGGACCCCAGCAGCACTACTGTGAGGGATTAGGAACATAGTCATAGTCACATGATCATTTTTGGTAAGGGTGAGCAGGCTGAAGGAGTCAGTGTATTTAGCCTTGGGTGGCTTACTTTCAAAAGTCCTTTCTAAACCCAGTTCTTTTTAGGCTTCATTTGCATAAATGTTGAGCAGCCTAGTTTCCGTCTGAGAAGCTGGATTCTGTGAAGAAGGATATGGCATCAGGATCGAAAGACGATTCATCAACAGCCCTGTGATACGCAGATGACACAGCCATGCTTACTGGAAGCCGACTTTGAAGTATCAAAGACTTGTCTTCAATATGGATTGAGCTTCTTGTAAAGAAAATCCTCACAGTTGGACTAATAACCATCATGATAAATGGAGAAAAGATTGAAGTTGCCAAAGACTTCATTGTGCTTGGTTCCACAGTTAACACTCATGGAAGCAGCCGTCAAGAAATCAAATGATGTATTTGCATTAGGCAAATCTGCTGTACAAGACCTCTGAAATGTTCAGGAGCAAAACTGTCACTTCGAGGATAAAGGTGCCCCTGAAGCAAGCTATGGTATTTTTTTTTTATATATATATATTTACCGTATATGCATGTGACAGTTGGACAGTGAATAAGGCAGACTACAGAAGAGTCAATGCATTGAGTTACGGTGTTGGTGAGGAACATTGAAAGTACCATGGACTGTCAGAGAACAAACATCTGATGGAAGAAGTACAGCCCTAATGCTCCTTTGATGACTACACTTGATCTCCTACTTTGGTCATAGCTGTCAGGAGGGACCAATGCCTGGAGAAGGACATCATGCTTGGTAGAGTGGAGGGACAGTGACAAAGAGGAAGAGCCCCAATGACATGGACTGGCACCAGGACAGCAGCACTTGATTCAAACATAACAATTGTGAGGCTGGCGCAGGCCTGGATAGGCTTTGGTTCTTATGTGCAGAGGGTTGCTATGAGTCAGACCCGACTCTACAGCCCCAACAACAGCAGCGGCGTTCAGATGATAGGTCTAATGCTCCTGCTCTGTCCCCTAGCGAATGAGCCTGCTCATCAAGGCATGTCTACTAGGTGTCCTTGAACACTTAAAAAAAACGTATAGTTTCATCTGGGGGCAGGCGTCTAAAAACAACCCCAGCGCTAAGTCTGTAGTTCTTGTAGACCACTAGATGACTCATGCCTTTCTTGGTCTTCACACAGCTTCTGGAAAATATGACTGAAGTCGTTCGGAAAGGGATTCTGGAGGCCCAGGTTCAACTGCAAAAGGCCAATGAGGAACGCCTTCTGGAAGAGGTGAGCCTGCAGATTGGATCAGACCTGGCACTTGGCTGGAGGCCGAGGTGCCCGGATGACCGGGAACACTGCTGTCTTTCAGGGAGTGCTACGACAGATCCCTGTGGTAGGATCCGTGCTGAACTGGTTTTCTCCAGTACAAGCTTCACAAAAAGGAAGAACCTTTAACTTAACAGCAGGTATGGCTGATAAAAAGATCATGAACTGAGTTCTGACCAAATACCCATGGATCCCAGTATTCCTAATTACTGGGAAGCCTTTCCCAGTTCCATTCCTGATCAGTGTCAGGATCCCACACAGACGAGACTTGTTGGCCTGACTACTGAAAAGTGTCAGAGCAGATACCCACTTCTGCAGCCCAGAGCTGGCTCTTCCTTGAATTCACAAGCAGCATGTTCATTCAGCTGTTAGATCTCAGCAGGCGTGTCTCGTTGTTTGGGTGTGGTTTTCCTCAGCAGAGGGCTGCCTTGAAAAGATTTCATGAGCACTGAAATGTTTTATTTGAAACCCAGCAAATTAACTAAGTTGCTGGGGCCTTAGAGGAGGGGATGTCAATCTACTTAACTCTTGTCTTTGGTGTTCTATCAGGATCATTTCTTAAAGGTGAGGGCCCTCACGCTATTCCTTCCTTAGAAAATGCTGACTACACTGTTGGAAAACAAAAAACAAATCTGATTTCTTATCGGCTGAACCTCAGTCTTTGGCCAAGAGGCATCTGCTTCTTCCCATCGGACCTGCCCCCCTAGGCTCAAGATTCGTGTGTGTGCAAGGTGGATGCAGGGCTGGGGCTCACGAGCCCAGTGGAGGTGGCTGTCCGGGATCCTGGCAAAGCTCAGCCATCAGCAACTGAGCAGCTACCACCCAGTCCACCCCTTTCTTTCCTGGCAGGTTCTCTGGAGTCCACTGAACACACATATGTCTCCAAAGTACAAGGTACAGGAGTGACGCCGCCTCCAACCCCCTCAGGCACTCGCCCTAAACAGAGACTTCCAGGTATGTGAATGAACACAGGTAAAAACAGTTCTTGGGAAAAGAGACCTTGGCATCACGTTATGCAGCCCCCAACAGCCTTGTCCAAGTTTGCTGTTAACATGTACTCCCTTTGTAAACCCAAATCCCTGTTCCTCTTCATTTCATCCCCGTCACCAGTTTCTCTAAGTAGCTGAGAGGGAGGTGACATCACATTACTCTGGTGTCACTCGCCTGAGCTTTTCTGAGGGTTGCCTCAAGTTCCCCGCCTTGGGGTACGTGAGTGTACAGATAGCCGCATTTTTCTATCTCCACCTTCTGAAAGATTTTAGCGCCAGTGATGCTAGCATTTAGGTGGCGGCAGATAGAATTAGACAAAGTAATGGCTGGTGCAGAAAGCTGTTTTTGCCACCAGTGTTCTTTCTCAAGCTTTCAGCTGCTCCCCCGATCTTCCTTTAGGCCAGAAACCATTCAGAAGGTCCCTCCGAGGCTCAGATGCCATGAGCGAGACAAGCTCAGTCAGCCATGTGGAAGACTTAGAGAAGATGGAGCAGCTGTCCACTGGGCTGGAGCAAGACGCCCCTGGGGCTCGCAGCCCTCAGGAAGCGGAGCAGGGGGAGGCCCAGCACCTGAGCGCTGACGGCTCCCAGGTAGAAGAACCAGAGAACTTAAGATAAGAGTCAGTGTTGGGCTTGAGACTGTTCTGAAGCTGGTTTCAGGGAAGATGAAGTTACATTGAAAATGTGAAGTGTGCCACACCCTAATACAGTAGAATGACTGTTATTTGTGCTTTCACAGATTTTTGCACAAACCTGTATGCAAAAGGCAGCTTTCTAGCTGGGCAACTGACGTGTTTAATTTTATGTGGATGGAGAACAACCCACAACTATTGTTTCCATCCTACCCGACTGTACTAATACCTTTTCCCTACTCAGTTACCCATACATAATTCTTTCTATTCACACACGCCACTTAAAATTTCAAGTGCCTGCCACTTGGAACACTTGTGCTTTTTTCTGACTGAAGCTCAGTGGGAGCTCTCAGCTCTCACATCCTGACTTTCTGGTAAGATGGCTGCTGTGGCAACTCCCCTGGTTCTCTGCTGGACTCCGGCACAGGAGAAACCCAGCCCCACCAAGGCTTTTGCCACCTGTTTTTGGTTGGATCAAGTTGCACTATAGAGCCAGGTTGTGTTTGGCTTCCTGGAGAACGGGCTTTATAGTAGGATTGTAAATGAGTGTCCGAAGCCCCTTCCACCTTCCCTACCTGCTGCTTTTCCTGGAGACTGTGTCCACTCACGTAGCACTCTGGGAAGTGACCGTCCTCTGGGTCACCACATCCATTTCTCTTTAGATACGACTTGTAAACAAACACACAGACCTATCTAGTTAAAGCAGCGTAGTCTCTTCCTGACCGTTATATATATATATATATATCTGTATATATATGTATGTGTAGCTGTATATTTTTAAATACTGGTAAAGCTTTTAAATTGGCACGGAAGTACAGACTGTGCTCATTTTCATGGTTAATTCCTGAAAACCTGATGGATGCCACCGTAAGAGCCTGACACTGGACACACACAGGGGAACCCCTGGACTAAGTGTCCACTCTGAAGTCAGTTCTGAAGCTGCTGGAGCATCTGTTCCGTTCGCAGCTCAGCACTTTTCACTCAACTAAGAAACATGAACCAGAAAAGTCATCTTTCTCAGTCTTACCAAGCCAGACTGCTAAGGAGGTCACTGGAAGGAAGTTACTGCCCATTTCTCCCCATGCAGAAGTGCTGGCCACATCCTTTTACTGAGCAGCGGCTCTGTAGTCTGTCAGCCACGTCACGTACGTCCTGGCCCCTGTGCCTCTTCCGTCCAGCAGGCAGCCTATGGGAGAGAGTTGGGGCATCTGGGGCATCACACTGGTGGGTGGGTGATGGCTTTGGAGCCTTAGTTAGACCACATGAATGAAGCCTTGGCTTTGATGAGATTCCTGGCATTTGGCACTCGTCCAAGTGCAGCCTTTCTTTATTGTTTCGGTGCAGATGATTCAAGTCTTCCCTTTTTATTTCGGGCAATGGCATATATAGTAGGTAAAATGGGAGAGGAGCAAATTATCACCTCTAACAAGATAAATTTTTAAATGTTTTTATATTTGAAATTGTTACATTCGTTTTGCTGAAACAAAATTTCACCCTTGAGATATTTGAATGTTGGTTTCAATAAAGGTTCTTGAAATTGTTCCCTACGAGTTCAGATCAGTTCATCAATCTTACCTCTGATTCGGCATCATGACTTTTTGACCCTTGTGGTAGGTATGTTTTCATTTGACTTCCCTTTGGATACCAACTTCAAAAAATGAAAAAGGTTTAAAAAAAAAAAAGCACACTAGGTCATAACCACAATGAAGGCATCTAAAAGAAGAGATTTTCTCTGTGGCTTATACAACTCAGAGACTCCATGTAACCTCCTAGTGGATGGTCTCAGACTTAGAATTATACTGGAGAACGGTCAAGCGCATCACTTCTGAATCTTAGACTTAGAATTATACTGGAGAACGGTCAAGCGCATCACTTCTGAATCTTTCATCTTATTTATCTAGAAATATGTTCCTTTTGGAGAAAGCAGATAGAAAAGACCTGTGAGATTTATATATTCTCACTGACTTTTACTGTCTTAAATATTTTCCTCACAAACTCAACTACATTTCCTGTATACACTAATTCAGCACAGAAGAGGAAATACTTACCTCAGTGTCTGAAACAGAACAGGGAGTCTGCCAGCTGCTTCTCTGCCACTTCTCAGTCAAGCACAAAGGAAATCTAAACAAACACCTTTGCCAAAATAACATTTTATTTTGAAAGTCATTTGAAAGACACTGAAATGTATGAAGACTTAGGACACAGGTGTGTCAATCCTAAGTTCACATCCCTCCTACCTCACAGTGGTCTCTATCATGCCCCTAAGTTGCCTTCTGTGGTAACTCCTGGTTTTAGCTTCAACAGCTTTTTTCCCAGATGCCATTGTCATTTTTTTTGTAGAGCAGAGCTTTGTTTCCAGGAAACAACTTGCTAGTTGGAGATGGGTATTTTTTTAAAAACATCAAGGTCGATCTGATATGTTCAACGAAGTGGGGGGGCTCAGCCAGAGGTGATGTGGAAAGGTTCTGGAAAACAAAAGAAGCACCTTGCTCTCCTTCCCTATTTTGATAGAGTTGTCAGAGTACCTTTGTGTTCTTTAGACATTGAGTAAATACTCTAGATATGTTTATATATAGAATGTAAAAGGACATAAAAAATGAGGGGCTGTGTTAATGAGAAACAGCAGTTGGTTACTTATGTTCTTCACGTGTAGATTTTAAACCAGAACATTAGTTCTTAATTGATAAGTTAGTTGATGAAGTTAAATGGGGTCTGCCAGTGGCATCCTAAAAATAAATACGGTTGCTGAAGGAAAAGCAGCTATTGTTCTAGCCTAAACCTTTTTTTTCTTACAGATGAAGAAACCAGGGCCCTGAGAGTTAAGACTTGCCCAACCGTAAATTCTCACCTCTAGTATTTGCTTATCATCTTGCAGCAGCCAGAAATCCACATGCGGAAATGGCGTCCAGGAGTATGGCCCTATGCGAAGTTGTTCTGTCTTTGCATCGTAAATACTAATCATCTGAAAGAAAAAAACATTTCAAGCATAGAATTTAAGGGAGGTTACCACTTCTCAAACCCTGCCAGTGTAGGCTATTTTGTAAGGTGTTTATCTGGAAATCACAGGCTTAAGAAATATTGTCTCACATAATTAACAAACGCTGCCACTTCACTAATGTATCTGCTACTGCACTTTGTAGGTGACGACACGGATTTGTTTATAGTTCTTAAGACCATGGTGCAGGAAGACGGCATTCTGAGGCACAGAGCCCACGGTCCCCAATCCAGGAAGCCTCAGGCTGGGCCGCAACCCTGCCTGCTGTCTGACTAAAGTCCTGTCCCTCATCGTGACATAAACACTGCATCATGACTGTCAGGCCCCCTTCCCTTGGATGGGCAGTAAATTTCCAGAAAGCTGTTGACAAATGATCAATTCCCTGAATGCCCACATTTGCCAATCGTCTCTTTTAACCTTACCACCAATGTTCAATTTTGAGTTTTGAGATGCAAATATATTCTTTTGAATACTAATGACATTACAGTTATTATGCTACTTGAGAAATTACAAATGGAATCCTGAGAACATTAAAGGGGTAACAAAACAAATCTCGAGTTCAGACATGGTTTTCAGTGGAAATGTCAGCATTTCCTAAAAGCCTCCTTTGGGGTGCTCTGAGTACCATTTCTACTCTTCCACAGCTGAAGCATTTGAAGGAGTTCCTTCACCCATTCTCAAGTGGCACGTAAGGGTCTTTTCAAGGAGCAATTGGGGGTCTTTATGTCTAGCTTTTAGAATAAAAAATAATTAGCCTTAGGTTTTTATTGCTAGCTTCTAAAATTGGAATTCTTTCCCACTTAAGAAGTTTATCCTAAGGAAATCTGAGTTTTAAATTTAATGTGGTCATTCTTTGAGGTTCAATGAACCAACCAGTCAAGTAAACTGGTGTTTAGTGATGTCATCCTGAGGGGGACAGCTCTCCCCACTCATTACCCCCTCCTTCTGGTCTCTTTACTCGTAATGTAAAAGGAGTTTATTCTCTTCGGACCTGGGTGCTATGGGTTCATACGTGCCTCTCCCTATTCTGAGTCCTGATGTACCATTGTGGGTTCATGCACTGGACTTCGATGTTGGTGGTTCAAGCTCACCAGCCACTCCTCGGAAACCCCATACAGGGCTGCTGAGTCTGAAGCGACTTAAAAACATGTCTTGGCAGAGAACAGGGGTCCTGAGTTTATACTCAAGACATTCATTACTCTTCTGTCTTTCTGTATGTTGGGAGTGGGCGTGTCCCTGGTGATATGTCCACCTTCAAAGTAGCAGATGTCAATTTCTCATTTCCAAGGGCTGTCAAACCTTGAAGTCTTCCTCCCTCCCTCTCTCATAAACCCATCACACTGAGATGATTTCAAACTCACTGGTCCTCCTGTCAGGATGCGCGCAGCACGCAGCTCCTCCTCTGGGCCTCGGTCCTGAAAGGAGGCTCTGTAAATCTCGGCAGTTTTAATGTTGACAGCTGTGAGGGAGGGGGGACACACACAGGGCTGTGAATCTGCAAAACTGCCATGTGAAATTTGCACAGTCTGACCTTTCTAGCACCATCCATAAAAGACAAGATCTGGATACAGCCAAGTCTCCCTCCAAGAGAGAGAAGAATGGAGACTAAACAAAATAGCTCAAGCATCTTCAGCTTCCCCCTCAGAAAAGGAAGCTTTTCAGCCAGGTACCTCACTGTGGGCAGTTGTTTGGGGCTGTTAGCCTCACAACTCCCCTTCCTGGGGCCCGGGCCAGAGGCTCCCTCGTCAGCCCTGTAACCATATTGTCTAGCTGGGGATTGGAGGGTGGCCTGGGTCATGGCAAAAAGCTGGCTTGATGTTTTATGACGTTGTATTCCAGACACATAAAAAGTTAGAATAAAGACTGAGCAAATCACAAGATGGGTGAGTTAAACCCACCAGCCACTACACCACAGAAAAAAGCTGGGGCTACCTGCTCCTGTAAATATGGACGGCCTCGGAAACCCTAAAAAGCAGTTTCTCCGTCCCCTACTGGGGAGCTGTGGGTTGGATTCTACTTAGGGGCAGTGGCTGAGTTTGGTTTGGGGGTTGAGCACCTACTACAGCTGCCATAGGTGAGTGGCCGGTTGGTCATAGGTGGTTTTTTTCGCCTGCTTGTTTACACTGTTTTCTAGGATCTTGGTCTTCAATCAAAATTTTACTTCAATCAAAAATAGGTTCTCTACGTAGAAAAAGATTCAAAGGCACCACTCCATCCCCCTTGGAGCCTTGGTAGAGAGATGCACCCCTGGCTTTCAGAGGGGAGCCGAGTCTGCCTACTACCTTGTTCTCTCGCCAGGGCCCTAGATGTGGACGGTATTTTGTACCAAAGGTAAGCTGGGGACCCGAGGTCTCAGCAAATACAGACGAGATACAATTCGAACTAAAGTCTGTAGTATGCCAACAGCAGTGGGGACCAGGGTTTTGCTAAAGTCACTTTAACCCGTGCCTGCTTTACTATCATGTAACCAACCTTCAACCCCCAAATAAACATCCCAACTTACCGATGCCATAAATGATTGGAAAATGGTTTTCATTTTCTTCCCGGTCATTTAATTCTAACAAAATAAAAAAATTTTTTAGATACAGCTTATGAATGACATCAAAGAACTGTTTTCACTTTGTATAAGAAAGGCTAAGAAGGAACCCCAGCCAAAAAAGGGGCTGGGGGAGAGGGGGCAAGTAAAACAGATGGGACTGTGTTTCAGTGGTGGGGCAGTGGATTCCTATTGAAAGCCAGCTCCTTGTAGAACTAGTGCAGTCGGCCATGCCAGGTGCCTGCTCCAATGGGAGCCTCAATCCTTTCTTCTCAGGAAGGAAATAGACCAGTGTGTGAACTGAAGTTTGGATGGGATTTGGATACGGAGAGAGGTGAGGCCATTCCAACAGCAGGCAGCAGGGAAAAGCCGGCAAAATGCCAACCAACTCTGTCTCTGCCTCCGGGGGTGGGGGGCAGGGGGGCGGCACCAAAGCTGCCTGCAGATGACTGCTTTGTGTTAGGAGAGATGCATGATTTACCTGTCACACACAGCGTTACTAAGTGAACGTCTTCTTTCTGTCGGTCAAATTCACCTGCAATTAGAATTTTAAAACTGGATGTCAGACAGTACCTTTAATTAGCAGAACATAGACTGCGCAAGTCGAGGGGCAGTGGGAGCAAAGCCCCCCACCCTTTGGGCCACAAGCCAGCCCCTGTCTCTCGGAGCCATACTAGCCGGGAATACACGTTCTTGGCCTTAAGCCCAAAGGAAACAGAGAAGTGTGGGGAGGGATAAATGGATCTATCACACAAGATATTTACTCTTTTCCTAGGGAATTTAATCCACCCCCCCCCCAACGACTAATTAGAGTTGTAAAAAGCTGGGTCACTGTAAAAAACAAATGACATCAGAGACAACAGTCACCTCACACTGTGGGGACAAACGACTATCCTGTTTGATTGGGTGCCGAGGGCCTCAAAAAGTGCATGGAAAAATTCCAAGATCTTTTCATCCCATTTTTTCAACAACTTTTTGAAGCCCTCCCTACACCCATGCATAAGCATTTTCTGTGTAATGAAAACTGCTTTAATGATTCCGTAACCATTCTCCTAGTGACGAGGACTATTAGATCGTTCTTTAGTATAAATGATGTTCTCCTGCTCATCTGTAAGGAGCTCTGCTAGTATAGTGGTTCCCAGTCGAGCTGCAAACCTCAAGGTCAGCAGTTTGAAACTACCAGTTGTTCTGTAGGAGGAAGATGAGGTTTTCTGCTCCTGTGAACATTTACAGTCTCAGAAACCCTATGCAGGGCGGCGATGATTCCACAGCACACCACCACCACCCACCATCTGTGGACATAAATCTGTGCACACACTCCAGAGTTGTAACTGAATAGGTTCCTGAAAGGGGAACTCCACAGGGTTAAAGGGTATGACCTAGGCCACACTGCCAAATCACTTGACAGTTGCACTGATTGATATTCCAGCACCTGGTGCAGTGGTGGGGGTGTGGCGGGGAACCTACCTCACTGCCTCTGGGCTAACACCCAGCATTCTCAGTCTTTTTGGAAACTGTTGACAAATTTAATAGGAAAAAAATGGTATCAAAGTTCTTTTCATTTCCTGCAACAGATTAAAATGGGCATTTCTGCTAGGAGGAGGTGATGGCCGTGTGCTGTAGAGTTGATTTTGACTCATAGTGACCCTGTGTAGGGTTTCGGAGGCTCATCTTTCTCCCTCAGAAGTGCTGACCTGGCAGTGAGCAGCAACAGGGCCCCTTGCCAGGAGAGTGGCTCTATTTGATGTGATTCAGAGCCTTTACTATTTCATCACCGATGGATCAGATGCGATCCAGGCACCCTTGTCCCACCCCAGCAGCCCTCGGCAGGCCAGGCAGCCCTGAGGCTGAGATGCTGATCGGAGAGACGCTCCCTTAGGAGGTCTGCCCCCCTTAGGTTTACACTCATTGGGGTTTTTATCCAGTAAAACCACATAAACCTCTTGATCACATTTAGAGGGAAGAGAGTGAACTTACTGAGAAGTTGGTGAGTGAGTTTCTGTGAGAGCTGCCGGTCGTCACTGAAGCCGCCCACAAGGTGCACTTCCAGCCTGGCAAAGAGGGGACGATGATCAGAGGGCGGCACGCCACGTGGGCAGTGTGCACTGCTTGTGCAGCATGTCCTCATGCCCCAGCCGACACACAACGTGCTGGTGGGACGCTAGGTGCATGGGTGAGGCTGTCGGAGGGAGGCCAGCTCTTGGGGATCCTGCCCAGGGGCCCTGAAGACAGAGGGTTCTGGATCCCCCAGAGGATGCTTCCAAAGGCCTCCTAAGTCTCTGCTTCAGAGGGATGGGGTATAACTGAGACAGGGAGGAACTGCACGCTGCATGAGAGCTGGTCTCACAGGTGCTCCCGGTGTCTCAGTGAAGTACGATCACTGGCCCAATTACAGGCCAGAAGACGCCGGGGCTGCTACAGCTCAGGCTGATGCTTCTGCACCAAGAGTGGGCTCCCTTAACTGTTATCTTCATGAGATGGGCAAAAATGGAGTTAAATCATTCCTCTGCAAAATCCCACCCACTGGAGACAGTTAAAAAGCCACATTTGGTTTAACCCTGTGTTCCCCACACTCACTTATCTATACCCTCGACCACCCTGGGTCCAAAAACTTAATGCCCTTGGCTGGAGGCTGCAGGTTCAGGTCTACCCAGAGGGACCTCCAAAGAAAGGCCTAAGCATCTACTTTCCTGCCCCCTACTGCTCCCCTTACCCCTGAAAAAGCAGTCACAAGAAATCCTACGGAGCACCAGTCTTAACTGATCCACATGGGATCCCTTTGTGTTGGAATGGACTCGATGGTAACTGGTGGGTCAGTTGGCTACAGTTTGTTTATGATGCTCCTTGCATCAGACTACAAAGGGGCTTCAAAAAGTTCATGGGAAAATGGAATGAAAAGATAACGTCTGTTTTCCACAAACTGAGTGAAGTTTTATAGAGCAGATGGTCAGTTTCACACTCAACAAATGATCCACTTGGTTTAACAATCCCTGAGCGTAACATCACGGATCCTGCCTCCTCCACGTGGTTCTTGTTTCCAGTCAGCCGTCTAGATTCTGTTCTTGGTTAACGCTGCCCTTTAGATCTCTGATGGTTGCTGTCCCCCGGTCTACTGCTTGGCTGAAAGTTGAGTCACGAGGGTGACTTCGTTTCCAGACCTAGTCTTCTTAGGAGATTGCATTTACTTCCAGATTTGTCTCTGACTCAATCTAGGACCTTCTAATGTGAGCCTTTTCAGAGCAGCTGGTAGTAATGGCCAGACACCACCTAGTTCTGCTGGCCTCGGGGTCTTGGAGACTGATGTCCACGTGGTCCACTAGTGCACTGAGCTAACTGTTTCCAAGCATCTTCGATACCATCACTCATCTTTCCTCCAGACAGCGAGAGACCAATTGTTGTACCTTCGATGGTGATTTACTACTCACCAAAGTAGGATGCAGAACACTGTCTTTGTGGACTATGCTTTGCCAGTTGACCATGGTGTCCCCCAGGACTATGGTCCTAAGCCCCCAGGAACTCCCTCCATCGAGATGTTTAGTTATATTGAAGTTTTCATAACGCTGCTTGTAACAAAGGTAAACACCCTCTGTCAAACCTTTCTACCTGGGGGGGCTACTCCCCCCTCTGCCCTGCTCTTTCATCATAGCTGTGTGCCTCACGCCCACACTGGGAGCCTGCGGGTCTGTCCAGGCATCTGTTTGTACGTTACTGTTGTAGGATTGGTGGTTGGGGAGCTAAGTGTTACCCAGTTGCCTCCGACTCAGTGACCCTGGATAGCGTTTCCAAGGAGTAGCTGGTGGGCTTAAGTCACCAACCTTGTGGTTGGTAGTCCAGCACCACACCAAAAGTCCTATTGCAGGACGCCCCACCTTTGCTCACTGCTATAGCCTGTAAGTTTGTGCTCATAGCACACATTCAACGAATACTTGCTGGCTGAACAGATGAAGGACTGAAGAGATACTACAGCTGAGGTATCACAGCGTGGAAGTCTTGAAGTTATTTACTGAGAATAAGCCGCCCCTTCCCTTTAAGATCCAGCACTGTTTCCTAGCCTGTGCCCATCTCCCGTACGTACATCCACCAGTAACTGCTGATCAAGTGCCAATGCCAATGCCACACCTGGCTCTGCTCGAAGCAGGCAGATGAGATGCTGCGGCGCTGACATACTGTGTGGCCACAACAGCTCTACACAGCCGTACAAGGGCCCAACAAAGCCGAGTCACGCAGCTCACCTTCCACACTGAGTGTAATCGGAAAAGGACTTTACGGCGTTCATGATCAAGGGGACCTCGGCTTTGGTGTCGGTTCCATCACAATGTGTCAAGCAGGTAGCCCCATTACCTGAAGAACAAGGGTGAAATGACTCATGTTATTCCTGATGAGAACCCAGGACACAAACCAAGTCTACTTCTGTCCACTCGGAATGCCTCACTTTTGAGAATCCTGTAAGAAAAAAACAACAGAAGTAATTGTGCTGCCCAGCCAACCCATTCTGGCCAGGGCAACGGAGAGACTGCGCAGTCTAGAAAGAAGGTAGGTGAGGTCATGTTTCCAATAGGACACCAGAAAGGTCAACTCAAGAAATGACATGGTCCCAACTATGGGGCCGGTTGAAGCAATGCTTTCCTTCAGCTCGCTCATCATACCTGTGTGCCTCAGGACCACAATGTGACAAGTGGTAGCATCATCAGAACCCAGAACGGAGATGGAGCCTGTTCAAAAAAGACAAAAAATAAAAACTCCAGTCGCCCAATCGCCTTGTGTGAGCATGCCCAATGCACTGCTTCCTAACCTACCATCCTTTGGGGAGGTCACTGCAAGCTCTCTTTGCTGAACATACAGCAGGCCCTGGGGTCCCACTTGTTGAACACACTGACCTCTGAGAAGTCTGGCTCTTTCCTGTTCAATTAAAAAAAAAAAAAAAAAAATAGTGACGTAAATTAGTGAGGACTGACTGACTAGCGGTGGAGGGAGCCCCAGCCCCGCTAGGTAGTCTGTTGGAGGTGGGTGTATGAGTTGACAGGCTACAATAAAAGGCAGCTCATTTGGAGCAATGCAAAGAAAACAATGGTTAGGGCTTTTTACCTAAAAAACATGGGAGAAAGCTGAGACTTTTAGTGGTTAAGAATCAGGCTATGAATCGCAAGGTCAGCAGTTCGAAACTACCAGCTGCTCCACGAATGAAAGGTGAGGCTTTCTGCTCCCGTAGATTTATAGCCTTGGAAACCCTGTACAGGGTCGCTATGGGTTGGAACCGACTTGATGGCACATAACAACAACAACAAAGATTTACAAAAGCATCGGAAACCCTAGAAAGGCTCGCTGTGGGTTGGAACCAACTTGGCGGCACCCAGTCACTGCCACCTATAAAACAAGACTTTTTGCGAATATGGGCTGAATGATTACCATGTCTTCATTAAAGAGTACTGCAGTAAAGAGGATCAGTTTGTATGGGGACGGGGACGGGGACTCAGAAACCACATCCTTCTTTAAAGAGAAGTTGAGGACACTTCCTACCTGCTACTCTCCCTGTCCTGGTATTTCCACTTCTGCAAATCTGTGCAAAGGAAATAACCCAACATGGTGTTTCATCAGTGGGTTATTTGGAAAGAAAAAAGCTGGAGTTTTTTGATTGAAAAAAAAAGCAGAAAAAATAAGTCAATGTTGCTAAACTAACTGTTTGCACAGTAATGTCCAATGAAAAATCTGGGGAAAACATTTTTGAAATGTTAACTGAAAAGCTAGATTTCTGTGGGTTTGAGTGCCACTAGGTCGATGTCTGACTCAGTGATTCCATGTGAATCGACCTGCCCCCAATCCCAGAAGCAAAATACAAAACTGTCATTAAAAAAAAAAAGGACACAAGAGGAAACCTAGAGCCAGGGGACCTGGAGGAAGGCAGACTCTCCAGTGAGTAGTATTCAATCTGTCTAGGCAGAGCTGATGAAGTGAAATGTCTCTTGTGATACAATAGTGAATAATTGCTATCAGGACTGATTGTGAGGGTCGGAAATGTAAAGGTAGACATTTTGTAGCAAAAGGAGGGGAGTGGTTGACTTTGCAGTCCAGGAACGGAGGGTCCTGGGACCATCAAGGGAGAAGAGCAGAGAGAGGGAACTACCCAGAGAAGCAGTGATGCCTGAAATGGAGCCAGAGACGATCACATAGAGCGATGGAGCATCTAGGGACTGGGTGGGGGGAGTATAGGGGGCAGGCTTGCAGGGTATACCCTTTGGTCGATTGATGATGCATGGAGGGGATTGTAACCATGGCAATGATATGATGTATGATAGAATGAAGGTAAAACTAATGTTCTCCCATGTAAACTGTCATATAATTCATAATAAAACACTTAAAAAAAAAACAAGGACTGTTAGTACAACGATGCTAGAAGGTCGATAAAACCCATTGATGTCATTGATTCCAACTCACAGCAACCCTACAGAACTGAGGAGAACTCGCCCTATAGGGTATCTAAGGCTCTAAATCTTTAAGGAAGCCATCTGTCAGATCTTTTCTCCCATGGAGCGGCTGGTGGGTTCAAACAGCTGATCTTTCCGGTTAGCAGCCTGAGTGCCTAAACACTGAGCCACCAGAGGTACCTAACAGGAAACAAACTGGAAGGAAATACCCACAGTTGTGTTAGAACAACAAGACACGAGACCCTTTACTGTGGCTGCTCTCTTGGTCCTCTAGATGCTCTGTAATGGACTCACTGCCGTGGAGGCGGTTCCAGCTCACAGTGACGCTACAGGACTTCTAAGACGTAATCCTGACGGGAGCAGATGCCTCAGCTTTCTCCCGTGGAGAAGCTGGTGGGTTTGAACAGCTGACCTTACGTTAACAGCCCAACACTTAACCTACGGTGCCACCAGCCTCCTGCCTGTGATGTTGCTGCTCCTAAGTACTGTTGAGTCAGCAGCTGGGCTGGTGAGTCTGAACCACCGACCACACAGTTCAAACTGACCTTGCAGTTGAGTGCTTATCCTATAGCGCCACATCAGGACTCCTGACCAAGTATAGGAGGCTAATTTTTAAGCTGATAATTTTGTATGCCCCGTGAATGATGTTACAAATTTTGGCAGAAAAAAAAGGTTCCCCTCCCCGGCTAGATAGGGTTTCTAAGGGTTTGAACAAAACACTGGCCTTTTGGTCCAAACAGACCTTGCAGTCCAGGGTTCTCTCAAGGATCTCACAATAAGCACCTTTATTATGAAAAGGCTATGCTAACATTGTGTCAAAAATTTGTCTAGCCGAATATCAATAGGAGCTCTTTAGCGGAAAGCCTAAAAAGAGAACTTTTTAAAAATAATTGAAAAATTAAAAATTTTGGCTGGTTAAATTCTTGAAATGAGAATGGAACATAGCATTTTTCTCAAAAATGTCAACGTGATACAACATTGAAATGGTACCATAATTCCTTTTGATGTGCCACAGATAAATGAACAAATGAACAAATCCTAAATGAACAAATTCTTCCTCAACTGAGTAAGCGCAGCGCCTGTATGTACTGCCCAGACAGCAGGGCGTATTTTACTGTCTTGTCATGAGTGCTGTTATTTTAGGTTAGTGCTTGCTAAGTACCATCAAGTCAGTTCCAACTCATAGTGACCCTGTATAGGGTTTCAAAGGAGCAGCTTGTAAGTTTGAACCGCTGATCTTGAGGTTCAAACCAACCTTGCAGTCCAGCGCATTAGTCCACAGTGCTACATGAGGACTGTCAAGTCAGTCCCGACATGTAGCGACCCTGTATAGGGTCTCCCCTGTATAGGGTTTCCGAGGAGCAGCTGGTAGGTTTGAACTGCTGACCTTGTGGTTTGTAGTCCAGTGCTGAACCTAAAGCGCCACACCAGGTTATATAATATATATATATGTTGTTGTTGTTAAGTGCCATTGAGTCGGTTCCGACCCATAGCGACCCTGTACAGGGTTTCCGAGGGTGTAAATCTTTACGGGAATAGAAAGCCTCATGTTTCTCCCGCGGAGCGGCTGGTAGTTTCGAACCGCTGACCTTAAGGTTTGCAGCCCGATTCGTAACCACTACGCTACCAGAGCTCCTTATAAAGAAGATGTAAGAAACATGAAGACTCCCACGCTTGATTAGTTATATAGGGTTGTCCTCTTTTAATAAACTTCCATTATTTTGGAAGCAAGGCAGCACGGAAAATGAAACGGGCCCCTCAGCTTAAGAAACAAACTAAGGTAAGGTACACTGGCCTGGGTGAAACTGGATTAGCAAGGTAGCTTGGCTTGGCATAGAGGTCCCCAAGCAACTGCTGTAGGACTCTTCTAGGACGTGGCCTGCCTCCCCGACCAGTGAACGCTTTTCACTTTTATGCCACTTCTTGCCCCACCTTAATTTAAAATACCGTACAGGAGCACAAAAGTGCCCTTCCTGCTGCTTGGTTCTTTCTGGGAAGAGGAGAATACCAGCAAAGTTTCATCATTTTCACAACTGACTTACCACCAAAAAGCAGAGCCATTTGTAAGAAACGAAGGGGCGTTTTTCATTCCAAAGAGCAAAAATCACAACGTCCTCTCTTCAATATTGCTAAGTGCCATCGGGTCAGATACAACTCACAGTGGCCCTGTATAGGGTTTCTGAGGAGTGGCTGGTGGGTTCGAACAGCCAACCTTGCAGTTAGCAGTCCAGTTCTATCTATCGTACAGTGCCACACCATGACTCCATCTCTTCAATATGTTACTAGGAGCCTTCAAAAAGTTCCTGGAAAAATTCATTCTATTTTCGTTCGGTTTTTCCACTGACTTTTTAAAGTCCCCACAGAAAAGTGTATCCAAGCTTCTCTTTGGGAAACACAGCCCTGCTCTATACACACATACTTTCTGAAATCAAAGTAACCCCACTTTTCTCAGCCTCTAATGTTCTCTGGATACGAATATTCACTAGGAGGCCTGGTGTGGCACTGTGGGTTAATGCGCTGGCCACACCGCAAGGTCGGCAGTTTCAGGTCACAGCTGCTCCTTGGAGACCCTATACAGGGTCGCTATGGGTCAGAACCAACTCGACGGCATTTAACAACAAAACATTCACTAAAAAGATCTTTTCCCTCAGTACTACCCAGCTACCTCTCATACCCATTTATTATAACTCCTGATCAAATGGAGTCCTGGTGTGACGCTGCAGATCAGCACCGGACTGCTAACCACAAGATGTCATCAGTTCTAACCCAGCGGCCGCTCCTCAGAACCCCTAGGCAGGGTCACTAGGAATCGGCACCAACTCGACGGCACTTAACAACAACATTCAAATGGCACTCTTCACCCTACTCCCTGCCATTCAGTGGGTTCTGACTCAGTGACCCTGTGGGTCAAGGCAGCATGGCCCCACGGGGTTCCCGAGGTTGAAAATCTTTACAGGAGCCAATTGTCACATCTTTCTTCCTTGAAGCTGATGGGGGATTCAAACCACCAACCTGGCTTGTCATCAAGTGCTTTACCACTGCACCACCAGGCCTCATTTCCCCTAACCTAGGGGGTCAGTGACCTTTTTCTGTTAGTGCCAGACAGGAAGTACCTGAGGTTGGTGGGCTCTGCTGTCTCACAGAAACTACTCAACTCAGCTGCTACGCAGAAACCAAAAGGACTGGGTCCAGTCTAACTACGTGTGGACACCAAAAGATGCATTTCATATAATTTTTACCTTCCATGAAAGAATACTCTCATTTTTTTTCAACCATGTAAAAAACGTAAAAGCCATTCTTGGATGGTTGTTAAGTGCCATCGTTACTGCCGACTCATTGTGACCCTGTATAGAGTTTCTGAGGAGCAGCTGGTGAGCCTGAACCACCAACCTTGCAGTTCAAACCAACTTGGCAATCCAGTGCATTAACCCACAACACCACACCAGGCCTCTGATCATGGTCATGTGCCGTGGAGTCGCGGTTCCGACCCATAGCGACCCTGTACGGAGTTTCCGAGGCTGTAAATCTTTACGGGAGCAGAAAGCCTCATCTTTCTCCCGCGGAACAGCTGGTAGATTCTAATTGCTGCCCCTGAGGTTACCAACTCGATTTGTAACCACTACGCTACAACAGAATTTGGGCCCTGGGCTGTCATTTGTTGACCTCAATCCTAGCTAATCCCTTAGTTGTAGCCCTTACCCCTGCTGCCATATTCTGCCGCTTCTTCCTTGTAAATTGAAGAGCAACTAAGACAGTGCTTTGTGAACTAAAAAAATCCAGGAAACCAAACCCACTGACAGCAAGGGGATTCCAACTCATCGCGACCCTATATAGGGTTTTGGAGACGAAATATTTATGGGCGCAGTCTCATCTTTCTCCCAACACCCAACCCACAGCGCTACCAGGGCTCCTCCTGCAAGGTAGGCAAGAAATTACTCAGACGTGTCTCTCAAACAGGCCTTTCTTTTTCCCGTTCCCACATGTACCGACCGCTGCCTTAGTATCCTTTGACAGACACCCTGCATCTCAATGTCTGCAATATAACAGTATAACAATAAAACAGTGAGCAAAAATCTAAGGCATCAGCTACTGGGTGTGGATCCCCACCCCGTCACTCACTGAACATCCTGCGGTGTGCTGCGGGTGCTCCATGCTCCGTCCCCAGGTTTGTAAATGGGCAGGACACCACACAGCAGGAGAGCTTACCTCTGGGGTGGGTGCCACCATTCTGCATCAACCTCCCTAAGGGCTCCCTTGCCCAATCCAGTCTACCCACTAGATGTCATGGCTTCAAAACACGAGTATTATGACATGCCTTTTCTGCTCAGTAACTTTTCCAAGTTCAGCAAGTTCATTTGTAGAGCTAGAGAACATCTCACTGGCAGGGCTAGACAACATCTTGCAGGGATACATAACTACAGAACGAATTATGGTGGCTCCCTATCATAAGCAATGGATCACAAACCCCTCAAGAGTACTTAACAACAACAGAAAGATTTAGCTCTAAGGATAAGCACTGGACTGAGAACCACATGGTTACTAGTTCAAGCCCACCAGCCACTCCATAGGAAAAAGATGAGGCTTTCTGTACCCACAAAGACCTGCATTCTTGGAAAGCCTATATAGGGTCGCTAAGAGTCAGAATCAACAGCACTTAACAACAGCAACAATGTCCCTTGTGGGGAACGCAGTGGCTCTGTAGGATAAACACAGAGTAAATGGTTCAAGAAAAGCAGCAACAACAGAGATGGTTGCGGAGGCGATGGCATAGAGAGAGCAACAGAGGACTCTAGGCCCAGGGACTGAGAAAGGCAGTGTGCCTGCAAGCAGGAGGCTGGCTGGCAAAATGTGCCCTCTGGACATTTAAATGAATATATATTTTCAGTGTGGTATGTGTACATCAAAAAAAGGGCAATAGAGATAAATACTGTTAACTGATGGTTCATGCAGAGGATTGTAAGCATTGTAGTGATTTGTTGAATATAAAACTAATGATATTCCTGTAAACCTTCACTTAATTCACAATAAAAGCTTTTTTAAAAAAAAAAAAAAAAAAAGTCGACGATTCAAGCAAACCAGTAGCTCCCTCCACAGGAGAAAGATGACGCTCTCTGCTCCTGCAAAGATTTACAATCTCAGAAACCAAAAATAGGGTCATAATGGATTGGAACTGAGTTGACAGCACTTAACAAGCTCCTTGTGGTGAAACCATCTTACATGTGAAAAATACAGGGACTGAATTCTGGTGCCTTCACGTAATATCAACCTATGGAACATTAGGCAGGACTATTACTGAGCATACAGTGACCAGTTCGGAGCCAAGGCTCTAGACAGCTCCGCCCAGGGGAACATTCTGCAGTGACGGGCATAGTCTAGATTGTCTCAGCCTCATGCAGCAGCCACAAGACACGTGTGACTGTTAAATACGCAAAAATGTAGCTAGTGTGACTGATGAACCAAAGTTTTCATTTCAATTTAACCTTCATTAACTCCAATGGAAATGGCCATCATATTTGGGTAGGGCAGCTCCAGAGTCAAGGGTTCTAATCCTGGTCTCACCATTTCAGCGTGTGTGACAAGTTACTCAACATCTCTGTGCGTCGGAGTCCAACTGTCAAATGGGAAAAGTGGACAGACAGCGCCTACATAGGGCTGTGGTGCTTGGCAAATACCCACTACTGTTGGCTCTCTTCATTATAATTATTACTACACAGGCATAGCTAAGAGAGCCATTGTTGTTGTTAAGTGCCACCAAGTCTATTCTGATGCATAGCGACCCTGTATAGGGTTTCCAAGGAGCAGCTGGTGAGCTTGAACCACTGACCTTGCAGTTCAAACGACTTTCCAGTCTGACGCATTAGCCCACAGTGCCACACCAGGACTCCAAGGGAGCCGTAGTATGTTAGATATTTGGCTGCTATCCAAAAGGTGGGCTAATACGTCAGACTGCAAAGTCATTTGAACTGCAAGGTCGGTGGTTCAAGCTCACCAGCTGCTCCTTGGCAACCCTATACAGGATCACTATGGGTCGGAATCGACTTGATGGCACTTAACAACAACAATCCAAAAGGCTGGCGGTTCTAATCCACCAGGCACTCTGTAGGCAAAAGCTGTGGCTGTCTCCTAATCTCATTGGAAAGGAGCAGCCCAGAATATCAATAAACTGCTCCCATCAACACCTCACACACTTCTTTTGAACACTGACCTTTCAAACCTTTTATTACAGAAACCTCTAAATAGACATAAAAGCAGAGAGAGTCACCTTACTTCTTCAGGCAGCTACTCCTGGCTTTACTGGTCACTGGGCTGCCAATGACAAGGCAAGTACTTAGCATGATGCCAATCCTCTCTCCTAAGTGCCCAGTGAGTGCCTACTGATTTCTCTACAAAATGCAAGTTAAGAATCACACAGAGCTGCTGCCTTCTTCCTGTGGGTCACTTCCTGTCATCCTTCAATCTTAGATCAGGGGTCATTTTATTTACACATTTATGTAACGGATGTTCACTGAGCATGCACTAAAAGGGGAAGACAGACATTTCAATCTTCCTTCAGTAAATACACAATTCTGGGAGACTGATCCGCATCAGGGGGAACAGAAGAACAAGGAAGCAGACAAAATAATGCCTGGCCAGAACGCTTTCCCTAAGTCACCAGCACGGAACGGAAAGGACATAGTTACTCTTTATAACACTTAACAGTTTGGGATATTGGAGCCATTTGTTAGTTTCAAAAAAAATCCAAGAAAATCCTCTCTTCTGACTAGTGAGTCCATGCTGGGTGGTGCAAATGGTTAACTACTCAACTCCTGGCAGGAAACTTAGCCGTTTGAACCCACCCAGAGCTGCTCTACTATGTACACATGAGTCACCGTAAATGGACGTTAAGGAATGGCAACAACTAACTACTACCCGCTGTGTGAGAAGGGGCAGGCGCAACACACGTTTCTTTAATCAATGAACGGGGCTTCCTTGCCCCAGCACTGAATCTGTGACAAGTGGGGTGCTTGGTCCCTAATGTTTTACACTAGGCACCCTCTTCTGAACAGTTCCCACATCAGAACCCCAAGGGTTCAGGGATCGAGTTGCGAACAAAGGGAAAAACAAAACCACAAAAACCCAGTGTATCAGGGCGTGGTCCTCTCCACCGCCCAGCTGGGGAGCAGCAGAGCTTTCGCTTTCGGCTAAAAATAACCAGGGCGCTGGCCCCGCCACGATGTCCGCAGGCCACCTTGCTTACTGATACCCCAAGAACGAGGAGGTGTCTCCCCGCGAGCGCTAGGGATCAAGGACGGATGCCCAGGTTTGCTAAACGGGCCCAGTCCAGCCCGAGGGAGGGGCGCCCGGTCTGGAAATCAGGGGCCTCAGGGTGTCCTCAAGCCTCAGTGCTGTGCGTCCTTGGGCAAGTCATCTAACCTCTCTGGGCCTTCACACCCTGCTCTGTAAATGAGGGGCTCAACAGATAGCCTCTAAGGTATGAAAGAGGTAAGGGCTCCACGGCCTTCAGAATAAACAATTGCCGCGGGCGACGACCCCAGCTTCGCTGAGCTGAGTCTGAAACCCACTTCGGAGGAGCAGGGGGAGGCTACGGCGCTTGTAGGGTCCAGCCCGCCCGGCAGGCTGTCCTCAGTCCCGCCCCGAAGACCCCGCACCCGGTCCCGCTCACCTCCAAAGTTGGGTGAGCTCTGACAAGGTCCCCCGCAGACTGCGGCAGCCGTACTCGCCGCCCCTCCACAAGCAGCGGCATTTCGGAGGCGGCGGCCCAGGAGGCGGTGGCCTCCCCAGCCACCCGGCCGCCGGCCGCCGCTCCCCGCCCCGCCCTGCCGCGGAACATGCCGGGAAATGGAGTCCGGACGGAGCGGCCCAGCGAAACCGAATGGGCCCATGGGAAATGTAGTCCAGATGCTAGGCAGCGACTCCAGGAACGGTCCGTGGTTGGCTAGGAGGCTAGAGAAATGTACTAGTGCGGTGCTGTGGATTAATGCGCTAGACTGCAAAGCCGTTTGAACTGCAAGTTCGGCAGTTCAAGCTCACCAGCTGCTCCTTGGAAACCCTATACGGTGTCGCAATGGGTCGGAATCGACTCGACGGCACTTAACAACAAACCTAAACGCTTGCAAGGCGGGTGGGGGTGGGTTAGCTAGACCCCGCCCCCATACCCAGCGGGGCTGAGCGCACCTCAAGAGCCTTTTCCGGTCAGTTCCAGTTTTCTGCCAACCTAGCAAGCTGTGGGGTAGGTATGCCTCCGCTGATATCCCTGTGACCTTGAGCAAGTTTTCCGACTTTAGGAACCAGCTGTCCTGCTTCGTAGGATTGTATTCATGAGTAATAAACATCTACTGAGAAGCTAGATCTAACTTCGCTGGCTCCAACGTTTTAATGAAGCGCCAGTAACAGGATATTTGAAATGAACAAATCAGTGATTTTGCAGAATTCTATCATGGGAGCTCCAGCATCATTTCTATCACCAAGGCCATATTTTCTAACCACTGATCCTTCTTCTTTGTGCCCAACCTTTGCATTCCAATCACCAATTATGATCAATACATCTTGATTGCATGTTTGATCAATTTCAGATTGAAGAAGTCGGTATAATTCTTCTATTATGTCCTCACTGGCTTTAGTGTTTGGTGCGTAAATTTGAATAATAGCGGTATTAACTACTGGTAATTCACTTGGTGACAGAAATGATGCTGGAGATGGCATTTCAAATACCTTCTTTAGACAGCATTATGAGATGATTATACACATGGACCTCAACAAATGAAATACACAGAATTCAAATTGACTACATCTGTAGAACGAGGCGATGGAAAAGCTCCCTATCATCAGCCAAAACAAGGCCAAGGCAGATTGTGGAACAGACCATCAGTTGCTCATATGCAAATTCAAACTGAAGCTGAAGAAAATGAAAACAAATCCACCCAGAGTCAAAATATGACCTTGAATATATCCCACCGGAATTTAGAGATCATCTGAAAAACAGATTTGATACATTAAACACTAGAGATCAAAGACCAGAATTGTGGGATGACATCAAGAAAATCATACAAAAAGTCATTAAGATGACAAGAAGGAAGGTAAACAAAATGGATGTCAGAAGAGACACTGAAACTTGTTCTCCAGTGCAGAGATGCTAAAGCAAATGGAAAATATGAGGAGATACAAGAACTGAACAGAAATTTTCAAAGGTCAGCTCGGGAAGACAAAGTCAAATACTACAACGAAATGTGCAAAGATCTGGAGTCAGAAAATCAAAAGGGAAGTACACGTTCAGCATTTCTCAAGCTGAGGGAGCTGAAGAAAAAATTCAAGCCTTGACTTTCGTTATTGAAAGATTCTCTGGGCAAATTATTGAATGATGCAGAAAGCATCAAAAGAAGATGGCAGGCATACACAGAGTCACTGTACCAAAAGGAAATGGTTGATGTTCAACTGTTTCAAGAGGTAGCATATGATCAAGAGCCAATGATACTGAAGGAGCAAGTCCAAGGTGCATTGAAGGAATTGGCAAAGAACAAGGCACCAGAAATTGATGGAATAAAAATTGAAATCTTTAAAGAAAGTGATGTGGCACAGGAGGCACTTACTCATCTCTGCCAAGAAATTTGGAAGACAACTATCTGGCCAACTGATGGGAAGAGATCCGTATTTGTGCCCCTTCCAAAGACAGATGACCCAACGGAATGCAGAAGTCATTGGACAATATCTTTGATGTCCCATGCAAGTGAAGTTGTACTAAAGGTAATACAGAAATGGCGGCAAGTATACATTGACAGAGAACTTCAAGAGCTTCAAGCCAGATTCAGAAGACACCGTGGAATGAGGGATATCATTGCTGATGTCCAATGGATCTTGGCTGAAAGCAGAGAATATCGGAAAGATGTTTACCTGTGCTTTATTGATTATGACAAGCTATGGACAACATTGTAAAGTATGAATATTCTGGAACACTTAATTGTGCTCATGAGGAATCTGTACCTGGACCAAGAGGCAGTTGTTCAAATAGAACATGGGAACGCTGAATGGTTTAAAATTAAGAAAGGTGTGTGACAGGTAATTCTTTCACCGTACTTATTCAACCTGTATGCTGAGCAAATAATCCAAAAAGCTGGGTTATAGGAAGAAAAACGTGGCATCAGGATTGGAGGAAGACTCATTAACCACCTGCGATATGCAGATGATACAACCTTGCTTGCTGAAAGTGAAGAGGATTTAAAATATTTCTTGATGAAGATCAAAGAGCACAGCCTTCGGTATGGATTACATCTCATGTAAAGAAAATAAAAATCTTCACCACTGGACCAATAAACAACATTCTTATCAATGGGGAAAAGATTGAAGTTGTCAAGGACTTCATTCTTCTTGGGTCAACTATCAACCCTCATGGAAGCAGCAGTCAAGAAATCAAACGACGTATTGCATTGGGCAAATTTGCTGCACAAGACCTTTTTAAAGTGTTGAAGAGCAAAGATGTCAGCTTGAGGACTAAGGTGTGCCTGACCCAAGCCATGGTATTTTCAATAACCTTATATGCATGTGAAAGCTGGACAGTGAATAAGGAAGACCATAGAAGAATTGATGCTTTTGAGTTATGGTGTTGGAGGAGAATACTGAAAGTGCCATGGGCTGCCAAAAGAACCAACAGATCTGTGTTGGAAGAAGTGCAGCCAGAGTGCTCCTTGGAGGCCAAGATGGCCAAACTTCGTCTCTCATACTTCAGACATATCGTCAGGAGGGACCAGTCACTGAAGAATATCATGTTTGGTAATGTGGAGGGTCAGAGAAAAAGAGGAAGACCCCCAACGAGATGGATTGGCCAAGTGGCAGCATCAGTGGTCTCAAGCGTGGCAACAGTAGTGAGGTTGGCCCAAGATCGGGCAGTGTTTTGTTCTGCTGTGCTTAAGGTCGCTATGAGTCAGCACCGTCTCAATGGCACCTAACAACATCAACGACAACCTTAGTGGCGCTCAGGATAATGCACAGACTGCAAGGTTGGCTTGAACTGCAAAGGCAGCAGTCACTCCTCGGAAACCCTATCCAGGGTCGCTATTAGAACTGACTCTGTGGCACTTCACAACAACAAAGAACTATGTATATAGATCATCTTGGTAACAGCAACTCTAAAGACAAGACTCAAGGAGCTGTGAGTTTGTTAATGAAGGAGGAACAATTTGGAAAAGGAGGGAATGTTTGCACAAGTTGCATCTATTCAGTGTCACTGAAATATACATGTAGAAGCTGTTCAGTTGGTATATGTTCGACTGTGGATAGTCTCAACAACACACTGAATTTTACAATAAAATTTTTAGAGGATTCCATAGCTATTGCCCTCAACCACGTCAGTATACTTCTAGATAGGACTGTAAACTATTCACTGTAGCACAGGTAAACTTAAAGTATGCTCTATAGGTGTGGCACTGTAGGATAAGCACTCAACCAGAAGGTTGGTTTGAACCGCAAGGTCGGCAGTTCAAACTCACCAGTTATTCCTTGGAAACCCGACACAGGGACGCTATGAGTCTACAGCACTTAACAATATGTAAGGAGCCCTAGTAGATTATGAGCTGGGTTGTTAACTGCAAGGTCAGCAGTTCAAATCTTCCAGCACTCTGCCGGGAGAAATATGAGGCTTTCTGCTTCTGCAAAGATTTACAGCGAACCTGTATAGGGTGCTATGACTTGGTGGCACTCAACCACCACCAATGAAGTAATGAGAATGCAATTGCAGTGTCTGAATTTTGGACTAATCAAAGCCCTTCAAAGTCCACAACCTTTAACATGGGAAACTTGGCCGGTCTCACAAGATGCTGATTGCAAGGGTCACACAATATACAGGGTAAATAGGTGGTAAGACACAATGCGGTTCCGACACAATGCGGTTCCGAACTCCTCCCCTAATGGCTAACTGCAAAACTGGCTGTTGACACCTACTCCTTGAGAACTCTATACAGTGGGAACTAACTCCATAGCACTTGACAATAGTGAGTAATCCAAGTAAAATGATTCAACAGAAGTCAAAAACAAAACCAACTAATCAAATACAAAAGCCAAAAGCGTCTAATGCATGCAAGAGGTTCTAGCAGTTCTACCAGTAACAGCCTACTGCTCACCATCACCATGACCTTAAACTTTAAAGGACACTTTACTACAGTACTGGCAATACCACGATGTATATCCCAACCATTACAAAATTAGGATTGTGTAGAAACTTGCTACCGTTTAGTGAAAAATTCCGAATTAGTATGTAAATTATACATGACATCATAAAGCATACATGTCACAGACTGAATTATACAAGGGAGCTTCAAAAACTTTATAGAAATTGGAGTGAAAAGAAAATGGGATTTTTCCACACATATTTTTGAACCCCCATCATACAAAAAGCTTACGTTGCTATGGTGTTCATGGATATTCAACTGGTTAAGAGTATGTTGATGTAAACCAATAAATGGTCTTCAACCTTCTTGCACCTTATTGTTGTTAAGTGCCATCGTATCATAGCAATGCTGTATAGGGTTCCAAGGAGCAGTTGAACTTGAACCATCAACCTTGCAGTTCAAACTGACCTTACGGTCCAGTGCATTAACCCACAGCACCACACCAGGTCTCCTTCTTAGAACTCAAAATCAAACCAGACCTGCTGCCATCATGTTGATTCCAACTTAGTGACCCCACAGAGCACGAAGAACCACAGCCCTAGGGTTTCCGTGGCTAAATCTGTGCGGGAGCAGTCTCAGCTTTCCTCTGTGGTAAGGTTGATAGGGTCAAACTACCCACCTTTCAGTTAGCAGCCCAACGCTTAGCCCAGTGTGCCACCAGAGCTCCTTTGAGAAGCATCCACAGTTGCTGAATTGGAATCGACTTGATGGCAGGCTTTACACACTGGAGCAAGCCCAGTGCCCAAGGAATGTAGGCCTGGGCACGCTCAGTTTGACTCCTCAGTGTACACAGGGTCAAGAAGCACACCACAACGATTGACTGGCTGGGTGGCTCTGGGCCCTTTCTCTCCATTGCGAATCTCTTTACATGTGATGTGGCAGGAATGGCACATGACAAAGCTGCCTGTTTAACTGGACTTGGACTCTCACCAGGCAAACCACCATCGTTAACTGACTTTATTCCTTCACTGAGCCTCACAATCCTTAAATTGTTATCTGTTATTTCCATTCTGTTGTTACCTGCCAACAAATCAGTTTTGAATCATAACAATGTATCAATCTTTACAAAAGCTGAGAGCCTCCCGCTGAGGGGTTGGTGGACTTGAACTGCTGGCTTATGGCTTGCAGTCCAGTGTTTATCCATGAGTACACCATTTCTATTCTACACGTCAATAAAAGTGGGCTCAGAGAGGATAGGTTATCTTGCTCAGGGCCACAAAGGAAGGGAGGTCGGGTCTAACATCCAGGAAATCCACACAGGGATTGTCAGTCAGAATCAGCTTAATGACCACCACAGTGGTAAGTCAGTGGTGACTGTTACTGTTTTAATGTCATTGAGTCAGTTCCAACTCACAGCAACCTGGTACGGGGTTTCCAAGAAAAGACTGGTAGGTTTGAACTGATGACCCTGAGGCTGGCAGTTCTGTGCTTATCCTACAGCACCACACCAGGACTCCACAAATCAACTCCAGCTTATTAAAGAACACCTCACCTGAACAGAAAGCCATGAGAGAAGCTGGGAATGCCCACACCCACTGCAAGTTTACATTACAGGGAGAGAAAAACCTATGATTTCCATCTGCTTTGCAAGATTTCAGGTTTTTCTTCCTATAGAAGGTTTCTTTAAAGGAAATTTTTTTGGGGGGTGAGGGGGGAGTGTGGCCTCAGGCACCTTGCTTCGTGTTGTCTGAGAGCTGATACCAAAATCACTGGCATGTCATTTACTTCTGAACATAGCTGGCAAACGCTTCCTCTGTGATGATCCAGTCTCAGGACCCGTTTCCCATTGCAAAACGATGGGTCACTAGTACAACAGGTGAGGACGACACATTCAAGCATCCGAAGAACATACATGTGAGAAACTGTTTATTGGCGTAGCTCCCTTGATTAACCTACGAACCAAGCTCCAGATTCACCACACTGTTGTATTTTCACAATGAATTTCCCCCTCAAACTCCCTTCAAACAAAACTTGCTTGTCAATATATCCTCTTACATTAAAAACTACTTTCCAACCCACAAAGGACACAACCCGCTTACCCTTAACTTCTGTAGACACATTTTTCATTTAGACATTTTATCCTGACAAACCCCACATTTCTCAGCAGTTAAAACACAAGACAACCCTCATGTTTCTGGATGAATTCCCACTGAGTCACTGGCAGAAAAAACCACCAATATCCCAAAACTTTTTAAATCAATAAAAAGGTCTATTTCTCAAAAAGGGTATTTACAGATTAAATTCAAATTTGACCATTTGCCATCAACAGAATTATACATGAGCATAAAGAGCTCTAGGAAAAAGGAAATATACAAAAGAGTTACAGTCCAGAAAACACTGCTGCCTTTTAAATAAAGAACAGGAAAAGTGGCAAAAGAAATACTAATAAATATGCTGGAAGACGCCTATTTTCACAAGTAAACAGATACACACATGGAGAAGGCGGCTACGCTGCACGCACGAGCTTCAGCATCAAGCCAGTAGTGCAGCCCTAGCATGTTTCAGCCCCTTCGCGTCTGATGGCTAAGTTATAGAGACACGAGGAGCCTCTCCGGAGGCCTTCCCCATGCTGCATCCTCGAGGTGAAGAGCTCTAAGAGGATGCAGCAGCTCCCTCGGCCTGTGGTTGTCAACCAGTCCATTCGCCTGCTGCAGAGTTCTTTCTTTGAAAGGTACTTTGGAAGTTTTTTCATGTGTGAGCAAAGAAATGTTACAAATGACCAACAGCTGCAGATCAAAAAGAACTTGCCTTCACATCCTGATACAAGTACACAGTTCCAGTTCAAACAGTGCTCTTGAGAGACGCCAGGAAAAATGGAAGATCTTTTATAAAGGTCCAACTCTACTGTGTGCCAATGTGAACTAAAAATTACCTAAAAATGCATTTTTTCTTTTTTCTAAAATAGTACACAAATATTAAAATTTTTGATTTCCCTAAATCCTCTTTTCCCTCCTGGCCTTTGTTGGTCTTTCAGGTCCCTTGAGATCTTCTTCGTGCCTGGCACCACCTTTTAGTGATGCAGACTAGCCCTGGTCATCCTATTTCGCCTCCTGTACTCTCCTCCTAAAGGAGCTCTGGTAGCGTAGAGGTTATAAATCGGGCTGCAAACCTTAAGGTCAGCAGTTCAAAACTACCAGCTGTTCCGTGGGAATTAAGATGAAGCTTTCTGCTCCTGTAAAGATTTACAGCCTCGGAAACCCTGTACAGCGTCGTTATAAGTTGGTTCCGACTCCACGGCACATAACCACCACCACCACCACTCTCTTCCTGAGAAGCCAACAAATAAATACAGGGGAAGGGCAAGGCTTAAGAAATTCATGGAAAATACCATAATCTTTTCATTTCATGTTTCCAAGAACTTTCTGCAGCCCCCTTGGACACTTGCAGAAGGCAGTGTTTTATCCAAAGCAAACACATTACAGTGGAAGATGTTAAATAGTGTCCTAAGGGAGTTTTCACCGAAAGGAAATCATCACAAAGTGTTATCACTGTGGATATGACACAGACAAACCTGCAATTGGTTAAAACTACTGCTGATGTGAAAAACATCTTAACAGTCACAAATAGGAGCTGTCAGACCGTCAAAAAAAGTGCACGAGGCCATCAAAGTCAACAAAGCCTTCAACACGTATCGCCGATAAATCCCACCGTAAAAATATTGCACATGATAGTCAGTCTTTTGTCTGCAAGGGAAGCCAAAAAGAAAAACCAAAACCACCCCCATCTGTCCAGACACCAGATTTTGTCCCGCTTGAATGTAAGATGTTGCTCTCGGTCAATGCGATGCCCGATGGCAGGAAAGCTGCCTCTCAGTCACAAATCCTTGAGATCAGAAGGGACTGGTCTGGCATGTACAACACCGGTGGGGAGCCCACACTACTGGCAGGACTCCGGAAATGGGAATCAAAGGAGCTGGGTGTTATCCCAATCACAGACTCATTCTGGTGTGCTTCACCTTTCAAAAAATCGTCATCTTCATCTTCCACCATCTCCTGGGTGAAGAACAGAGACTGTCAGTAGGATGAAGAACAGCACTTGAAAAGACTCCTGCACATCATCCCTACCTCAGGAATGTACTCCTTTCTCTAAAGAGGAAGTTCCTCAGGAATCACCCACCTACTACTCATACTCACACTTGGTTTGTTACTTGTATAAAGTTCGAATTTTGGACTTTGAGTCCAGGAACATGACATGCCTATCTTGTTCAATGGTATATAGACCTTGTATCTTACACTATGTGAATCAATGAATGCTCCCCTCAAAATGCAAATCACAAAGATCAAATGGCCTTTTCTACGATTGCAGGCACATTAAAGATGACTTCTAACGTGGAAATGACTGTTTCAAAGAGACAATGTTACCCGGAGTACCACTGACAGGCACTGCACAAACGCGGCCCATCGGCTCCCCCAAGCTCACGACCACCGGGCACAGTCGGGCGATTTCTGGAATCGTTTCCACAGAAGGCAGGTTAAGATGGTTACTTGGTGATGACTAAGTGCTAAAACTCTTATCGGATGCTTTGGCAAGTTGTGTGGACACTTTACAAAAAATAAATTATTACAAAAATCTAATTGCTTCAAAGTCTGGATGTGATGTGTGGTTTAATTTAAATAATTCACCCAAAACCTGTTTTGATTTAAAAAAAAAAAAATCATCTGGGCTTGGAATTTTGTAAGTAGGTTAATAAGTACAATGCAGTTTTTCTTTCTAACAGGTACTGGCCATCTGACTCTGATCTGCAACCACAAAGGAGTCCTAGGGAGGAGTGCGGAATCCTAAGTTCACCTTTTTAATGGCTTTCTTAAACTCCTGAAGCTCTTCAGCATTCATGTCTTCCCATATCTGATAAGTAGGATCAATGAATTTCTTTGACCTGCCAGCAAAAATCACATCAGTTACATGACAAATCAAAGGCACGTTAAGCACGTCAGTGAAGGTCAAAATGTATATAAGCTCTTTTCTCATTAAGACACAATTCGCAAAAATCAGAGAGTGAAAAATATGGTCCAATCACAATGTCAAAAAAAAAAGGATCCGGAAATACTGCAATGGGGGGCTTTCTTCTTCGTCTTTTGAAGCTTTATCCACTCATATGGATGAACTGGTTTCTCATCTTATCATTTCCAGGTGACAAACTCAAAATGCAAAACAATGTCCTGGGACTTCCTTTTTTATATCACTAGTTATTTGCTCTGTACAAGGAGCTCTGGTAGTGTAGTGGTTACGAATTGGGCTGCGAACAGCAAGGTCAGCAGTTCGAAACTACCAGCTGTTCCTCAGGAGAAAGATGAGGCTTTCTGCTCCCGTAAAGATTTACAGCCTCGGAAACCCTGTACAGGGTCACTATGGGTCAGAACTGACTCCATGGCATAACCAAGACCAAGACAGTTATTTGCTAGAGTCCTGGTGTGGTGCTATAGGTAAACAGTGGACTACTGATTACAAGGTCGGAGGTTCATACCCACCAGTCACTCCTTGGAAACACTCTAAGGGTCGCTATGAAACAGAATTGACTTGACGACACTTAGTAACAGCAGCTTAAAAGATGTCTGTGAGAAACAATCTGGTTTTACTTTAACATCTGGGAGACCAGACGGTGTTGCTTGTTAGAAACGTGTAATAAACCAAAATCTGGCTACACTATGCCAGTGAAAGTTAAGAATGGGATGGGTTCTTTACAGAACTGCCCATGTAGACAACACACTTGAAGTTTGTGTATTCTGAGAGATCGCAAAGGATGTGGTTTCTAAAAGAAAGAGTCAGTCACTTGGAGAAATCTTTGAGCCAAGGAGAGGCAGCGTTCTTCCCCGTTATCCTGGTCGTTGCTGTGAAGTGCCATCAAGTCGGTTCCAACCAATAGTGACCCTGTATAGGGTTTCTTAGGAGCAGCTGGTGAGCCTGAACCACTGACCTTGCAGTTCAAACGGCTTTGCGGTCTGGCGTATTAACCCACAGCGCCATCTCGGGACATGGTACCAGTCGGCTTCTACCTTCCACCTCTGCAGATGGAGAGGACTCTGACAAGCACCTCGGGAAGGACCACTTGTAACAATGGCACCCTGAATCCCAGCCTTAGGAACAGCAAATCTAGGTGACACTGAAATTTCCCCCAGAGAGTGTCCAAAGTTTAAGGTACCTACCTCTTAAGAACACAAGGGTCAAAGGGGAAGAAGGTGTCAAGTGGGTTTGTGCAGGTTTGCACTGAGTCTCCTCCAGCTGTGTTTCTAATGACAGGGAGCATCTGACGATTGTTCCTCTCAATGATGGTGTAGCAGAAGACCAGCTGGTATTTACTGTGAACACCAAAAAAATCAACACAGGCTGAACCATGACCATCTGGTGCACAGAGATATTGCGGAACAGAACAACAAGACACGTAACACAAAACATCAAGTAGCTTCCAGTGTCAACAATTTGTAAATTTGAGGTTTGGAAATCAAACAGGGCTACTGCTTAGAATCTCTAGGAGACTGGTTTATTCTAATTACTAAAAATGAAAATGTGTGCAAGGTACAGCTCGTTTGCATAATGACATACACTTCTCTCTTTTAAATGACAAAGAACTAGGGGGCTAGTGAAAAAGGGAGTCAATATTTAGTGAGAGGGAACTGGCTGTTGATAAGGAGGTGACATTAGGGCTTTACCAAGGTTAATGGGGTTGAAGGAATCATGAATTAAAAGATACAACACTAAAAAGCATTAGTGAGAGAGAACAATTAAGTCATAGAACTTGTCATAAAAACGACAGGGTCATTGTCCTACTTTTTAGTGTCACTTCTGTATGACTTGTCATTAGGTGCCATCAAATAATTTCTGACTCATTGTGACCCTTGCAGAACAGCAGGAAATGCTGCCTGGCGGCCCTACCCTCCTCACCACACTTGCTGTGTTTGAGCCCATTGCTGAAGCCACCATGGTAATCCATCTGAATCCATCTCCTTGAGGCTCTTGCTCTTTTTTCATTGACTTTCTATGAAGTATGTCCTTCTCCAGGGTCTGGTCTTCCTGTTAACACTTACAAAGTACGTGCGACTAAGTCTCACCAGCCTTGTTTCTAAAGAGCATCTTGGCTTCACTTCTTCCAAGACAGATTCGTTCATTATTTTGGCAACACCATAATTCAATGGCATAAATTCTTCTTTATTCACTGTCCAGTTTTGGCATGGGCATGAGGAGACTGAAAATGCCACACCTCAGGCTGGGTGCACCTTAGTCCTTAATGTGACACCTTCGGTTTTTTTTAACACTTTGTTGTTGTTAAATGCCATCAAGTCAGTTCCAACTCTTAGAGGCTCTGTATAGGGTTTCTGAGGCATGATTAGTGGGTTTGAACCACTGACCTTTCAGTTCAGACCGACTTTACGGTGGTCCAGTGTGGTTATGAATAGAGCTGCTAACCTCAAGGTCAGGAGTTCGAAACTACCAGCTGTTCCGCGGGAGAAAGATGAGGCTTTCTGCTCCCATAAAGATTGAGAGCCTCAGAAACCTGTGCACGGTCGCTATTGAGTCGGAACCGACTCCACGGTACTTCACAACAATAACAAGTGCTTATCCTACAGCGCTAGGGAGGTCTTTTGCAGTCTAAATTTGTCTGATCCAATACATTCTTTTTTTTTCCTTTAAATTTTACTTTGTTGTTGTTGAGTATACAACAAAATATGTAACAATTCAGCAGTTTCAACATACAGAATTTAGGTGACAATGCTTATATTCAAACTGCAACCATCCTCACCTTCCTTTTCTGAGTTTTTCTTCATCAATGTAAGTTCACTGTTCTCTAAGGTTCTTATATATGGTATTTTTACACAAATTAACATGCGTGTTATATATTTTTCCAAACCATGCAATTCACTTGCATGCTTGTTTCCTGTGGGCATTATTTGCGGGAAAATATCATGATCTTTTGAGCTGTTGTCACTTTGATCCCATGTGGATGGTTCTTAAAAAGAGCCAAATGCTCGAGACAGTCCTTTTGTTTCTGATGAGTTAAGTAAGCGACTGTTTAGTTTATTATTTGATTACTTGACTGCTGCTTCCAGGCCAATGATTACCGATTCAAGTCACAGGAATACCTTGACACCTTCAATTTTCCCTCCATTGTTCATGTTGTTTAACGGTCCAGTTGTGAGGATTTTTGTTTCAACTTTATAGACACTATCCTGTGACTAGGCCTCTGACATGAGACTTAGCTCCCCTCTGGTCCTCTTTCTTCCTTCGGCCTTTCCCTCCCACAGTATTTGTTCAGATATATAGTCTCAAGTTCTCAGGTCACCGCTGTAACTTGGAAGTGACATATGTCTATTTTTGTTCCATTAGCAAAGGCCGGTCTGTTCAGAGCGGGCGTGTAAATCAGCAACATGAAGCAGAGACGAGCTTGTGATGCTGGGTGGGTTGCAAACAAGCCCCTCCCACAGCCCAGCATCTGAACTCTGGGTCTGGGACCAGGCAGCATGTGCCTAAACACTAGACCCATGTACAAAAATGGGCTCGAGACAGCGTTTCCAACACTGAGAAAGGAGCATGTGGAATGATTTAAAAAACATTAGCCAGCAGTTAAAATCAGAGGTTCTGTGTCTGTGTCATTATGGACACATTTCAAACCCACAGTATGCAAAAGCAGTAGCTACCGAGTGACACCTCAGGTCTCACATACAGATCTTGCTTTGGCTCCTGGCTTCACACCTGACACCTAGCCGCAGCTGCACATGCCAAGCCCAAATCCGAGCCTCCAGTTCGACACCTGCAGCCCAGCCCCCACTGAGGAGATCCCAGGGCGGGCAGTCGCCTTGGCTCTGCCTCCTCAGCCCCTGGTTCCAGTGTTTGTACAATCCCTCCTCTGGGAAACGCTCTCATACTGTGCTTGCTGGTTGTGGGTTTCGTTTTCCCTTTTCTTAGCCCTTTACTACCAACTGAGATCTTAGGAGAGATGAGAGTCCCATCAGCTTCAATTACATGTTCAGTGAAGGACAATTAAGGTTTCTGGATGAGAAGACTTGCGGAATGAAAAGGAATTACTTCTGTGTCTTAATGAGACAGAAGATTTATCTGTTAAGGATTTAAAGTTGTGGTCCTGCCTCAACATCCTCATTAACTACTTATACTTTTGTACTCACTTTGTACAGGAAGCAAAATAACAAAGGCTTCTGACACAGCCAGACTGCCTGCATTCAATTCTCAGCTCTGTCAGTTCAGCTATATGACCTCCAGCCAGTCAGTTCATCTCTCTGTGCCTCTTCCCCATTTATAAAATAAACTTAGTGCCATCAAGTCAACTCCAACTAACAAAGAACTGCCCCATAGGGTTCCCAAGGCTGTAATCTTTACAGAAGCAGCACACAGTCACATCTTTCTCCTGGGAAGTGGCTTGTGAGTTTGAACCGCCAACCTTTTAGATATCAGCTGAGCACTTCACTGAACCACCCACGGCTTCTTTCCCCATTCATAAAGAAGGCTTACTTCCATAGGCAGAAAGCTGGGGCATGATGAAAGGAGTCCCTGGAAAGTACTTAGGTCTGTAATCACTATGAATTAGCAGTGGTGAAGAGGCCTGACACAATGCAGTCTCTCACTAAACCTCTTTCTCGTACTAGGAGATAGTTCTCCTGTCCATTTAAAAAACAACAAAACTTTTGCAAATTAGGTGAAGGTTTACAAAGTACAAAGTAAAGAGTTTTTCCATTCAACATACACCTTTTATTTCCTATCACTAAAAACAATCCCACAATGGAACTTAACTTCCTCTCTGTTTCCTGTTTCCAATACTCCTTTCTTAATCCTTCTGAACTTTGTCCTTGGCAAATGCTGCTCTTTTAATCTCAAATGGTTGATTACTCTAAGGAGTGTTTACCTCCCTAGTGTTCCCCTACAGACCTGACTATTGTATGGCTGAAAATGGAGCCATGGGATGGGTTCATTCAAGATCTGAAGGGTGACTAAGGGCCATCTTCTCAGGAGTTCCAGCGATCTCTTATCTGGTCTCTTATCTGACCAGTTGTTGTTGTTGCAGTAAGCCTGGTCTTTTTCTATGATTCTGAGTTTTGTTGCACATTTTCCTCCTGCTCTATGAAGCCGCTTTAGTGTGACTTCTTTTAGGGCCATTGGGAGTGGTAGCTGGGTCCCACCTAGTTCTGCTCTCAGGACCGTGGAGGCTATTTTGGGTGTTTCATTAATCCAGTGTCCAATTTATTTTTATTATGATGACTAGGGTCTTTTGATAAATAAGTACCTTTAGACTATACTTCTTAGCTTTCTAGTTGCTTTCCTGATTTCAAAGTACCTAGGCTTCTGTTCAATTACTCCCTTTGGACAATTTCCAGTGTCAACAAAAAATTAAACCAATAGCTTCAATGGAATGCTGTTTATACACATACTGGGCTATCTTTTTATTTTGAATGCTACATCATCATTGCTAGTAATTTCACTACCAACAGTAAAAGACATAAACGTAGAGGAATTTTACAATATTAACATGAAGACAAATCTCCTTTTAAATAACTTCCAAGAAAAGTATAAATAATTTACCTGGTGATAGCAGCAAAAAAGTTAACCACTGAGGGCAGGCAAACCTTCAGAGGATTCAGCTGACTCATGACAATGCGTTCAAAATTTAGACCCTGAAGGTACCGCAAGCCTGTGATTAAAAAAGAAAAGTTTTTATATAACAAATTAAACTTGAATTGTTTCAACACTAGAGTGTTTTTTAAAAGTACCAACAGGATTGATAAAGGGCCTGTATCAGTGGGTGGTAACAGGTGGTACAGTGGGGCGTGCTCAGCTGCCAACTGAAAGGCCGGTGATTTGAAGCTGCAGTGGATCCACAGGAAAAAGACCCGGAGATTCCTCCAGGAGCTTCCCATCTAGAAAGCCTCAGGCAGTCCCACTGTCAGCGGGGTTGCTATAATCTAAATCAACCTCAAGACACATAACAAGCTATCTTTACAGGCACAGGTAATTTCACACGTTTAATAAAAGTACAAAGAGTCACAAACATAGCTGAGAAGAATGTCACTAGGCTAACTAGGCTAACCACATTCTTTGATAACTAAGCCACTATCACTGGTAAAAACTGTTGAGTCAGTTTCGAATCATAGTGACCCATTATAGGGCTTCTAAGGAGTGGTGGTGGGCTTGAACTGCTGACTTTGCCATTAGTTCAGTGCTTATTCAACAGTGCCACACCAGGCTCTGAAAAGGTGAATGAGAAAGCAGTTTATTATATTAAGGGTCAGGAAGTAAGGCAGATGTTTGTAGCGGGCTGTAAGCCGACAGAGGAGTTAAAGTGCTGGTAAACTTAGTGTATACAGAGTTTATATGCAAGAAAGCCTTCCTGACAGATCAGTAGTTTTAAAACCGTTCCCTATGGTTACAAGAACATGACTGTGACACCACCTAGTCCTCAAATTCCTTCCATATATACAGGCCAGTCTGACAGCAATGTAACAAACACACCGCCTCATTTCAACACACGTCTGAAATCATCTGTGTCGTTGAACATTCTTTTTGAATGTGCATCAGTGGTGTCAATTTCAAATTTTTCTTTACCAGAAAACTCTGGCAGCAGAAAGAAAACTGAAGACATCACTGTCCCAGAGCGAATGACTCTAAAGCTCTCCTGTATCAGTTCAATAGACCCTACACTCAGAAACAAGGAGACTAGCTGGGTAAGTCACTTCTCCTAAAATGTTTGATAAAGATGATGTAAATGGAATCACGGTACAGCTTACAATTCAGTTTCTTTCTTTAACCAGGATGGTCACCATGGTGGTAGTGTGCCGTGGAGTAGGTTCCGATTCATAGTGACACTGTATAGGATTTCTGAGGCTGTAAATCTTTATGGGAGCAGAGAGCCTCATCTTTCTCCTGCGGGACAGCTGGTAGTTTCGAACTACTGACCTTGAATAACAGCTTGCCTCGTAACCACTCTGCTACCAGATGCCTGCCATCTTGTTCGCACCAAGGCAGGTAGAGTATTAACTAAACTCTCAGTCACTGTAGAAAGCCATCATCTTCTGTTTATTCAACTTTAACATGCAGAATAGACAAATGCATAATGCAATTCATATTGACATAAGTTAGGGTTAGTGCTGTGATCCTCCCAACCCCTCCTCACCAGGACATTGTTTTTCACAACTGGGCTTGGGGGAGGGGGTACTAAAGTAGGCATCTAGGAAGGTAGAGGTCAGTGTTGCTTCAGGGCAGCCTCTTCAATGAAGGATTAGCCGGGCCCCAGTGGTGCTGGTGCTGAGTGGGAGGAAGCAGCAGTCTATTCTCATTATCCACAGAAATGAACAAAGTCACTTAAATTCATGTAATTCCATTGTCCTGAAGAAACTGCATCACCTCAGCTGCACCCATCTGATTAACAGGCTTCATTGGGTAGACCTGGCTGGAAGCAGCCAAGCGGACAGCTGGGCCATGAATTCTCTCAACTCTTCAGGACACGAGCACATCTGTGGTGACCACAGCAGGGCCCAAGGACATGTCTCTGGGGCAAATGGCTTCTCAGTGCTTTGGTCTTCTTGCTGGCCCTTCACTGGGCTATGTGATGAGGACAAGGTGAGGTGGCACAGAGAGCCGCATGCGTGGTGCTATCCCAGAGCGAGAGCTCAGCCTCACACCTCAGGAAAGCACATCCACATTTCACCCTGTGTGTGGGGGGCGTGGGGTGGGGGGTGGGTGAGTTAGCTGCTATGTCTCCTATGCCTTTAGTCTTTGTAACTCCCACCAAGTAACTCCTCCTGCTGGGTCTAGAAAAGCTAAGGTGGGAGAGGATACTGACAGATGACAGGATTCAGCTGTGGGTGTCAGCAGAGTAACTCTTACTACCATCCAAAAAGAGCCAGGAGTGAAGCATGTCCTTTGGACCCTGAGATCCCTGCATACAGAACCTCCTGGACCCAGAGACAGAAAGCTGGGGCACCAGAGAGGTGGCAGAGGAGGAGAAGCAGAAGCCAGAGCCAGAGCATAAGGGCCACCAGAACCGGGCTTCCCAGCCCACAGAGCAAGGAAAGCTGAGTGACTCTAGGCAGGAAGCTTGCTCACACAAGAGGGTGCTTCCAGGAACTTAAATGGGAGAGTTCATTTTTTTCTGACCCACAGAGCTAAAGCCGATGAGGTTTATGGTGGAGTGGTGTGCCTGTAGGCATTTATAGCAGCAGCCTTAAAAGAGCTACTGATCTATGGAGTCCTGGTGTGGTACTATAGGATCAGTACTTGATCACAAGGTCAGTTTACACCACAAGACTGGCAGTTCAAACCCATCAGTCGCAACTCTATACAGACTCACTTTGAGTCAGAATGACTGGAAGGCACTAATGACAAGAAAAGAGCTTTGTAACATTATTGGAGCAGGGCAAACGCCAGGTCAAGGGGCCAGAGAAGAGGCTGCCCTGACTGTAAGCACTGTGCCTGCAACATTTCTGAACTGTAACCTATTAATGTCCCTAATAAACCCCACAGCTAGGAGTATGGTGTCTGACTTCTGTGTGGACCATTGCAACCAATTATTGAACCCCAGCAGGAGTAAAGAGCGCTGAGGGAGGGAGGCCTGGGGCTGTCTTTTGTGCACAGTGGCAGACTTTCGGAAGTAGGTGGCCAGATGTTTCTACTTCTTCTTAATCTGGAAGTTCCACTGAAACGTATCATAGCAACAACATAAGCACCCCCTGACAGATAGGTGTGCCTGAGGTGCATTGGCTGGGAAGTGAACCTGGGTCTACCACGTGTAAACCGGCAAAATGATTTGTAAAAGCTTGAGTGTGTGTGCATTTTTCTGGATCTACAGTTTTCACCAAATTCCCAAAAGAAGAAAAAACCAAAGGTAAAGAAATGCCATTCTAAAGGGTGATAAGTACACAATGAAAACCCTCTTACGGCCCACTTCACTGACCTTCCTTCAGATTGCCACTTAATAGCTGCTTGTGTCGGAAAACAAAAGTGTAGAACACAGCCTGACAGGCTGAATAAAATGGTCCATGGAGAGCAACGTCGCAGAAAGCCTTTGTTCCTGAATCCTGGTTATGAAGGTACAAGTGCAGCCAGTTAACCAACAGATCTAGGCAGGATTTGACAGTACTAGAAAAAAGAAAAAGGGAAGTTCACTTTACTTGCTTCATAAAAACACTAGAGTGACACCAAAACAGGTAATTGTCTACCATTACAACCTACGAAAAGTCAGTCCAAGGTGCCTGTAAACATCACCCCTAGGCATACAAGAGAAGCAAAGTTGAGCAGGATGGACTGACTAGAAACAGGTAGGTCCAGAAGGATGCCTAAAGCCCCAAGGGACAGGGAGTTTTTTCTAATCAACTCAGAAGGGCTTCTGCAATGGCCCCCCTAGCCTTCTATAAGGGATATAGCCAAAGGGTGGGGCACTTTAACCAACACCCTATCAGGGAAAGCCAATCTGGTTGATTCCACCACAGCCTATCGGTCCTGATGAAATCTTGAGAGGCCCACAATTTAGGGCCAGAGACTTTTAGTTGTTGGGAGGATTTGTTAACAGCATCCTTGCCCACAGATACATTCATGGGTCCCTGGAAGAAAAGGCCCAGATCTGGCTGCACTGGGTAAGTCTGTCTATTATCTTTAAAGGTTTTTTTTTTTTTCTTTTCCTTTAACAGATACAACTGACTCAGAATGCAAAGGGAAAACGACAAACCTATAAAAGGATCAACACTCCATAGCACCACACCCAACAGAAGACAAAGCTTTACACATACAGCTTTAGCTCTTCAACAGGAGACACTGTTTCAAAGTGCCCCTTAGCAACAGAACTATCTCTTACAGGGTGGGTATGCAGATTTATTCACTAGTAAAGGCAGACCCCAAAACCAAGGCCATCTCTCTGACGTGAGATAATGCACTCCTTGTTTTAAAACAGGTGGTGTAGAGTAGGCTACTCACATAAGAGGAACAAATTTTGCTCTTGCCAAAAAGCTTCCAATATAATTCCCTGCAGCTTGCCGGATGATAGCAGGATTATTTGGATCCTGCAATTTTTTCCATAGATGTTCCAAAAAGGCTTCTGCAAAACCCTATAAAAAGACAAGATGTTGGTCAGTTCTTTCTGTAAACCATTCGAGTTAGTAGCATCTTAAGATTTTCACTCACCCATGTGGGAGAGTCTGAATAGTTCAGTCACACAGCTGAACCATGACTGAAGTTTTCACGGTTCTTGTTTTCAAAATATCCTGAGAAAATACCATTACAAACAAAAAGGCCTCCCAGGTGTTAAATAACCCAGTGGAAACATGTGGCTGAGCATTAAAATCCAGGAGCGTACAAATTCAGTATGTTTGTGACAGGACTTTGGAACCTGCCTATTTAAAAAAATCTACATGCGATTCAAGGAATTGCTTGTTATTAAAATAAACAAAAAAACCAACTCTACAAGCCTACAAGACCAGTTACTACCACTATTATTCAAGTTTATGCACCAACCACTAAAGCCAGTGATAATGAAATTGAAGAATTCTACCAACTTCTTCAGTCTGAAATTGATCAATCATGTATTGATGACTACTGGTGATTGGAATACAAAGGCTGGAAACAAAGAGGGAAGGCTCAGTAGTTGGAAAATATGGCCTTGGTGACAGAAATGATGCTGGAGATTGCATGATGCAATTTTGCAAGACCAGTGACTTCTTCATTGCAAATACTTTTGAGCATCATAAAAAATGACTATACACATGGACCTCACTAGATGGAAATCAAATTGATTACATCTGTGTTAAGAGATGGTTGAAAAGTTCCGTATCATTAGCCAAAACAAGGCCAGAGGCAGATTGTGGAGCAGACCGTCAAGTGCTTGGATGCAAGTTCAGGCTAAAGCTGAAGAAAATTAAAACAAGTTCACAAGAGCCAAAATGGTCCTTGAACATATCCTACCTGAATTTAGAGATCATCTCAAAAACAGATTTGATGAATTAGACACTAAAAACAGAAGACCAGAAGAGTTGTGGGATGACATCAAGGACATCACATAGGAAGAAATCAAAAGGTCATTAAGAAGACAAGAAATAAAACCCAGACCAAAATGAATGTCAGAAGAGACTCTGAAACTTGCTCTCCAGCATAGAGATGCTAAAGCAAATGGAAGAAATGAGGAGGTAAAAGAGCTGACCAGAAAATTCCAAAGGGCAGGTTGAGAAGACAAAGTCAAATATTATAACAAAATGTGCAAAGAACTGGAGTTAGAAAATCAGAAAGAACATTCTCAAGTTGAAGAAACTGAAGAAAAAAATTCAAGCTTCAAATTTGCACTATTGAAGGATTCTTTGGGCAAAATATTGAATGATGCAGAAAGCATCAAAAGAAGATGGAAGAAAGACATAGATTCACTACACAATAAAGAAACAGTTGATGTTCAACCTGTAGCATATGATCAAGAAGAGCCCATGATGCTATGGAGAAAGGGAGCAGCTGAGGACTCTAGACTCATGGAAAGAGAAAGGTTGTATGCTGGCAGCCAGGAGGCCAGCTTACAGAATGTGCCCTTTGGTTGTGTAAATGATTATATATTCCTGAGTGGTTTTCCATACAGCTCCCCCCCCCCCAAAAAAAAACCAACAAACAAACAGAGAGAACAGAAGCAAATACTGTTGAATGATGACGCACTGAAGAGACTGTAATTGTTGCAATGAAACAATGAGAGTAACATCAATGTTCTCCCATGTAAACTATCACTCAATTCACAATAAAAACTTATGCAACAACAACAAAAAGAGCCCATGACACTAAAGGAAGAAGTCCAAGGCATACTGAAGGCATTGACAAAGAACAAATTGAAACCTTTCAACAAACTGAGGCAGTACTGTAGGCACTCACTCATCTATGCCAAGAAATTTAGAAGACAACTACCTGGTCAACTGACTGGAAGAGATTCATGTTTATGCCCATTACAGAGAGAGGTGACCCAATGGAATATGGAAACCATCAGACAATATATCACACTCAAGTAAAATTGTGTGGAAAATAATTCAGGAACGGCTGCAACAGTATATTGACAGGGAACTGTCAGAAGTTCAGGCTGGATACAGGCGAGGACAAGGAACGAGGGACATCATTGCTGACATCAAATGGATCTTGGCTGAAAGCAGAGAATATCAAAAAGATGTTTACCTGTGTTTACTGACTACAAAAAGGCTTTCAACTGTGTGGATCATTACAAACTATGAACATCAATGCAGAGAATGAGTATTCCAGAACATTTCATTGTGTTCATAAGGAACCTGTACATAGAGGCAGTTGTTCAAACAGAACGAGGGAACACTGAGTGGTTTAAAATTAGGAAAGGTGTGAGCCAGGGTTGTATTCTTTCACCATACTTATTCAACCTGTATGTAAAACAAATAATCTGAATTATATGAAGAAAAACGTGGCATCAGGATTGGAGAATGACTCATGAACAAAGTAACTGTGATATGCTGATGATACAACTTGCTACCTGAAAGCGAAGAGGACTTAAAAAATATGCACAAGACCTCTTTAAAGTGTTCAATAGCAAAAATGTCAATTTGAGGTACACCTGACCCAAGCCATGGTATTTTCAATAGCCTTACATGCATGTGAAAGTTGGACAATGAATCAGGAAGACTGGAAGAACTGATGGATCTGAGTTACAGTGTTGGAGGAAAATATTACAAGTACCATGGACTGCCAAAAGAACAAACAATTCCATGTTGGAGAAATACAACCCAAATGCTCATTCAATGCTAGGATAAGAATGAGAAGCCAGGCGTGCCAGACTTCGTCTCTCATACTTTGGAGATGTCAGGAGGGACCAGTCCCTAGAGAGAAGGACGTCATGTTTGGTAAAGTAGATAGCCAGCGAAAAAGATGAAGACTTCCCACGAGAGGGATTAGTACAGCGGCGGCAGCAATGCACTCAAGCTTAGCGGGAACTGTGAGCTAGGTGCAGGACCAGACAGTGTTTCGTTCTGTTGTGCTTTGGATCGCTACGAGTCAATACTGACTTAACAGCACCTAACAACAAGTGATTCTGATGCTTTGCCAGAAATAGAAGCTGGCAACAACCTACACAGTTAATATGACCACACATATTAATCATTCCCAGAAACAGACCTGTAGAAGAAACTCTAGTCAATATTAAACGAATCATACTACTCATGGAAGAAGACTGAGGGATAAAGCTGTGCTTTAATAAAGGGCACCAGGTCCTTTTCCTCCTTAAAAAAAAGCTCTTTTTAAAAACTATTGTGAAGACGGTGAAGGACTGGATGGAATTCTGTTTTGTTGCATATAAGGTCACTGAGTTGGAAGTGACTTGATGGCACCTAACAACACCACCAACAAAAGTCCACATCCTCCTCAAAAAGAGCTCTTTTCAAAGACATAGAACACAAACTTCTGAGTAGGGCATGTGTGTCCTCCATCACCCACACTCTCCAATTTTCTCCTGTGCTAGAAAACTACAAAAGGGAACCTTCTGTGAGACCCTCCTGCCCGACCCCATCCCTGCAAAAATGAGGAAAAAATGCCTAAAAAGGCTTAACATCCTGAACTGAGAAAGTTGCTTTGGGTTATTTAGGACTCAACCAGTAGAAATACTAAAGAAAAGAAAAAGTGCAGGAATCCATATGTGTGATTTTAACAGTAAGGGCGCCACCTAGTGGGCTCAGAATGGCATTTTCTGAGCTCTTGGCTGAGTTGATAATACATTCCTTCCTTTTGCTTTGTTGAAAAAGGAATGTGATTCAATTAAGGGTACAGATTAAATGAAAATCTCAAGAGAAAGCATCAGAAACATTCACCTGAAGAATTCAGTCTTCCCTACCACCAGCACCACCCCATTCTTAAGGGAAAAATGTTAGTGGGCAAGAAAAAAATCAGCTAAGATGTTAAGACATTCTTACTCACCAGCTTGAAGCTACAGAGGTAAAACATAAAAAACTGTACATGGCAGGAGGCGTGGGTGGGCAACAGGAGTTTATCAAAGATGCTTATCAGATCTCGATATAAATCCTTTGTTTTGTTGTTATCAACTTTACCTGCAGGGGACATTAAGCATTTCATTTTCAAAAAGACCATTTTCAATCACACATTGTTTTAATTTGCCAAATTTGTTCAAAGGATAAGATACCTCTAACAAACAAAATAACCCCATCCACTGCTTCTCACTCATAGCCAATTTGTATAGGGTTTCTGAGGCTGTAAATCTTTATGGGAGCACAAAGCCTCATTTTTCTTCCATAGAGGGACTAACAGGTGGGTTTGAATTGCAGACCTTGAGATTAACAGTATAGTCCTTATCATACAGCGCCTTAAGAAACACAATGCTGTTGTTGCCAAGTGCATCAAGTTGGTTCTGATTCATGGTGACCCTGTTTAGGGTTTCTGAGGAGTGGCTGGTGGGTTTGAACCACTGACCTTTTGGTTCAAATCCATATGTTTATCCTACAGTGCCACACCAGGATTCCAAGAACCACAACTGTTAAGTGCCATCAAGTCAATTCCAACCCTGGCGACCCTGTATAGGGTATCCAAGGAGCAGCTGCTGAGCTTGAACCACCGACCTTGCAGTTCAAACGACTTTGCAGTCTGACGCATTAACCCACAGAGCCATACCAGGACTCCACAATATAGCATCCATTAAACAATGATTTTAAAAAGTGCCATTTCTACTTTGCAGAGTTTTCTTTCTAGTACTGGCAAGGAAGCAGATCTTAACCTCACACACCACTGTGGCTGCAGAGGATTCTAAAATTCATCAAGCAGCAGACTGGTGGTGGTGGTGTGCCGTGGAGTCAGTTCAGACTCACAGCGACCTTGTACAGGGTTTCCGAGGCTGTATATCTTTATGGGAGCAGAAAGACTCATCTTTGTCTTACAGAACAACTAGTAGTTTTGAACTGCTGACCTTAAGGTTAGCAGCCCGATTCATAACCACTACGCTACTACTAGGAACTAAATGAAAGCAAGGGTGCTTCCAAACATTTGTGGGACATAATAAAGATTACACAATGTTAAAGAATAGTAAAAAATCTGCAAACCACATTACAACATGGACGAACCTGGAGGACATTATGCTGAGTGAAATTAGTCAATCGTAAAAAGTCAAATATTGCATGAGACCACAATTGTGAAAGTTAAGAAAATATTTTTTGCTAAATGAAACAGTCTATGATGGTTAGTTACAGGGTGAATGGGATGTGGAGGTGGGAAAAAATAACAGAGGCTAAATACTGTACATGGAGTGGACTGGAGCTATTGTAAAAACCATGAAGTATAGAATCTGCTGAATGTGAGACTGATGATCTGTTCTGTAAACCTTCACTCAATTCACCGTAAAAAATAAAAAATAAATTAACTAAAATTTAAAAATTTGTGGGGAAATGCCATTATCTTTTTGATCCATTTTTTTCACGAATATTTTGAAGAATGGTTGTATACACAGGAAGTTCATTACACTGTTGTTTATAAACGTCACCCACAAGCATAAAAAGAGGAAACCAAAACGTGTTCAATCCACATGATGGAATGCCACTCAATCAGTTAAAACAGTCTTTTATGGGAGTCATGAACTGTATGAAAATGATGTTCGAAAGGGCAGGTTATGAAAGAATTATGTTTAGTGTGGCCCCAAATCTATTAACTTTTTTAAAAATTACACATCAATTATGCACTCTGGTAGAAAAGGAAGATAAACGCATCAAAATGCTGATAAGCGTTCTCTGAATGGTGGCAGTGTGTTTATTTAAATTTTCTTTTTTATCCTTTCCTGGATTTCCTAAACTTGATCTAGCCAACATTTATCATTTGTGTAACAGGAAAAAAGTTACCATAATACTCAACTCAGATTCAAGTGTACCATTATTCTGAGAGACTGACTATTTTTCAATCTTAGCAAACAATGTGAACAAGAAAAAAAGTTTGTTTTCTTCTTGGCAAACTTCCCGGACTGAAAGAAGTCCATCAGTTTGTTCACCTGGGTACCACCACCCTGCACAGTAACATACTGAGCAATCCTCTACACTCAACGAATAACAAGCATCAAAAATCAGTACTGACGACACTATCCTTACAACGCCTACAGCCACTTGAATCTAACTTGGCCTCTGCCTTAAACTGACTAAACTCCACGTCAGTGTCTGATACAACATTCAGAGAAAAGATCAGGGGCTTTGAAAATACAAGGGAGACTTCAAAACATCTGTGGAAAAACTGAATGAAAGGCTAACGGAGCATTTTCAACTTGACCTCTCAAAACCGTCTTTTCCTCAGACTCAACATTACTGATGTATACAAGATTTTTTTCAATCATAGAAATAACGTTTGCACGACGTGCAACACAGAGCAGGGTGTAGCGCAGCGAGTGTATCAGGGCAGGCCATTACCATCCACGTAGCAGACATCCTTAATGTAGGACAGTAGTAAAGACAGCAGGATGTCCAGGCGTTCGGCTACCGGGTGCACCATGCGGTCGACTGGCACAGAATCAGCCTTTGTTTCACATTTAGTTTCTTCATCTTCATCCTTTAAAAATAAAGACAACATTGACATGCAAACAATGAAAGCACATGGACTAATGAAACCACCATCTACAGAGTTTTCAAAGCAAAGCACATGTCCATTATCCTGGTCTCAGCGCCTCTCTGAAGACCCAAGCAGAGGCTGGCCATACAACAGGACTGGTTCCACATGTCGGTACCAGGTCCGCGATTCCAGACCAGGACCTCCTGGCTGCTTTTGTTCATTGTCCCCTTCTCCAGAGAAAGAGGCCCTCAGCAGAACAGGAGCCAGCGACTGCCCTGGAGCTAGGATCGACTGAGGTACACTCATGCCTGACAAATCAGGTTACGGCTCCCTTCTTTTCCTAAAAACTTCTCATCATGAATTGGGTGAAGGTTTACAGAGCCAATCTCTTTTCCACTCACAATTCATCCATCTGTTTTGGTGACAATGAATACAATCCCTTCAGTGTAACAACAGTGTCCCCACTTGCTCCCTGTGTTTATCATTTCGATTTGTTCTTCTTTTCTGTCCTTTCCTGATTTCTGAGCTTTTGTTGTTAGATGCCAGCAAGTCAGTTCCAGCTCACAGTGAGCGGCTCCAGGCACAATGGACACAACAGTCTGGTCCTGCGGCCTCCTCACAATCGTTATGTCCGAGCCCACTGTTGTAGCCACTGTGTCACTCTTGGTGAGGGGGCTTCCCTTTTTCGCTCACCCTCTGCTTTACCAAGCATGCTGGAATTCTCCAGGGACTCATCCCACATGGTAACGTGCCCACAGTACATGAGCTGAAGTCTCCCCGCACTCTGGCTATCCTTCTTCCAAAGCAGACTTACTGGTGCTGGCAGTGCATGCAATTTCTGTCTTCTTTGCAAACACATTTGAAATGCATCAATTCTACTCTAATCTTCATATTTATTATCCTGCTGGTCTTTGTTGTTAACTGCTGTCAAGCTGCTTGACTCAAAAAAATCTTTGTGGGCGCAGAAATTTTCATCTTTCTCCCACAGAGCAGCTGGTGGGCTCAAACTGCAGATCTTAGGTTTGTAGTCCAGTGTTTATCCTATGGAGCCAGCGTACTCCCCTTCTGAACTTTATCCCTGGGTCAGTGCTGCCCTTGTGATTTTGTACGTTTGACTGCTATTGGGAATGTATACCTCCCTAGTGTCACTGCTTACTGTACTGTCTACCATCTGGCTGAAAGTTGAGCCGCAGGATGGAGGATGCCCAAGGGCCAGTCTTGGGGGTTCCATTAGTCTCATCCGATCAGTAAGCCTGACCTTCCTTACGACTTTGAGTTTTATTACAGGATTTTTTCCTACTCTGTCCTGGACCCTCTACTGTGATTCCTTTCAGGGCCATCAGCAGTGGTACTTGGACACCACCTAGTTCTTATCATCTTGGGTCATGGAGGTTGGGGTTCATGTAGTTCATTAGTCCTTTGGATGAACTTTCCTTGTACCTTTGACTATCTTCATTCTTCTCTGTGCCCTATCCCCAAAGGCGAGGAAGAGGTAGGCATGAGAATAGTTGTACCTTAATTGGGAATTCACAAGCTCTTAAGCCTCCAGTTGCTACTTAGCAAAGCAGGATGTAGAACACTTTCTTTAACCATGGTGTCCCCTGAGACTGTGGTCCTGAGCCCCGAGGCCCAGAGGTTCATTTCCTCCCCAAGATGTTTGGTTATGGCTAAGACGTTTTCATATCTTTACTGTGGTTACTTTTCAATTGAAATCAAACCCTAAAACTCCTTTTCTGGCTTCCTCAAACACTTTGTCCCAAGAGTACGCGCAAATCCCTGTCTCAGGCTCTCTTTCCAGTGAACTCACCATAAGATGACCACCCAGGTAGAGAAATATACTCTAAGTCATAGGATCTGTAACACACAGCAATTCAACAGTAAGCTTTCCTATGTACCATTCCCTCACAAACAACATGTTGCTTTAGCAACTCCAAACCCAAATTCAAAGCCTTAGAAACAAATCAACTATACTAGGCAATAAGAAGCAAGGAGCTCTGGTAGCGTAGTGGTTACAAATCAGGCTGTAAACCTTAAGGTCAGCAGTTTGAAACTACCAGCCGCTCCGTGGGAGAAAGATGAGGCTTTCTGCTCCCGTAAAGATTTATAGCCTCAGAAACCTGTACAGGGTTGCTATGGGTCAGAACTGACTCGACGGCACTTAACAACAACAAGGCGAGTAACAATAGCAGCAAACTACACAAGTAAAATAGTGTTGTTAAGTGCCAGAGTTGGTTCTGACTCACAGCGACCCTATGTAGGGTTTCCAAGGAGTGGCTAGTGGGTTTGAACCACCACCCTTGTGGCTCAAACTCACCTTGCAGTTAGTTAAGTGCATTACCCTGCAATGCCACACCACACAAGTAAAATAGTATTTTTAAAATTTTCAACCATTTCAGAGCTATCTTCATTGCCTTGGGAAAAAAAAAAGAAAGAAAACTACTGGCTGCTCCCAGTCTCTAAAATTGTGAGCTATGGATTCCCTTCCGCAACAGAAACACTTAACCATATTAAACAGAAACACTTACCATATTAAACAGCCCTTCTGCAGCATCTGTCCCACCACTAGTTTGAGTAGTTTCCTCAGCATCTTCAATATCTCTCCGAGCTGCATTCACCTACATTGTAACAAAAGGGGGCAGGGAGGAGAAAGGCATTTAAAATACACCATTTCAGGGCCTAGAAATTCATATATACCTTAAAGGTGCTTCCCATAAGCACCATGAGGCACTGAGTCTGATCTGAGTCATTAGAGAATTTAAATTTACAAGAGTACCCACCAAGGCCCCTCTCTCATGCTATCTTTACATATAATGAAAACCACAACCCACATGATGCTCAAATTCAGATAGCCTCAAGAAATCCACTGCTTAGTTCACCTGTCATGGTACACCAGATACTCACAGGTGTGCTGTATATGAAAAATACCTTCAACGGAACAGAAAAATGATGACATGCCAGCCAAACTTAAACAATTAAATGTTTACTTTGGTATGTTGTTGGTAGTGCAGTCCAGCATTTTTTCTTTACTACTCAAATCACGTTATACTATTTGCCACATGACCTCCTTTCTAAACATACTCTAAGAGAGGTCTTAACCCCAGGTGACCACTGAGCCAGAGAGTCTAACTGCCAGGTCATCTGAGGACCACCTCATTCTATCACCATCTCCCTGACAGCATCATTTGTGTGCGCCACCACATCTTAGCTACCAAATCTTAAATCCTGCCTGCTTCGCTCCCAGCCAAGGAATGGAGCTGACACTTCTGAGACTGCCCTATGGAAGACAACAAAGATCATCTTCCAATAGTCAAATCCAAGGCCCCCTGCTTTCCTCCTCCAAGTGTTAGGAGTAAGGGATACTGCTGATCAAATGCTTCCTGCTTCCAGGCCCTCCCTCAGCATTCACACTACCGGGCCCCTCTGCCCTCCCCACTCAGTGAATATACTTCATCTAGCACCCTCCTCCCCCTCCCCACAGCAACGCTGCATCTTCAGACTTTCTCGACAGCTCTGTTACATCTTCAGACTTTCTCGACAGCTCTGTTAACGACACCATCATAACTGCAATCCACAAGGAGCTGAAGAATCCTCTGAAGGACTTCTCTCCACGTCCATCCTTTGTTTGCTTAAGGAGGATTTCACTACCACTGCACCCTATTCCTAACCTTGGGGCATGGGCAGGGAAGACTTAATAGCACTCAACTATGATTTGCCTTTAAAGAAACATTTTGTTTTTCTTTTAATTCCAACACCAAAAAGGTATAAAAATCTCAAGCCACCATTACTCTCTTAGGAATGCCTTCCCTACTTCCTACTCCCTGACTACATCTGGATCACATCTCACAATAACGCAATAGTGCATGTGGCTCATACACACATTTAGCAGAAACCTACTTTTGATTATACTGAAAGAAAGGAATCAAATGAGAATGGAAGTATAGATTCGTTGTTGTTAATGCTGCTTTATATACTGAGACCAAGACAAATGGAAGAGCTAAGAAGCAAAAATCAAGGGAAGAACAGATTAGGGCATACTCACATCCAATCTGAGCAGCTTTTCAATAACAAGCTCCAGAATGTCATGCCTCAAGGTTGGAAAATACACACTGATCCTTAGTAAATTGTGAACATAACACTCCTAAAACATCAAACACATGCACTTTCAGAGACGGTTTCATAATCACAAACTATCAACTACAACCTTTAATTTCAAGTATTTAAGTAGGTAAAAACATTCACTAGCAGTAAGTCCTCAGCTGCCAGCTAGCCATAAGATTGGGGGTTCGAACCCAGCATCCATTCCTGGGAGAAAGATGTGAAAATCTGCTTCCATAAAGATTTCTGCCTGGAAAACCCCGAGGCAGTCCCACATTAGCCTATAGGGTAACTAAGTCAGAAGAGTAGAGGATCTGACTTTCTGTTTTTAGTCTCACAATGCAGAAACAATGCCTACAAGTCTGTTGTTGTTGTTACGTGCTATCGAGTTGATTCCGACTCAGTGACCGCGTATAGGATTTCCAAGAGGAGCTGGTAAACTTGAACCACAGCCATTGCAGTTCAAACCAACCTTGCAGTCCAGTTCAGTATAATTACTCTATTAATTACCCCCAGCAATGGAATCTATAACGTGATACTTTTATACTGGTTTCTTTTTAATTTTGTGTTAAGTGCCATCGAGTTGGTTCCGACTCATAAAGACCCTGTATAGGGTTTCCAAGGAGTAGCTGGTGGGTTTGAACTGTCAACCCTGTGGTTTGCAGTCCATTGTTGACCCTACATATTGTATAACAAACCCATTTGAAGTGTACAATTAAGCGATTTTCAATATGTTCAAGGTTGTGCAAGCACTATCATAATCAATTCTGGAGCATTTTTATCATCCCCCCCTCCCAATAGTCCTTACCAATTAGTAATTGTCCATTCCCCTCCTACACCCGCTCCCAGCCAACCACTAGTCTATGCTCTGTCTCTATGGATTGGCCTATTCTGCACATCCAATATAAATGCTACCATACAATACATGGTCTTTATGACTGGCGTCTTTCGTTTAGCATAATCTTCCATGGAGGCAGCCATGATGAAGCATGCATCAGTAATCTTAGTGGGTTAAATCTAGTATAACTATGAATTCTGTGACGCAACTGGTAGATTTTAACTGCTGAGCTTTAGTTATTAGTTCAATTCGTAATCCACTGCACTGTTAGGGCTCCTTTTACCCCACTAGAATATGACTATAATAAAAAGACAGTAAAACGTGTTGGCCCCTACTGAATGGTTCTCATCTTGTCTAGATGGGTCCGGTGAAAAGAGATAGGGATAAGAGTCTTATGATTCAATAGTAATTGTTATCATGACTAATTGCGACTGTCACAACTATAAAGGTAGAAATTTTATAACAAAAACGGGGCAATAGTTAATCTTACAGTCCAGAAACAGAGAACCCTAGGACCATCAAGGGAGATGAACACAAGCAGAATGTGGGACCCTATCCAGAGAAACAGCAACACCAGAGACGGAGGCAGAGATGGGGACATGGAGAGATAGAGCAGCTGAGTACTCTAAACTTATGGAAAGAGAGAGACTGAGTGATGGTGGCCAGGAGGCAGGCTTGCAGAATGTGCCCTTTGGTTGTTTAAATGATTATATATTTAAATGATTATATATATGGCAAGTACTGTTGACTGATGATGCATGGCAGGGACTGTAATCATTGCAATGAAACGAAATACAATAGGATGCGTGTAAAACAGAGGTTCTCTCATGTAGACTATCACTCAGTTCACAATGAAAAAAAGTGTTGGCAAAGATGTAGAGAAATTAGAACCCTCACACATGGCCGGAAGAATGTAAAATAGTGTCTGCTTTAGACAAAAGTCTGGCAGTTGTCAAAAATGTATAGTTCTCATATGACACAGAACTTCCAATAATAGTTATCCTAGTGGGTTAAAGGAGTCCCAGTGTGGTACTACATACAGGGTAATGCGCTGGACTGCAAAGTCGGCTTCAATCACAAGGTAGGTGGTTCAAGCTCCTCAGAAACCCTACACAGGGTTGCTAGGAGTCAGAACTGACTTAACAGCACTTAACAAGTGGGTTAAAAAAACAGTGCAGTGGATTACCAATTGAGCTGATAACTGACGTTAGAATCTACCAGCCACTTCACAGAAGATGAAACTTTCTACTCCAGTAAAGATTAACAGCCTAAGAAATCCTATACAGGGTCACTACGAGTTTGAACTGGCTCCACGCACACAACCCAAACCATAACCACTAGTGGGTAAAAAGTGGTGCTTCATTGTGGTTTTGATCTACACTGCCCTTAGGATTAGCACTGGACCAGGATAAGCACTGTACTGATAACTGCAAAGCCAAGCATTTCAAATACTAGCTGCTCTGCAGGATAAAGATGAGGCTTTCTGAAATTTATTATCTTGGAAACCCAATACAGGATTATTATGAATCAGAATCAACTTAACATCAGTGGGTTTTTTTGGTTAATGATGGTGATCATCTTTTCATGTGTTTATTAGCCATTTCTGTATCTTCTTTGAGAACTGTCTATTCAGACCCTTTGCTCATTTTAAAGTGGATTATCTGCTTTCATTGAGTTGTGAGTTCCTTACACATTCTAGATGCAAGTCCCTCAACAGACATGTGATTTGCAAGTCTTTCTCCCATTCTGACTCACTTTCTTTTTTTTCCCCAACGTTTTACTGTGAATTGACTGAAGGTTTACAGAGCAGATCATCAGTTTTACATTCAACAATTTTGTTTCATTACATGCTTGCAAGCCCCTCCATATACCAACAGTTGACAGTGTTTACCTCTATTTGTTCTAATTATTGCATTCCTCGCTGTGACTCCCATTACCTTCATCTTTCCTCTGCT